GGGGAAAACGGAAAGGGTGGGAAAAGAGAAAGAAAACCATTTCTCCCTTATCGGATGAAACGCAGCTATTAGAGGCTACTTCACGTCGATCTTCTATGAGAGGGTGGTACTTCCCCGGTCGAGCCAGCCCATGTTCGAGATGCAGTATTTTGACCACAGTTAGGCTCTACCACCTGTAAAGTTCTACAGGAATTTGATTAAAATAATGTCTAGGTGAAACTTGGTATATCTTTGAACGTAATCGCTGTACGAAATTTAATGTACCTGAGTATAAAATAGGTATAAATATTGATTAACAAAATGATAATTAGGTAGTATAACTACATAGTAGATAGATTACAACAAAGTTCTCTAAGTTGTCTCTTTTAGTTATTTTGTGCTCACATAAAATAAATATCTTTACCTTCATTTAATGTGTATGTATTTCTAATTAATGTTTTTAAAAAAGCCAACCGCCGCTTCTCAAGCACTGCGTGTTTAATTATGTGTTTCTCGACACATACGTTTTTTTTATTAATATATATCAAAAAACTTGAACAAAGCCGCGGATATCAGCTAGTTACTTGATGAGAACTAAAGAATAAAAAGATCAGATTACAGTACTAAAGCAGTCTTAACAGGAATCATTATAATATACCTTTTTTTTTGTGTAGTAGGTACATACTGTCAGTACAACCAAATTTAATGTATACTATTACTTGTTAAAATTTCATCAATCGTTATTCTAATTTTTATAAAATAAAACAGCGCTCTATTATAAAATTTCCAAAACAAAAATACAGGATTTCGTTTAAAAAGTACTCAAATATTCCAATGAAGTTAGCGGTTATATATCTCAGAATTTGAATCCTAAATTGTGATTTTTTACTGAAGAGGTATTCACCCATGTATTGTAAACAAGAATTTTCAAGGACGATAATAGTTTCAGTGAAAAATTTAGTCTTTATATAACTAATACTAAAGAGTAGGGATCTTGGGAATATAAGAAATCTGCCTAGCCAATTTCGAACCGTAAGTCAAACAGTTGCAACACAAAAACGTAACTTCAAAATATTATGAGATAATAGCGGTATTTAAAAGCCCCTTTTAACTATTGTTTTGGTTCCGCCTGTCACCGAAATTATTAGCGGTCACTTATACACAAGATGAGTCATAAAATTTTCACGGCATTCCTCAAACTCCAGCCATCCTTGGCTGACCTCCAGCACCCACTCATGATGTCATTCGGACAAAACCTTACTCGAGTAGGGCTACCGTCAAATATATTATTAGATCACAGAAGCCCAAAATAAGTTTATTTCTTTCGAATATAAATTGAATTGTAAACCAATAATATTGATGAAAATTTAAGTAGATAATATGAAGTGAAAAATTCATTGCCACGCTTTTCAATTACGAAGGTCTCAATTCGAACCTGGGCATATTGACGAATTGTCATTTCATATTTATTATTTAAATGTCAACTTAAATCTACATAGCTGTTAAGTCTAAAATATAATTATCAGCATTTTCCATCTTTATACTTAACGAATTGTTTTTCATTGAACTTTCTCTTCAATTCTCAAACGGTATTATGAGAAGTAGTTACTCAAAACTAAATCTAGGTGTCAGCCCTAACTCAATGTCACCTTGACTTAGTTAGTACATGCATTATCATAGCATACTGATAATCACCGCTGATTCCATCATCATAGACATAGGCTTTAGATCTTTTGTTATTGGTAAATCCGTATTTAAGATCCCCATTATTTATTAGCAGGCGACAATGTACCAAACAAGATGACACCTACTAAGTATGAGATAATGTCTATACATTGTTTTAATGAAAAATGTCTTAACTGACATCGAAACAAAACATACATATTCAATTCCACTGCATGTTTGTAATTGCTTTTGTTGATTTTTTTCTAATATGTATTGGTCATAGCATATGTACGGGATGTTGTAAAAATGCTTTCACAAAGTTCACTTACCTAACAACAATTTCAAAATTATTATTCCAACAGGTACCTTTTATTAGGTCTTAGGTAGCTTTTGAGAAATTACAAATGTATAGCTGACCAGACGAACGCCTTCTCTTCTTAAAGGCAGTAAATAAGAAGATTTTGGATTTTATAATTTTTTTTTCGATTGCATGAAAAGTATTCTGTGTCCTTTTTCTGTTTCTAAGCTATCTCTAAACCAATTTTCAGCATACATTAAGCCGTTCTTGAGTTATAAATATTGTAACTAACATGACTTTCTTTTATATATAAGCTTACAAACTGCTATGGTCCCATTAATATACAATTTTATTTCCGTATATGTTTAAAACACTTTTTACAATCAGAATCGTGATTATTCAAAATTGAAGATACTTTACTATGAGAAATAAATAATTGTCTTAATAACTCAACACGTATGAAGTAAGACACAACAATTGATTGACATATTAAACAAACCATAAAACAAATAGGAATAAACAACAGTTATGACATTTTTCTATTCTTTTTATGTCGTTACTATTGAAAAATACATAAAGATTAAATGTTAATAATTTGAGTTTGAAGATTCAATAAAATAACGACGCCTGATGAAAAATTTATAACAATTTTATAAGCATCTTAGTAAATTTATTGCTGTATATCGTGAACACTGCAATTATTTTCCTACAATTAATCTTACTTGTTTTTCTTTTTGACTTGTTCATGTCTTTCTGATCTTTGCCGTGTCTGCTACTGTGACTCGCTGGCTCTTATTAGATTCCAAACGAGAGCTTGCTCATGAGTATTGTGCAATTTCTTTATATTCTGGGGCAACCCAGTTCCGCTTAATACGTTTAGATACACATTCATCAGATTCTTTTGGGTCGGTATCTACATTCCATGAATTCTTCGAACTTTAAAATGACCACAGAAGATTTTCTCTTTTCACGACACACTACGACATTAACTCCGAATAAGAAAATCATGATTTTTGATAATTTTTCATTAATTACATAGTTTCTTTACCTTATAATAATTGGATTGCAACTTGAATTGGTTTCTCTGGTTTTATCAATATGTGAATTCGTAATTACATACTTTTAAAAAATCCTAGTTTCCGAACAAGTTTTCCCAAGAAAAAAGTGAAGACGCTTTGAACATGGTCTATAACTATTTGCTTTGTAAAAATAAATAAATTATGTTATGTTGCACATTATAAAGGATCGCATATTCGATATCCTAGTGTTGAACTTGAATCTAGAAATTCATAGAATTACTAATAAGGTTATTTGAATTGTGCTGTAACTTGTAAGAACATGTCACAACTTCGCAAACTTAAATCATTCGTAATGTCCATATCTTAAGTTATCAGTCATCTACCACTCCACCCTACGTATCTTATTCAAGTGTATATAATATATTCACTTTTGATGCTTGGTTCAATCAAAAACAACGTTAAACCGGAGACGTGACATCATACTTTATCTTAATAAATAATAATTATCATCAGATTTAAGACATTATACACAATACCAAAAACGTCAATTGAACATGAATTTCAAATAGTCAATAACATGTTTGCTGAGGTGGGCAGTTGTTTAAAAAACTTTAACATCTTATCTGGCAAAATATTTGAATTTCTTACTTAAAATAATACAAAGAGTATAATTTCATGCTGTATAGGGAGGAGCAATAAAATTCATATTCGATTTTTAACAGTCATCGACAATAATATGTCGGTCAAAAGGCTTGGCTTTGAGCATTTCAGTACCTATAAGATCTGTAACTTTACCAGGTTCAGAACACAAAACCTCTATTTTGAGATCAAGGCGTAATTCGAAGTTAGAATGAAGAGAATCTTTATTGTTTGAAAGAATGAAATAGACCTTCGCAATGTAAGCTGCGTCACTTTCTGCTTTATATTTTTTTACATAAACTTCTCTAATCTGCCAATATTTTAGAACATTATATCCTCACATTTTGAGGTTACCAAATTTTAAATTTTTGAATTCATGTTCTTTCGACTTATCAAACAATCTATCATGATTGAATGTCATCCTAATATTTTGCACTTTAACAAATGATGTAACTATTCACAGCTACATTTCCTTTTGATAAAATTGTGGAGAAAGTGTATTCAGTTAGTAAATGTCCATTTATTATAGACAGGATTTTTTAATTAGCAAGAATCGCCCATTACAAAAAAACACTCACTCCATCAAAGAATAATAAGTAACAAAGACAATTGTTTTTATTCTAAAAACAAGATTTTGAAGTTAACTTATGATAATAATTATTATGATACCAATAGAGTTATTTTAATATTAGAAAAAAAAAACTTCATAACTTGAAAATAAACAAACATTTATTATAAACAAAATTAGCATACAGCTGAATACACTAAAATGAATAAAAATGTTTGGTAACACACCTACTTTAAGGTATTATTTCAATCATTATTGTAAAATTCACAATTTACCTGTATTTATTATCAGTTAAAAAATATTTAAAGTTTTTGCTTTTATACACACGCTTAAAAATAATAGAGTGTACTATTATTTTTAGATGTAAACTAAGCTTTACTACATAAAATAATTTTAGTGATGGCAACACTTATTCAATGTGTAGTTAGCTTCTTTTAATACAAATTATTAAGAAGTCGTAAACTATTTGGTCATAAAATGAACTTTAGTTGCAAGAAATAGAGTCTAATAACATTGAAATGAGAAATACACTGATTTTCATGTTGACAATCAAGCTATCTCTTTCTCTCCCTTTGCTTTCAGAGTATAGTTGTTTCATATTTTTCAAAAATTAATGACTTCGCCTTCGGTACTGACGGGCCATCGGTCTGGTGTGGTCACTGTGCATTTCGTATCATTTATATTCGTAATTTGAAGCGGTTAAATAAAAATGCATTACATATATGTTTAAATAAAACTAAAGATGCAAAAAAGTAAAACGGAATTAAGATTGAGATTTTGTTAGAAATTTAGTGTTTATTTTGTTTTGTATATTAGCGGTGAAATCGTAAAAATGTTCGACTATAAATATCTTGGTCGTGAACATCTAGAAGGCTTCGATAACTACAAGGTAATGCTATTAAAAGTTTATTGTAAATCTGAGACATATTTCTTATAAATTAACAAATAACTTAATTAAACTTTTAAAAATCATAACCTACAAACGTATCGATCTTTTACGCAACTTTATGCTTTAATAGTTGCAATACGCTTTTCATTTCAACATTTCCCTTATAAATTTAAATGTTTTACATATGAATATAGAATATAATAGTCGTATAATAAATTTGCAGTATTAATCTCGAGTAATTTAGTTTATAATGTATTTTTTACGATATTATACATTGTTTCAGTATATGGCAAGGGATACGAGTCCTTTAAGTGTATATGTAATGCATCCGTTCTGGAACAAAGTTGTTGAGGTGAGAAATCTATGTACCATAATTATATATAGAAAAAATATATATATTTTTGTACTATTAATTGACCAGCAACCCAATACTGTGACTAAAAAAGTATAGTAGGTATAATAAATAAAATAATAATTAAAAGAAAATTATTACATATAGAACCTTTATGTAGGTTTTGTAAAAATTAATATTAAAAATAATTACAACTGTTTTTTTGTGGCGTCCTGTTGTAATTTTTGTGAAACTTTGTTTCTAATAAGAATTATTTATATATTGTTGCATTTTAACATATTACAATTTTTTATACATTTTGTACAATATTATGATTTCCTGTTAGTATTTAATATTAAAAATAAATTCTACAAGGTAAATTAAATTTACAATTTTAGTTATAAAATATATATTAAATTTTTAAATACTTATTAGGAAGCCAAATTTAAGGTAAAACAATGTTACCAAACCGTTACATAACCAACTTGGAGTAAGACTTTTTCATTTTTACATTCCTTTGTTTTGGTTAAAATGTAATAAAAATAGTTAAAGTTACAACCTTGTCGGGCATTTAGGTAGACAATCAACAAAATTAAAACTATATAGAAAAGATATTGTTTGTAAGAAATTTTTCTTACTAACATACACATAAATACTCACTTTTAACATATATTTCTCTAAACGAATTATGATTTCACATGTATGTAATAAAATGTTAGAAAAAACCAAATATTATTTATGAAAGAAATCATATCGTCATCAGCCTATCAGAGCCAACTTCTGAGCAAAGGCCTCTTCTTACATGGAGAGGTTTGAGCATTAATCAGCACACTTGTTCCAGAAGAGTTGGTGATTACAAACTTATAATTATAAAACTATAAGTCCAGGTTTCCTCACGATGTTTTCCTTTATCGTCTGTCAGTGGTGTCTATATATTCTTAGAAACTACATATGACTCGGAAAAACCACATTGGTTCTTGTCAGGATTGTACCTGTGCCCTCGTGCATGAGAGGCGGGCCTTTAACCACTGGGCCGCCACTGATATATAGAAACCATATGCTAGCTATAAAAATTACTTTGAATTTCACTTCATAATTAACATTCAATAAAAATTCTCATAAGTACATGAGATGTGAGAATTGAAAAAATTATTATCATTTTTATAGTTTAAAATTTATGTGCTATATCAATATCTTACAATGTGAATAATTTTAAAATCTACTAATCAACAAATATTAAACACAAAGTGTATTTTTCACACAGCATTACATGAAAACAAAAATGTTTAAAACCATTGAAATATAAAAAAGGTGTTAAAATTCCACTGTTTGTAAATTCACAATATGAAGTACATTAAAATTCAATCTTATTTTTTTATTCAAATTATTTTCACTATCAGCAAATATTATAATTAAACTTCATTTAACAATTAATTTTAATGAGGAAATAATTTAAAATAATTAAAAATTAAATATAAACCTATCATATTATCATTTTAAATATATTAATATTAATTAATACTATGAATATATTTAGTTTTATTTCTTATTCTGAATGATTCTTTTTAAGAACAAGACTTGGTTGTATAATGCCTTAGGCTAAGATAAAAGATGACCTACATTTAAGAAAAGATAAGATCACCTTGGACAAGAATTATCTTATTGTGAATATTAACAATAATATTTAATTATAGAATTAAATATAATATTTATATCGTTATTTTTTTTACATATAAGTATATAAAACCTCTTTACTATTTAAAAACAAAATTATATAGTGTGTTATTGTTTAAAGACAATACATAAAGAAATAATTAAATAGAAATATTTCATTCATTAAAATTATAAGAATAAAATACAGTATATAAATATTTATATTATTTAAAATCTAGATTATAATATAATCTAAAATTAGGTTGTAAGATGACCTAAAATATTATCTGTGCTATGTTAAGGCATTGAAACCTAGTTTTAGTGTAAATATTTTTATGTCTAAGTTATTATAGTATAATATCTTCTCTTACTACTAGTTTCCATAATGAAATACATAGATCAATAATCATAACATTTTAATACAAGTATGACCATAATTTGCACTTGTTTTGACTTTTGGCCCCATATTACTATTTGGTTGGTATTTACGATTCTAAATTTAAGAGAAGAATATGAAAGAGTACAGTAAGGAACTAAGTTGTTTTTAATATCTAATTTCTACATGTTACATATATACATCTATATAAAAACAATATCTTTTGTGTATAATTTTATTTTCATTGATTGCTAAATAATCCTTGTTCAATTATAACTATACCTAAAAAGATAGCTTAATTTAAATCAATGCTTAAAAATATTGTTTTTTTAATATTATGGGCTCGTCTTGGACTCAACAGAGACATCTACACCAACAAATTTAGCTATTCTAAATTTAAATACATTTATCATATAAATATCCTCAGGAATTTAATATACAGCCTTGGATTTAGAAATAGGTTTAGGATAAAAAAGTTCTTAATAAAAAATTAATGCAGCTAAGATCTGTAATTCATAGAATTAATACAGTTGTTACTTACATAACTATGATGTTTATGATACAGTTAACTATCAGAATAAAGTTTGATAGTTAAAACCCATACTAATTATCACATATACTAAGAAATTTTTCCTTTTCAGCTAGTACCACGTTGGATAGCACCGAATGTCCTAACATTTGCAGGGTTTCTATTAACGGTGGCTGATTTTCTCCTGCTATCTTTCTATGACTATGATTATTATGCTGCGACCACTAAATATAACACAACAAGTACTGAACCTTTGAACGGACACACAGAAGTCATTCCACAATCGTTGTGGTATCTATTGGCTGTTTTTCTCTTCTTGGCATACACTTTAGGTGGGATATAAGTTATTTTCTATACAAAAAGTGTCTTTAGACTTTTGAGTATATTTATATGTAATTCTTTTTATTATTGTAATACTTCCTTATATTTCGTTGATAAAAAAATTCGATAAGGATTGTGGGTGAGGTTAATCTTACTGTATATTTGGGCTCATTTTCAAATTTTATTTATATATAATTATATATTTTTTTTTTAATCATCCTCGATGAAGGACACAGTTTAACCCATACAGCCAATGTCATGACAAGGAGGTTGTATTCTTTTTATATTTTACAGATGGTATTGATGGTAAACAGGCCCGTAGAACACAGACATCGGGGCCTTTAGGAGAGTTATTTGACCATGGATTGGATTCATACTCTGTTTTCTTCATACCAGCATGCCTTTATTCCATATTTGGTCGTCTGGACTACTCAATCTCACCTATCAGGTAAGATATAGAAAAATCCCTACTAATATTATAAATGCGAAGGTAACTGTGTCCGGGTTTGTTACGCTTTCACGCCTAAACTACTGAACTGATTTTAATGAAATTTGGTATAGAGTTAGAGTTGACCTTGAGAAAGAACATAGGATAATTTCCATCCCAGACTTTTGAAAGTTTCTCTTGGAAACGCGATATAACCGAACTCCATGCGGGCGAATCTGCGGACGGAAAGCTAGTATGCTATATATGTGAATTGTAATACATTTTTAATGAAAATACATGTAAAATAAATACTGGTATGAAAGATATTATCGGCCAAATATTAAGTATAACAATCGAACTATGTATGGTATAATCGCGTTATGCGTACGAGAAATTTCGTGATTAAAAACGTTTCATTTATTACTACATTTATACCACGGCTTCGCTCGCTTTAATCAAATCAACTATTGAGCTCTACAGTAATCTGTCATTGTGACTACCTCAATATGAAATCATAATTGGATAAGCATTATTTTTAAAGATAATCTACGAAGAGTCTTTTGTATGACTAAAGAAAATTTATCAACAATTTTTATCTTTTAATCTTAATTTACGTACTTATTAATTATTTGTGTAAGTCATTTATCTTCATCTATACATATAAATAAAATGGAGTGTCTGTTTGTAATATTGAAATTACAGTTTTTACTACATACATATGCATACATAATATTGTACAAATACCAAAATATTCTTTTGCAAATTTTGCTTCCCTGTCTGTTTATTCCCGCTAATCTCTGAAAAGGCTGGAACGATTTTGATAGGACTTTTACTGGCAGGTAGCTGATGTAATAAGAAGTTACTTAGGCTACTTTTTATCTTGATACTAAAATTAATCTTTATCACGCGGTTTAGGGGATTACGGTCCTTAAAAGTTTTTCATTATTTTTTTTTACACAAACGATGTCGCGGGTAAGGCTAGTTGTTAAATAAATTTGCAATTCATTATTACAATATTCTTATAAAATGTACTATTAGATATAATTTTTGTAATGTTCATTACTGTTCATACATAAAATATCTATAATAATATTAACACGGTCGACCGAATCCAAGGTCGTGTTGGCTGAACCTAGTTCTAAATATCATATGAATTTTTGCGCTCTATCGTGTTTCTAGAATAATAATATAGTATAACGTATTCATATAATAATATTGTTATTAAACGATTTAAAATTCCAAAAACAACCGGTTAGAACCGTTTCTAACTTGTTTTTATGGGATGTCTTTATTTTTTATAATATTTAGAACTTGTAGATTGTAACGCAATTTTATTTGGTTTATACGTATTTAAATGAAAAAAATGAATGAATGAAATGAACTTTAAAGTACATATTCCCGACGTTTCGTTTACTTTTGCAACAACCATAACGGACAGACGAGATGTAGTTTTAAAAATTAATAAAGACGTATCTTCTTCTACCTGGCAATTTCCCAGCTTTAGCCAGGGTCTATCTTACAGGTTGTGAATAGTTTTGGCTAATTGTTTTTTACGACCGCCCGCCTGCCTGACATCACCCCTCTTATGGGAATGCATTAATCAGTGATGTCTAAATACTCTTAGAAAGTACATATGACTCGCAAAATCACATTGGTACTTGCCAGGGCCAGGATCGAACCCGCGCCCTCGGCAACAAGAGGCGGGCCCTTTAACTACAAGGCCGCCACTGACTAAAAAAAAAAAGACTTATAGTAATCGGAAAATATTAGTTTCATTTAAATAATACTCGCGAAAGTCTTAGATCTTATTATATAAATTGTTTGAACAAAAGTATATTATATTAAAAACATAACCACAATATACATAATATTATTCTGATTTTTAAAAGAATGTTCACAATATGTTTATATACAGGATGTACTACGTGATGTGGAATCTTTTACTGAATTTCTATTTGAGTCACTGGGAGAAGTATAACACTGGCGTGTTGTTCCTACCTTGGGGTTACGACTTCAGTATGTGGGTAAGAAATATATATATATATGTACATATCTATATAATATTATATCATAATATATCGTCGGGGATAGTGCAGAACCGCGTAACTAGCATTGGATAATTCCGCGTATCTACATTGAAAGCAGATCAAAAGATAGTTTGAGCTGAAATATTTTTTATATTAACGACTTTTAAGGTAATTTGTTCACAATTAGTAATAAATTAAACATTAAATAATTACTATTTTTTTGCACTATCCCCGACGATATGTGATGATAAGGTTTTATTTACTTGTTTTTAATATGTCATACATATATGAGAATGATTTATCTTGGTCTTAAATAATTAATACGGAATGTTGCCAGTTTTTGTTGAGGGTAGGTCTATGAATGAAAAGTCGGAATCGTACAGAAAAAATCTTAACTTTAATAATATATTCTACATTTGTAATTTATTTTATCACTTTGGAACGAATACGTTAGATATTAAATTAAATATTGAATATTACCGGCCGCTTAGTTTGCGTTTTTGACACGGTCTGTCAGTCCATCATCCCTTGTGAAGTGCAATAAATAGCAAGAAATAATACTTAGTATATATAATAAATAAGTCATATATTTTTTTATAGGAATTATATGTTAGTAAAATTGTGGTTTTTATTAAGATTACAAAAAAAAAACTATTGTAATTGCCTCTTTGTTTTGTCACAACTACAAAAACAAATAATCGACGTAACCTTAAAAGAACCATGACTTTTAAAAATAAATATTCGAACATTTATAACTAACTAACTTTTCATAATATTCCACTCTTTTCATCATTGTTAATGTTACAGATAGTTCATAAATTAATTAAATCATAATAAAAATCTTGCTCTAAATTGTACGTCAATTCAAAATTAAATCGTACATTAATGCACTATCTGTCAGAAACGAATTTTCTGAGCGGCCGTACTATATTCTTCTACAATACTATAATCGGATTTATTACAAATTTGTTGTTTTTAAAGAGAGAGACGCCAGCCTTGCTGACGTCACTTATGTCACTTCTTCTAGAATCTAGTACGCTCCATGATATTTTAAAATGAAACTTCAATTGTTCTAAATTCCCTTGTATTTCTCGAAGGTTCTTCATAATCACAATATTCAAAGGTCCACACTAACTAAACTCTCAACTCTGCCATCGTGCGTTCAGACGTCATATTTATACCAAGATTTAAACGTAGTTCTATTCTCCTTTTAAACAACCTTTGATTTCGTTTTCCTTTTAACAATAATCATAAATACTAATGAGTTTTAATAATTGATGACAGCCTCAAATTATTTTCATGTCGCATCCGTTATTAAAGCTGATAGCGCCGGTATATATACAATATGTAATTATATATTATTTTCTAATATCACGCAGACATCAACATTCGTGTTCCTATGGACGGGATCCCACGGCACTTCATACTATAAGAAGAACCTCTTCGGTTCATACACACTGGCTGATGGGTTCGAGTGGCTCATTTACGCTACTGGAGTATTCACTAACTTGCCCGTCGCTGTATATAATATATATCAGTAAGTATACATATATAGTATATACAATTTTTAGTTCATAACAATATTTTTAGACCATAGCGCTTAGCTATGGTCAAGTTACTACAGCTCGAACATGGGCTGGCTCGACCGGGGAAGTACCATCCTCTCACAGAAGATCGGCGTGAAGTAGTCAGTAATGACTGCGTTTTGTCCGATGAGTGAGAGAGACGGTTGCCCTTTCCACCTTTTTCTCCCCCTTTTCCCCAATTAAGGGGGTAATACATCCGAAAATCGACTTTGCGGTTGTCCTTGGGCGATTGTACCACCTCCTTTAACATAAAATAAATTAAATAAAAGTATTAATGACATTTTATATCTAAAACAATTTTATTTATGATTCATAACCGTGAAAACCTAAAGCATTTGTCTTTGTCATATCTTTTACTAGTGACGATAGTATCGATAGTTAACGATAAAAATCTCTTATCCTCAATAATAAACAATAAGTGTCATTAATGTACTCATTGTTCGAACAGTACCAATAAAATACGACTAAACCTGACACATTTTTCGAATATTATGTAAAATTATTACATTTATAAAACTTTGCCTTAATAAATTTACAAAACAAAAAAAGTATAGGCACTATAGCTCAATTGGCAAAGCAATTTTACTGTAACATTCAAGTGCAATTCAATTGCAGGTTTGATCCCGGCTTGTGAAAATATAATATCTCTCTTCTATATCCTCTCAATCAGTACTAATTCTTATAATCACCTAATGTTGATATTATAAAAAAACATTAATAAATAAATATTATCTGTACTACTAGCGCCATCTATTATCATATATGTCAAACTCTATAATAAAGTCTCATATTATTTCCAGGTCATACAAGCTTAAGACAGGTAAGATGAGATCTCCTATTGAGGCAGTACGTCCGTTATGGTCATTGCTCAGCATCTTCATAGTGTGTACGATCTGGGTTCACTGGTCATACAATTTACCTAACAGCGACCCGCGAGCATTATTTCTTCTTATTGGGACACTATTTAGTAATGTAGCGGTGAGTACATCATGTATATGATCTTACAATTAATTTTGCCTTTAAATTAAAAATAATAAGTATTTATTCAAACTATTTAATTCTACTGTTAAGAAACAAGTTCTAAATATAAAAATAATAGAATATACAACTTGAACATAGTTATATATTAACATGCCACCTAGAACTAACTTCGCTATCGTAAAAATACACCCTCATCATTTTTCTTCTCATTCCAAAAGAAGTATATCTTCAAAAATATTGCATTATTTATTTTTGATATTAAGTTTTATATTTTAAGCACTACTTGATCTATTTCTCATCACCATATTTATCTAAAATCATATTAAAATTCTCAAACTGTATGGGTGTACATTGATATGCAAAAGATGTTAAGAAAATGACAAAAGACTAAAGATAACAGATAAATTAAATCATAAATTTATTATAAGTCTTCCTAACTTTTTTTAACTTAGAAATTTAAAACCATTTTATATAAACATATATATCAATAATATATTATATCTGTATATTACAGTGTCGTCTCATAGTGAGTCAGATGAGTAACCAGCGTTGTGAAGCAGTCAATTGGTTGTTGTGGCCGTTGTCTCTGTGTGCGATGTCTTCACTGGCCACTCCGCAGTATGAGCCACTGTTCTTCTACACTATGACTATGTTCAGTGTACTTGCACATGTGCATTATGGAACTTGTGTTGTAAGTTTGAGACATTTTGATACATATTTACTAATAAATAAGGATCAATAAAATATGTATTAAATTCTAACATTTCATCATCGGCCTATCAGAGCCCACTGCTGAGCAAAGATCTCTTTGCATATAAAGAAGGTTATTGGAATACCAATTGCAAGTCTTATACACATTTTAATAATTATAATACAATCTTATCTGACTATTTAGTTTTGAATTTAAAATATATTGAGCTATTAAATATTTTATTTATAATAACTATAGTAACATTTTTTTTATACTATGGCTTCATTCACACTGGAATCATGGAATATTATGCCAATGTCAATATTTTATTTGTTTGAGTTATTATCTTGGATACAGTATGGATTAAGCCTAAATTAATAATTTTCTTCATCAACAGGTCCGTCAAATGTGTGAACACTTCAGGATAGGCTGTTTCCATATAAAGCAGCGTTCAGACTGACTCCTAGCCGACAGTGCGTGCTAACTGACATCGAAATAAAATGGAAATTGAACTTTATACACTATATATTAAGTTTCATTATTAATTGTATTGACATTATGCACTTGGCATTTATTTAATATTTCGTCTTTAAATGTATGTTTGCAATCACCTTATTTTCATTACAAAATTGTTTAACCTATAGTCTTTTGTGCATGTCAAGTTGAGTACATATTGGTACTCATGTTATATGAAATAAAGTTGAATTTCCAATAACAAATCTCATACATCCAACATTAATTGTCAATTTGCTTAGAATTTTATTTTCTATCGATGTCATATTAATGTATATTTTTGTACACTTTATTAAGCACGCATTGTCCTCGTTTTTATTTATAAGTATACCCACATGTGTGGTTGTGAATTTGAACTTTGTGACTTTAACGAATTCTATATATGATAATCATAAGATGTATTTTTTTTTCTTGTTATTTTTTTCTGTATATACTTATCATTCATAAACATTGCTGTATTTTGTAGATCTTTTTTTTAGTATTATATTTCTTGGCTGTTTAATCTGTGTATGTTTTTGTAATCTGTGTATAAAAAAATCCATATAATCGTGTTTGTATACATTTTATGTCTGTACATATAAGATATTGTAATATTATTTAACAAGCATTCTATAATCAAATTTTGTTATTTTTAACATTTAATCTTTTTTGTTATTTATTTATTATTATTTAAGACGGCACTTTATATTTCTATATATTATATAATAAAATTTTCTTATATTACAGAATGTTTGTGATACATCCAATAAAAATTTTTTTCAATATTATTATGAAAATATTACCTTAAAAAGTTGTTAAACTTTAAGTAATGTTTGTACAAAATTCAATTATTGGAGAGTGCCATATAAATGGATGCTTCATAATAATTGAACAGTATTAAATTTCCATTTTTGCCCTTTGTCATACCACCGATATATTTCATATTAAAAATCAACTAAATAAAAAATGAGAATAATTTTCATGTAAGCTGAGTTTTTTTGCTGATACGAGTTATATTTTAGTAAAAAATGTATGTAATATTCGAGATTTTTAATAGCTTATGCTATACATATAAACAAGATAATTTTTATACTTAGTACTCGCTAACACTCATAAGTTATAAGAACAACTTCAATAAAGCTTTTGTGAATAAAATGTATGTGAGAATTAATTTCATTATTATTCAGCAATTTTACTGAATTGACTTCAAATACATTTATATATGATGTACTCTTTAGATTTTGTGTTAATTAAGTCTTATTAAACAATTTTATGCTTTAACATATGTGATTCAAGATATAATATTCAAAAAACTTCAGAAGTTAAAGTACTATAGAGATATTGATATATAATTTACAGTAAAACAAGATTCTACCAATTATAACTTTCTTATAACCTATGTTAAAATGTCATATATTCGTTTAAATATTAATTAATTCTGAAACTAAAGATATTTTAATAGAATTTTTCACTCAATTTCTAATTCATATAAGTTAAAATATGTTTTAAAACAGTTTCTTTTAATTGAAGTAACAAATAACTTCTATTAAACATTATCATATTCATAATGCGTGCTGTTATATATGTTTAATATTAAGATGTATTCATTAATGCTATGGAACAAGTTCTTCCCGATTGCCTTGAAAATTGATGTGATAGCTTAGGATAGCTAGAACATAGCTTTACACTACAGTCACCACTTTGCAAGACATTTGAATTATAACTATTTAATGAAATTTGCTCTTTTATTTAATATACTCAGTACTTTTTAAAAGTAGGTATATATGTATTAAGAAGTATATATGGATACTATTAATAATACATTCAGTTCATTTAAGGATATAACATTATTTTAGTCAATTAGGAAAAAAAAATACCTCCAAGCCTCAATTATGATGATGTACTTACTAAATCTTTTAACAAGTTTTAACAAATTAAATCCATTCAAAATCATTGCTTTTTTCATATATTCTGCTGAACATCACATCTCTACCTAAAATTTGCTAAGAGGAAAAATAATTTTTTATATAACTAACTTTATTTAGATAATTACTAGTTGAATATGAAGTTGTATTGTGTTATCACTTCAAGATAACATTTATTGATCTTATCAAATTAAGGACAAAATCTTGAACTAAAGTTGTGAATTAAATACTATGTAACCAAGTAAATATTAAAAAGGTCTCAGGAAGACATTTTGTATGTGTCATATATGTATGTATGTGCTATATGTTCCCACAGTACAAAACCTGATATATATTTATAAACAAAAAGACAATTTAAGACCATAATTCATTTTATTGAAACAATAAATTAGTTCAGTCTTTAAAAAAATGCCTTATTTTATGTTTTCACTGTCCTATATATAATTTACAACTGCTATTTTCACTGAAAATAAATATTTAAAAAAATATTTTTTATTCTCCTCTCATTTTCTTTATATATTCTTCTTTAACCTTATCCCTGTCTTCAAGATCGGGTAAATAGGGTGTAAGGCCTTTCGCTCTTCGATCCTTAGATACTTTTCCCTGTAAAATGATATTTTTAAAGAAAAAATATATTGTAAGTAAGTATTATGTTGATATATTCTTACCCAAAACTTTTTACATGTGTTGTAGTTATCAAAATACGATCCGCATTTTTCGTGATCAAAATTATTTTTATTTAGACATTGATAAGATTTTTCTTGTTCCTAAAACAATTTCATTATATAACTACATATTTAAGTTAAATCAACATAATAAAACAAACAAGGCTTCTAACCTTATGACATGGATTAAAACGTTCTGCGTCTGAATTTTTTAAGTTTTTCATGTTTGTTTTTGTTTACAGTTTTTTTATGTTCAATATAATTACAATATAACTTATGTTTCACTGTTTTTCAAAACAGTTTTGCATTTTTACTTTTTCATAATTTTTGGATGACAATTGTGAAATATTATTTTTGATATACAGATATTTTTCATTTAGTCACAGATTGAAAATATGTATATAATCTTTGCACAAAAAAAATAGGTAATATATATATACCAATATGAAAAACTTTTAAAGACTGTTCTTTTGGCATATCTTAAAAATTTGTTAATAATTAAAATTAAAAAATGATATAAATTTTTGACATATTATATGTATAATATATTAGTTACATATTGACTGAAGAGACTAAAAGTTATAGTTTTCTTATTCTGTTAATTATTTTGTTCATGATGCAGAAAATAATGATTTATTATTGTATTTAATTATATCTATAACTTTTTTGATTTTCTTATGAAGAAGTCTGCGTGAAAAGGACTAAATCATTTGTTTTAACTGCCTCACATATTTTACATTTAAAGTAACCAATGATATTGGTGTTTTCACATTGCTACAGTAAAATAATGTTCTACCATTTGTCAAATATTACTAATGCATAAAATATTTTGTAAATGAAATAGAACTGTCAGAAATTACGACGCGAGTGTAGTGTTGACTGAACAGCCTCATTTATTTGAAACTTTTGATAATATGCAATGTTTATTTGCAAATTAAGTGCCTAAATGTTATAAATATCGGATCGTTGTTGTAGTTATATAGTTTTAAATGCCAGCGAGATGTCAAAGAACAAAATAGCCGCTCGTATCGACAGCCAAAGTGTAGAAGTTAAAACTAAGGTATGTGGGAGCAAATTTCTAATTTCCTTATTTATAATAACTGCCAGTAAGATATTGTAGTTTCAGTGTAAGGAAATATGAATCATACTTGAAAGTTTAAAATATTATGTAAACTAAATGTTACAAGAAACAACTCTTAATTAATTGGTAATGGAAGTAATGAAGACATCAATTAACAAGTTCACTAAGTTATTGAACCACCAATTGAGAAGTTATTACGTTTTAATAAGTAAAGTATCAAAATGAAGAGGCAAAACTAGAAGTACGTTATTTTATTATAAAGTTATGTGATACTGGATAAATAAATAGAAGAAATTGTATATATGTTGATATTAGGTTTATTACTTTAGTTCAATATATTATTATAGGCTTGTAAACTCTGTTGTACTCATTCAATTATTTGTTAATACATTTTGTAATATATTAGATTCTCTAATTATTTTCAATATACAATTACTTTATAATCAAATAAATGTAGATTTAGATGAAAAGTGTCTTGTTTTATATAGAGCATGCAATAATATTCATTTAGCAAGAAACTTAGATATCTTTAGAAAACTTAGATATATTCTATAAAAAATCTTAAGATAGAAAAAGTACTTTGCTTGTCTTTAAGCTTTTTATATTGAAATTTAAGTTATTTTTCCAAATATGCTCTAAAAAATGGATAAGATATGACTACCTAGTTTCTATTAATTTAGTCTATGGAGGTTACAGTTTTTGTTCTAAATATAAAAGATACATATAAATTAGCTACCACCGTTTTAAAAATTCCTCAAAATTATTTAAATTTTCATATAAATAGTTTTATTTTGTCACATTATAGACATGTTACATTAAAAGTATTTAAATATTAATTATGGTTCATCATCAAATTACTAATTTGGCTATGAGTCATGGGCTTTTATTCACAGCCAATAACAAATTTCGGACAATGGTTACAAACGATTTCAATGAAATTATATAGAAGTTTAACATAATGATGTCATTGTTTCAGTTTGATGCCGAATTCAGAAGATTCGCTCTAAGTAGGTCGGAAAAATTGAAATATGAAGATTTCAAAGGCCTAATAGAGAAGTTGCATCGGCTTCATGATGTGGCATTCCTCATTAGTTACACGGATCCTAGAGACGGGGATCTGCTGCCGATTAATAATGACGATAACTTGGCACGAGCATTGCTCACCGCTAAACCACTGTTACGAGTTATCATACAAAGAAAAGGTAAACTTTAATAGTATATTGTATCACATTAGACGAATGTACTACTTTTCGACCTGGGTATGGAATTGCCATCTAGGCCCAAAGCAAGGGTGGCAAAAACTCGGGACAGAAATAAAGTATGTTCTTCCCATAGAATATAAAACCAAGGATAGAAAGTATTGCTTTCATCTCAGATAGAATGGATAGAATCTGATCATTTTGGCCTAGGCAGGATAAAAATACATTTGTTCATAGAAAGGAGCTATGTATATGAAACATTTTGAACTAGTCTGAACGGTTACACTTGCAATATATATGGAGTGTTAATAATATTAATTTTATTATTCAATATCTATGTATGAACCTAAACAAAATCGTGTCACTCAATTGGACGGTGAATACAATCCAAATCATTAATTATATGCAAATGTTAGTTTACACAATTATATTTTACGGCGACACCTTTCATTGTACAGACAATGATGTTATTATAGAAATTATTTCACAGGATAATAGTCTTTATATCATATATGTATTAGTATTATTATCTTGTTTATAAAGTACGGATGTAGTGTCATTGTTAGCATTAGCATAGAATGCGACGCTCCCTTGTTGATCAATTGCGATAAGGTTCATAAGCGCTTGATTTTGTTTTTTTTTTAATTCATTCTACTGGCACTGATTGAAACTCTTTCATCCGAAGGTTATTTGCGAGGGTTTAATAGATAATAGATAGTAGAACACTTGTTAAGGTCAAGTTTTTACACAGTCTTATCTCTAAGCCTATGTCTTTAAGAACAGATTATAACAAAGACACGTCTTATAAATGGCTGTTGGAATTTAAATACGTGTTTCGGATTTCCGTTTTCGTATTTATGGTATTTTTGTTTGATGAATTTGGTATGATATGAGTTTGATGAAAGATTTTCATAATATAATTATTATACACTTTCATAGCTCACAGTCACACATATTCACGGTTTGTTGGACATCAAATATTGTTAACTCGTCTCAGTCAGTGAACATATACATTTTATATAATTTTTTTATATTGCATCCAAAACCGTTACATACGTTAAACCATTGAACTGTTTTTGTATATGTGTGTGTGTGTGTGGATGAATTTGTGTGCGTGTGAGTGAATATATATATGGTCGTTCGTATTATTAGTATATAGGCACATTCTACTAGTTAATGGCCCTTCAGATTCCATACGAGTTTGGTTACGGAAGAGGACAAGGGCGTTCGACCTTGACCTTCAAGCCCCCATACTAAACGTCCAAGTGCATTTTTATATAAATTGTCTATATTAAAGGTCAATTTCAATAGTGGCTCATAATGAAAAGATTCGTTCATTATCGATAGTGGCTTTATTTGATTTATTTGATATCAAGATTGATAGCATTAATTCTTTAGCTTTAGCTGTCTTTAGATTTGAGGCATATTTGAAGATCGTATTTAATATATATCGTACATACGAGAACTATTGGAATAAGTTTTTGAGTTATAACAAATTATTATATATACATATGTATAAGTCGGATTATACTTTTTTGTGAAAAGCGCTGACACATACATACATATAACGTTCTTAAACAGAACCTCCTCGTTTTTTAATCGGTTAAGCTAAATTTATGACTAATTTATTTAAACAGATTATTTAAAACCCGTAAATCGTAAGGTGTTTAAGAATTTAATGGTCTGAACGAGCTTTTTTTAAACTACGTATGTTTAGTTGGAGACGCAAACCGTAAATATACCGAATTTGAACATAAACATATAAGAATAAGGCTAGTTGTACAATGTTAATTTTTAATCATTTTATATTTCAATGTTTCTTGATGGAAATCATCGTCTTAATCTCGCGACTACCAACAAAGATAATGTATTTTCATTATCACTGAACAAATATTTACGTATGATACAAAATTAATCACCAAATTACAGTTTATCGCAATTTTACTTAAGATTTAATTGAAATTGTGATACTTTAGAAACAATGTACTTTAATGAGATGTAAGATTTTCGGGAGTATTCATTTAAATGAAATTACATTTTTCGAATGTACTACGTGATCTAAGCGCACGGTAGTGCGCCGGCCAAGTTCCACAGGCCGGCGCATGCCGTGCACTATATTTACACGAACCGTTTCGACCCACTTTTGACCCCCCTGTAGCTCAGTGCCTATTGCAAGTACAGAGATAAAATTTTACCTACGTAATCATATACTAGAACTAAAGCAGTATGCCAAATTTCTTAGATAAAGCTTCAGTAGATCCTGAAATATGACCCTGTGAAAATAGCTAATTTTGGCACTGACTCACTGACAGGTAATCAAAACCTCTGGGCCACTTCCCATTGTTTTAGCATTATGAAATTTGGTACACAGGTTGTGTGTTATATGTAGATTAACAAAAAATTAAGAAATTTAAGAAATCGGTCAAGCGTGAGTTGCCTCAACTCTAAATATCGAATTTTTAATAAATTCGACCCACTTTTGACCCCCTGTAGCTCAGTGTCTATTGCAAGTACAGAGATAAAATTGTACCTACGTAATCATATACTAGTCCTAAAGCAGTATGCCAAATTTCATAGATAAAGCTTCAGTAGATCCTGAAATATGACCCTGTGAAAATAGCTAATTTTGGCACTGACTCACTGACAGGTAATCAAAACCTTTATATAGGCGCTCAGCTCAGCACAATAAAATACATAATAATGAAATATTCATAATTAATAATATGAGTACATCTATCAATCGGTGATAAATGAAAATAAAAAATTAAAAATAAATATAGTTTAAAAAAAAACTAAAAAACACGCTCCAATGATGAAAGAAACCGCGTGGAAACTAATTTAACCTTTACAACCTTGGAAATCAATTTAATTTAAATTGTTTAAAATAAACAACAAATGGTATTATTGAGAAAAAGCGTGGGGCGCTTCTCAAGAAGTGATATATGAAGCTCCCCACGCTTTTTTTCACAAAAATACCATTTATTGTTTGTTAATTTATTTTTAAATTAATATTATTGTGAAAAAAGTGTGGGGCGCTTCTTAAGAACTGATATACATATAAGGGATATAAAATATTGTCATGTATACATAATGCACACTGTATAATTTAATTAAATATTGCTTACCTAAAAAATCAGGTTTCTATTGTTATAAATTACTTTCGATAGATGGCGCTAGCGGTATAATTGAATCGCGATATTATTTTGTCTGCAGTATATATGAATGAAAGTCGATAAGGAATCGATGGTCATTTCTTTCTATTTCTTTCTACACTTATGTCTTGATATCTTATATATGGTTACGATTACGATTAAATGGATCACTGATTTGACTTGCTTAAGGATTAATTTTGATATTGCTTATTGATTGATTACTTGTGTGTGTTAAAAACACAAATTCACTCTATTTCTTTTCTACTATTCATTTACCAACGATGGAAATTGTACATCTTTCGGTGGTTGGCGGAGATATACCACATAGGGTAATTCCTATGCCATCAGATGGTAGCTGTACGTTTCAGGCTGTAAGTTATGCATTGTACGGCTGTATAGTACGATTGTATGTACGATTTCTTGAAAAAAAGTATTGAAATCTCACCAAAAACATGCCTGTTAAAAAGGGGGCCAAGTTCCAATCGGCTAATTGTTTCCCTAAAAAAGGGGTGAAATCCAATCTAATGCCAAGTTTAGATGCACTTTGAAATCGATCATAATCATCTTCATCAACAGCATGATCCACTAGTAAACATTTACCATTCCCAAGACTCGCCACCACACCCAGTCCTCTGCCTTCCACATCCAGCCACTACCCGCCACCTTATTCACGTCAACGGTCCATCTGACCGAAATTCACTTTACCATACACCCATCTTAAAATATGGTATAGTTGTGAAAATACGTAGGTGCTTGGTTAAAAATATCTAAAATTATAATACTTCTCAATTTGAACTTGGCAGGTTAATTTAATTATTTAAATTATATAATATTTAAATTATATAAATATAAATAATTATATAACTAAATAATAAATTAATGATACAATTAATTAAGTGTTACGTACAGCACAAAAACCTGCCAAGTTCAAATTGAGAAGTATTATAATTTTAGATATTTTTAACCAAGCACCTACGTATTTTCACAACTATACCATATTTTAAGTTGGGTGTATGGTAAAGTGAATTTCGGTCAGATGGACCGTTGACGTGAATAAGGTGGCGGGTAGTGGCTGGATGTGGAAGGCAGAGGACTGGGTGTGGTGGCGAGTCTTGGGAATGGTAAATGTTTACTAGTGGATCATGCTGTTGATGAAGATGATTATGATCGATTTCAAAGTGCATCTAAACTTGGCATTAGATTGGATTTCACCCCTTTTTTAGGGAAACAATTAGCCGATTGGAACTTGGCCCCCTTTTTAACAGGCATGTTTTTGGTGAGATTTTATATTTACGCAAACGAGATGTTCTCGTGATCACGATTGGTGTAAAGTAGCTGAAACGTCGGGAGTATGTAGTTTTTGATAAAAAATAAAATCGTGTAGTGCATCCGAAAAATATTAATTTCATTTAAACAATGTACTTTATATTCAGGATTTTTATTGAAAACTCAATTCTTACATAAAATTAATTATAGTTTGACAGAGTATATGTTAGAGAGAGCTTAGAACAAGTTTACAATCACTACACACATAACGTTTACCGTTTTTTATTCAATAACCTACGTTGATACTATAATGTGAGAAGTATTATATTTAAAACTATTAACTCTCCGTATGACGTTCCAAGCTCGGACTAAGTATACTGTCATTTTAATAGTAAGGACGTCGTGTTAATCAACCCGTACTATATTTGGTGGTGCTATAAATTCTTTGTTATAACTCACCATACATATTTCTTAGTTAAAATAACTGTAATGCCAGAAAATTATTACAAAAATAATTTTAGTGGCGGTAATGCCATTGTAAATACATTTATTGGAACAGTGATGCCATTGGATGGAATAAGATGGCATTTTCTATATGAATTATGATGTTTATATGAAACTAGCTGACCAAGTAGACTTCATACTGCCTTAATCAAGACATAAATTATGTCTTATTTATTTTTTTGGTGTTTACCTTTAAGCCATAAATCTCCGTGTTTTGAAGTGCGACAAAATGATTGACATATTACATAGTTAGTTGTCAAATCTAATGTCAAAAAACCGTTTGTATGGGAAATAAAAAAGCGCTGTTTTTAGGGTTTTCCCGGAAATTAATAAAAATTTTTCAGCTTTCCTGAACCTTCCCTGAACCTCCACGAACATTTCAAGACTATGATAAGATAAATCCGTTCAGTCGTTCTCGAGTTTTAGTGAGACCAAGGAACAGCAATTCATTTTTATATATATAGATTATGAATGCCTCAAAAGACTAACAGCTAACAACTAGACAGGTCTATTATTAAATAAGATATTAGTAGAGAATCCGTATCATCTATATTTTAACGGATCGTGTATAGATCTTCCATATTAGTTTTATATACTTAGAAAATTATGACATCTCTACTAATATTATAAATGCGAAAGTAACTCTGTCTGTCTGTCTGTTACGCTTTCACGCCTAAACCACTGAACTGATTTTAATGAAATTTGGTACAGACATAGAGTAGACCTTGAGAAAGAACATTCGACAGGTTTTATCCCGGACTATTGAAAAGTTCTCTTGGAAACGCGATGTATCCGAACTCGACGCGGGCGAAATCGCGGCTGGAAAGCTAGTTCGTAAATAAAGACGACATATTGTGACACGCAAAGAGTCTAGTACTGCTATAACTCTCAAGAATAGTTTAAAGATAGATTTATGTAAAGATTTTATATACTAACAGTAAGATGTACATATTTAAAATAATAAATTTCCATCCGCGGTTTTAAATTTATTTTTATTAGGACATCAAAGATAATTCTAATTCGTGCATAAACTGCATTCAAACAACTATTAAAAGTGATTATAACGAGATTATGTTTTTCTTCTTCCAGGAGACAGTCTTGAAGAGTTGAACGGCTATGGCACCATGAGACCGAGGAACATCATCTCATCTATACTGAGCGGGGCGCCCGCCAAGAACAAGGGACTGGCGATATCAAACCCGCACGACTTTAGAATGGTGAGTACACGCACGCACACGCAAACTCAGTGAGTGTTCACGCTCTCTTACTCAAACACACATACATACACACAGAGCTTGAGGAACACGCTCACCCACACGCAAGCACGAATACGTACACAATAAAGAAAATTGTAAATATTATATACTAGCTTTCCGCCCGCAGCTTCGCTCGCTTGGAGTTCGATTATATCGCGTTTCCAAGAGAACCTTTCAGAAGTCCGGGATAACAACTATCCTATATTCTTTCTCAAGGTCAACTCTATCTCTGTACCAAATTTCATTCAAATTAGTTTAGTGATTTAGGCGTGAAAGCGTAACAGACAGACAGACAAACAGAGTTACTTTCGCATTTATAATATTAGTAGGGATGAGTACTTGTGGGTATATCTGGCATATTTTTCATAAAATATATTTAATAGTGTTTGCTAGAACTAGTAGCGGGCATATACAGGGTGACTGGTGAATTACTATCAATATTTGAGGAGAGTACTCGGTACATGATTCTCATTCGAATTATGTAAAAAAAATAGGTACTTAATTTTTGACCAAATTTCCGTATAAATAAATAAAGTGTGGACACGTTCCAAATGTTCCAAGTGTGGACGCGTGCGGCGGCGTGCTGATACAACACCACGCCGCCGCACGCCTGTGTGTGTGTGTGTGTGTGTGTGTACCTAATCTGTAGGGTGTTCACACGATGCGTAATTAATTACATAACTTTTGGTTCACTTTACTTAGAAGTTTATTAATATTTATGTTATATTAATTTTTATTTTGTCATATATGATCGTCAAATATCACGTCCTCAAGTATCGATAGTAATTCACCAGTCACCCTGTATACATACATAAATGTATTTACATAATATTTTGCAGGTGTCAGCAATCATAGATGTCGATATAGTGCCAGAAACATGCAGAAGAGTCAAATTATTGAAACACGGCTCAGACAGACCGCTGGGATTCTTTATAAGGTGATTATTACATAGTATAGATCTGCTGGAAAGTTCCAGGTGTATTTACTCTAAATCTTAAATCTTCTATATATATAAAAATGGATTGCTGTTCCTTAGTCTCGCTAAAACTCAAGAACAGCTGAACGGATTTATGTTATCTTAGTTTTGAAATGTTTGTGGAGGTTCAGGGAAGGTATAAAAGCTGAAAAAAAAATGATTCATTACTGGGAAAACCATAAAAACAGACCTTTTCTATTTCCCATACAAACGTTTTTTTTTGACATTAGATTTGACAACTAACTAATATGTCAATCATTCTGTCTCACTTCAAAACACGGACATTTATGGCTTTTATAGGTAAACTCCAAAAATATAAATAAAAAGTTCGCCAGGTCTTCTAGTATATTTATAATAATAATCAGCATTTTAACACGAGTTTTCCTTTATAAATCTATTTAATGAAAATATAAACTTCTATCAGTTGTTGTGGTAAGGATGATAACAGAAGAAAATGGTTTAAGTTACAAGTTCAATAAGTAATAATAAGTTCAATTGAAAACATTTACACAATGAAGGCATTAGAAATAGAGGACTGTATACAACTTGACCGTGTAACTGAGTCCTCGTTCGCTAGGTCGAGAGGTTCAAGGGTCAAGGTCAATGAGAGGATCTAATAAAGAAATTTCGACCGGCGTTGTACATCTCTTGTATAATATTAAATATATAACTCACCCCTATTAAATCCTTGGTTACTCAAACCTATCAATGTTCCACGCGATCCTATGTATAAGAACAAATATGTATAGTTAAAATTATGTACTAATATAATGTATACAATTTTCCAGGGATGGCACTTCTGTTCGTGTAACGCCGTCCGGCGTGGAGCGTTCCCCCGGTATATTCATATCGCGACTGGTCCCGGGAGGTCTGGCCGAGTCTACGGGTCTGTTGGCTGTCAACGACGAGGTGCTAGAGGTCAACGGGATAGATGTGTCCAATAAGACGCTCGATCAGGTAATGTGATGTGACAACCCTGATAATACACAATAGGACTCAGTGTTAGTGACGTGTCAACCCTGAATACAGACCTTTGTTACCAGCTTTTAATAGTTTTGTAATTGAATAGTCAAAGATGTTATATTGGTATCTATACTATATAATATACAACATTCATGTATACTAATTTAGTCAGTGGTAACCTAGTGGTTAAAAGGCCCGCTTCTCATGCTGGAGAGCGCGGGTTCGATCTTGGCCCGGGCAAGTACCAATGTGATTTTTCCGAGTCATACGTACTTTCTAAGAGTATTGAACATCACTGATTAATGCATTCCCAAAGAGGATTGATGTCAAGCAGGCGGCCGTACGTAAAAACAATTATCCAAAACTATATTCACAACATGTTCGGGAGACCTGGCTAAAGCTGGAAAATTGCCAGGTAGAAGAATAAGATACATGTATACTAATTTAGTCAAAAACCAGTGATTTCAATACTCCATATAAACTCTGATTTATTTGTATAGATAAAGTTATATCAATATTTTTCCATACTATGAAATTCAGTCAAACCTCCGTATTACATGACTGAAAAAAATGTCGGATTAATAGTAAATCATTAAACCTAACAAAGTAAATAAATAAATAAAGTACATATGTAATTGATTTGTTTTAACCGATGTTGACATAATAAAAGGTGTGTCATGCTATTAACATATCTTAATTACAACACAGTATTGGAATGTTTTTTACTGGTGAATTAATAATATATTATCAATTATACAGTTGATTGATTAATATAATCAATATTTATATATAAAAATATCACGAATGATAAGAATACATCTTGATCAATTGTACTGTTTTTCTTAATTTATTCACATACCATATAACTGAAGTAAATATAAATTAATAGAATTACGAAACTTCTCTATGTATTCTATAATATATGATGTTAGTAATTATTCATTTAATTTTAAAAATGGTGGTGGCTTTTTATCTTATTATTATTTTTAATGCTTTGTTTTGTTTTTGTTCACTGTTACTTTTTTATGTCTATTCTTTGTAATGGTGTTTTAACTTAAATAAATTACTTATTATACAGGGTGACTGGTGAATTACTATCGATATTTGAGGACGTGATTTGTGACGATCATATATGACAAAATAAAAATTAATATAATATAAATATTAATAAACTTCTAAGTAAAGTTAACCAAAAGTTATGTAATTAATTACGCATCGTGTAAACACCATACAGATTAGGTATACACCCACACTCACACATACGAGTGCGGCCGCGTTGTGTTGTATCAGCACGCCGCCGCACGCGTCCACACTTGGAACACTTGGAACGTGTCAACACTTTATTTATTTATACGGAAATTTTGTCAAAAATTAAGTACAAATTTTTTTTACATAATTCGAATGAGAATCATGTACCGAGTATCCTCCTTAAATATTGATAGTAATTCACCAGTCACCCTGTATATATTGTGTTTATTCCAGGTGACGGACATGATGGTAGCTAACTCATCGAACCTCATCATCACAGTACGACCGGCAAACCAGCGGGCTGGACCTCCGCCCGCCGAGACCAGGGTGCAGCCGCCCTCGGAGACTGACGACGACAGGTCACACGAACACACACATATACATACACACACACAGACAAACACACACACACAGACAGATAGAGTCATAAAATCCTATTAATGTAATGAATGCGGAAGTTTGTGAGGATGTATTTAAGTTTATTACCTCTTTCATGCAAAAACTACTTGACGTTTGGAATAATTTATCTCAGGATTTTTGTGTAGTTTCCAGTTTCCACAAGGTCACGACATACCTTGTACGTGGGGCTCGCACAGATATTTAGGGAACAGTAGAATGTTTGGTAGAATTAATTCGCACAAAAGTGGCACGTCGTATACAGATAGAATTTCACGTAATTCCTTAATAAAAATCGTTAAAAAGATAATTAAGTAGTAGTCAAGCGGTCAAAAAGATGTGACGAAAAAATATTATTATAGTCTCTTTAAAATCAATTAACTTCATAAAACAAATGGGTCGTGAGAACCAAATGTATTATACACGTATTTGAATGAAGAACAAGTACTGATTCATTCTGTTTACGATTATTTTATATGGAAGGCAGCGCCAGTCTCGGCATATCAATAATTTTTGTGTTTGCTTTTAATAGATGGCGTTTTTAATAATTTTACCATATTGTGGATTAAATGAATTTATAAACATCTTTAAACAGTCATATTGAGTGAAATATGAAAGCTAGATTTCTACGTTGCATATTAAATTATTTTATTGCTGAGATATGCAGTGTTCATTAGTTTTGCACGTATTTTGCGTACGGGATTTTGTACAACAGTTGTGCAAAACAACTATACATGTAACAGAAGTCACATGACTAGAGATATCACTGAATGTTAGAGCATATATATTTTAACTCAAATTTCATACTTATACCAATACAAAAACCATTATAACTTGAAACATGTCAATAATAATAGAATATCATTCCAGATTCGATCAAGACGAGCAAGATGAGATCCTTGACTTGACAACTGTCACTCTTGAAGAACAAACTGACCTTTACACACAATCTGTTCCCTCTAAAGACGATGGACAGATATTACATCTATAGTACATACTGCGGCGGTACAGACAAGCCCGGGAACACGTCTGACAAAGATATATACATAGTATTAACATGAACTAGAAGAAACCATTCAATGGCCACGATTGGCCAATGTTGGACCATGTAGTGCTTATATGAACTACGAATTGGCAGATATTGGTCCATAATGACCAATATATATGGTCGGGGATAGTGTAAAAACGTAATTACTATTGAATAATTTCATATATCTACATTGGAAGCAAATTAGAAGAAGAAAGTATAAGCTGAAATATTCTCTATATTAACGACTTTTAAGGTATTTTTTACGCAATTAGTTTGTATTTAAATAAATTACCTTAAAAGTCGTTAATACAGAAAATTTTTCAGCTTAAATTTTCTTCTGATAATCTGCTTCCAATATAGATACGCAGAAATATCCAATGATAGTTATTCGGTTTTGTACTTTCCCGCGCTAATATGAACTAGAAGTTTCCATTCAATGGCCACAATTGGCTAATGTTGTTCCATAATGGCTTATACATATGGTCAATTATTCCGACCGAATTCCATTTTATAAGTGAAGATTGAAAATAGTATTGTAACTAACATATTTATGATATAGGAACGTTTGTAATCAATTTATCAACTCCAAATGTAACATTCCAATAACGTGATATATAGAATTATGATAAAGTGTGGTCAGAATCATATCGTTAATGAAAATTATTAATTATTAATACAAAAGCAATAATATTATGCACTTTGTTATGAAATTGAAATGATAGAAATTTTTACAGAATTAAATTGAATGATGGTGCAAAAGTGTAGTTCACTAATAAATATAATTTTATTAGGATTCGAGTTTCTCAATATCAAGTTACTATGAGTTATTATATGTTAAAATCCTACAACGCTATGATGCTATAAAACATTATTTTTATATAAAATTATGTTCATGTTGATGTTTTTTCTTACAATCAATGATTGAAATTGTTTTAATGATGTTAAATTTCCAGTTTTCTATGTTCTCGAGTTGACAATAAACTTAGATTTAGACGAATGATTTTAATATAGGTATCATTCCATCCATTTTTGTTGGTTAATGTTTTCTAGTATACAGTAAAGGTGGCACTTCACTTGGCGTTTATTTGTTGTGTTCGGCCAAATAGGACCATGTGTGGGAGATTTATTTGTCTTCATTTGACATATTTGCACAAATAAGACACATACACAAATAAGCGAAATCGTAAAGACTTGTTGTTAGCATGCCAAGTGTGGATGTCATATTTGCGCTATTTGGACTACGTACAAATATTTGGACAAATGCAGCGAATACGCAAGCCAAGTGAAGTGCCACCTTAATGCGAACTCAAATATCTTAGACTATAGTTCCTAATAGATGAAAATTTTGCAAAAATCACATACTCGGCTTGAAACTACATAGAAATTAAAAAATGTAAGCAATTTTTTTGAATGATTATATTATAGGCTTAAAGCTGTTAGTATAGATATCACTTCCAATGGAAGGTGCTAAAATTTCCTTATAAAATAAACTGTAACATTTAGTATAACAAGATATTGTGTGTTTATATTTGATAGAATCTCTGCAACACCAATGTTTCTTTTCACTAAAGGCCTAATATTTGTGCCTTGTTGTCTTATGAGTATTAATATATATTAAGACTTTTAATTGTTCATTTATATTGATCAGAACAAAATGTATTTAAATTTCCATCGATAACTTTTTGTATTAATGATATTCCAGTTTTTGTAATACATATATATAATGTTTCTTATGAAAAAATCGTATTCAATCATCAGTTTAGAATATGTTAAGCATTAACTTCAAAGTATTTAGTGATTTGAGCTTAAATTAATATAATTTATATAATAAGAATATTTATAACTAAGGGCATGTAATTTTATTAACTAATCTTTGCACATATCAAAGGTTTTATAAAGTGAAAAATCAAACTTAGTATATAATGTATTTAGAACATTCCTTGTGTATCGGTTGCATTTATAGAAACTTTGTAGTTTTTTCATACAAAAAGTCTAGCTCGTGTTTTTAATACTGGTTAATGTAAATAAATAAAACCCTTTTTTTAGTACCGTCGTTTACAAGTTCTTTTGAGGTTACATATTTTACCAACTATATGTATACTTTTAATCTGTATATAGCTAATAGTTTTTATTCAGTAGTTTATGTTTTTACACTTGTCTGACATTTTTTTTATCACAATGTACTTAATTTTCTTTTTTGAATTGTCTCGAATTATGTTGTAGATGAATGTATTGGCTCAAAACTGTGGTCCAAAAATGTTAAATTGATATATAATTTAGTAAATACCGTTATTTACACTAGTATACCTGTGTTGTATGTAATTAAATATTTTTATTCTTATTACATTGTTTTTATTTCTCCTCGCTGAATTAGTTAAGATATTTATTTTAATTTGGTTTCAAGGGCAAGAAAGATAGAAATGGTTTAAATTATTTGACAATTGGATTGCTTAAATCGAAAAGAATTTTAATGTCCAATATTACAGAGTAGTCATTTTGTTCTGACAAAATATCCTTTAGAAAATCCTCAGCAGAAATTTATTTTTTTTCATTAATAAATCAATTTTGTTTGTATATGAATACAATTAACCCCTGCTAACTTGACTCCAATCAATTGACAGTCAAACTGTGATACTATCTCCCTACTTCCTAATAGACAAAAGACGTCCTCTTAGACCCTGATGATAAAATAATAACCGACAATACAGACACGTATACCCCCACTATCCAAAATTATCATACCAACACACACCACTTTTACCGGAGAAGACCAGTCACATGATATATATGTACGTCGCTTCGGCGTTTTATCGACCGGGGGCGTCATTCATGCAAAGCACCCGATTCCATCTTCCTCCTCAATTAGGTTCTAAGGCGAGGTCCGGCCTCTTAAAGGTCCCCTTGGGACGATAGTACCCCACTGAGCAACTTAGACCCGAATTAAACAGGTAGATCAATTAATAAGACCATCCACCCCTCACGATGACGCTGTCAAAGCCATTAAGGCTAACAGCTACAGTCAAGTCGAAACTTAAAAAAATTTAACCTCACTAATATTTTGTAGGGCTGTGTTGGATAACTGAGTACTATGTGAGACACCCATATAAGACTAGGATTTTTTTTTTTTTTTTTTCTCTACGAGGGGAATCTTTTAAAGACTTCCTGCCGCGGGGGAAACGCGACAGGGGCATGTGGGATTTCCACCCACTAAACCACCTCGACGTTCTCTGCGCTGTGCGTAGACTAGTGAGCGGGAACGGCAAGCCATACTTCCGCTCACTACGCACGAGTCCCAAAAGGGACTCCGCCATCGGCAGGGGTATCAGTGGCTGACCACACCACCCCTCCGACTCAAGAGCAGCGTGCCGGGAACGCCAAACACGCCGCTCTTCCTCTAGCCTATGTTACCCGGACGCCGGTTCCCCACCGACGCCCGGAGGCTTCCTCACTGGGGAGGCAGGTCGCGAGCATAAGCCCGCTGCCTTCGACCCAGCCTTCGTCGGCGCAGCGGCGCCGAGGAGGGGTCGTCTTCCCTCACTCGTTCAGCAGCCTCCTTCTGCAAGATGACTCTCTCGCTGAAGTCGGCCACCGCCTGCCATGCCCTCTCGCTGCCGACCATGGCCTGGACCACTGCCGGCAACGAAAGGTCTGCGCCAACCACGCGGATGAGTTGGCTCCGCTCGGATATCCACGCTGGACATTCCATCAGTGTGTGGTCAGCGGTGTCTTCCACGCGACTGCAGTGGTGACACGTCGCTGTCGGCTCTCTCCCGACTATATGGCACAAATACCTGCCGAAGCAACCGTGCCCCGAGAGGATCTGCACCAGCCGGAAGGTCAAGGATCCATGTCGGCGGTCCACCCACTCCATGAGGAGCGGGCGAATAGCCTCCACGGTTCGCAACCCGGCCACTGGCTCAGAGAGCCTTTGCCTCCACCGATGGAACAAGGACGACCGCGCAGATCGTCGCCAACTATCCACCCGATCCCGGTCCGGACTCGTTCCCCGGGATCGATAAGACTAGGATCTCATAACTTAAGAGTAACTTGTAGTTAATCAAATTACAGACTGAATGATAAGATTTTATGAATTATACCTACTCTGAAAGAAAAATTACACCGCTACCTTACACGTAACTAAATTCAGACTAGGCAATCAAAACCATAAGGCTAGGCGCGCACTTGGAGTTTTTCGCCGCGCGGCAGAAAAGAGCAGCGGCATAATGTCGCACTGTAATACTGTACCAAACAGTTTTAAATTGTATTGCGCGCACTTGATGGCAGAGCCACCGCAGCGGCGAAAGGTCTGTGACAAGTTACAACTTGCTTGCGACGCGGTGGTTCATCGTTTTTTTGTAACATATTTGAATAGCTTTGAATGCGCGCACTACACGACCTTTCGCCGCTGTTGTGTATACTTATTTTGTTTTGCATTTCGAAAGCAACGATGGCTACATCAATTAATTCTAATGATCTTGATGAAGAGTTCAATATTGAAATGCTTATTGGTGAAGTTATGCATTCTATAATATTTGAAGAACTTGTCGGGGTAATCATTAAGTTCGGCAAATATTTTAGAAAACTGTCCGTCATTTAAACGATTACGAATAAGAGGATGAATTCAAAATCGTTTTTTCTTTCTTCGAGCTCTAATTATTTATCAGAGCGCAAATACAAGTTGTTTCTACTAAATCCATTTTAAATCTAATAATTTTGACACGGCATAAAACCGTAGTGCGCGGGTTTGTAGATTATTATTTGTTTTGCCGCACGGTACAATGTTTTTGGTTTGGTTTTTCTGCTGGTTTTTCTGCCGCGCGGCGAAAAACTCGTAGTGCGCTCCTAGCCTTATCGTGGTGCGAACAAATATACAGCGGTCAATAATGAATTGGCGAGGATTAGAAAGAAAATAATAAAATGGTGAAATATTTAGTATAAACATAAGTTATTAGTTATTACGTACAAACATACTTAAGTATTACTGAGTATTTGTATCTGAACGTCAGTGGCGGCGTAAGGCGTGGGCGACGTGGGCAACCGCCTACGGCCTCGCGGTACAAAGGGCCTCGCGCCTCAAAAAATTATAAAGCGAGAATAAAAAATAAATATCTTGTTCTTCTTCTTCCTGGCAATTTCCCAGCTATAGCCAGTGTCTGCCTTACATGTTGTGATTAGTTTTGGATATTTGTTTTTACGACCGGTCGCCTGCCTGACATCAAACCTCTTTGGGAATCAGAATTAATTTAACCAATTTTAATAAGAATAGTGTGTTCAATGTTTTAATAATATTTAGCGAATAAATAGATAGTGTTTAAGTATATTGATTGCCCCCGAAAACAGTGACGTTTTTTAATTGTTTTTGTTTTCTTTGTGATTTGTAATTACACCGGTACCTGTACTCGTCTATTTTACATAAAGTAAGAAATATTTAATAGGTAATAAGTATGTGACGCAGTAGTTACTTGTATATAAAATACGCTTTATAATGTCTTTTGAAGGAAACCAAAGCTTTAAGGGTAAAAAACGTATCTACGTTTAAGTTTTTAAAACTAGCAGGTAGTAAGAGCTTCAAGTTGCCATAGAATAGGGCCTCGCGAAATCTGTCTTGCCCACATCAAATTTAGGTCGTGCCCCGCCACTGCTGAACGTAACATTTAATGTATATTATTAACTAATATATTTCCGAGTTAAATAAAATAGAAAATCGTTTATTTTTACTGTAACTTTTGTTGATGATCTCCTATAAACATTGGAATTAACATCATGGTTCTATGACTATAAAGGAATATCGAATCATAAACGGCCTATTCTACATACATTAGGATGATACGCTCACTGAGACTTTTTTATTGATAATATTTATATATACAAATATAATTATACCTGCGCCCTACAGTTTTTATGTCAAAAAATATAGGTACCTAACTTATTAGTTATGACATATCACTCAGTCCACGAGGTCAATAACCTTGAGGTAAATATGACAATAATAATTACGACATTTTGTTATTTCTAGACCGACACTGGCGAGACTCAATTATGGTTGAGAGAAATGTGACGTCTGAGCAATATACGTCAGATACTAAAATTAATGCATGAACTAGCATCAAAATAAAAGCATTTATTATGAGACGTAAATATATGATCACGATACTCATATGCATTAAATGCATGAACTGTTAAAACCACAAACAGCAATTGAAAATACAATTTTCATTATAATGGCGAAAGCCGAGCAGAAAATGTATAGTTACTTGTTTTAAGATAATTGATATAATTAATTTCACGAAAACACAAATTATCATTTAAAAAAAGGACTGTGTAGAAAAGGAAAAACATTTTCAATACAAATGTAATAACTTATTATTGAAATTCACTTCACTAGGATTATTATCACTTCTATAACTTTATTTTACCACGGCAAGGTCTTTAGTCTAAAATATAGTACGATTAATGGCTTTAGTCAGTTACATTGTTTCAAATATTGTCATTAATTTTACATCACATTAGCTTAAAATTTCATCGTCAAAATGCACACCGTTCATTCTAAGACTCTAAAAAAATATATTTTAAAATTCTTACAACTTATTTCAACGGCAGTAAAGACGAAAATAAACAAAAACTACGTTCTGCTGAAGCAAAGGTATCATGGCCAAGGTTTCCAGAAATAAATCTTACTCTTCCATCCTCCAGTACTGAAGACGTGCCAAGAACTATCGTCGACATTCAGTCTATATGTAAACACGACGGCACATGGTCAAAACTGAGCGTTGTTGTCAGTGTGAAAGGTGTTGTTAGTATCCCATAACACCTACCACTTAATATAATTGATAAATATAATAATTTTATTCTTTGTGACAGTAAAGAAATCTAATATGGGTGACGAAACCTATCACGTGTATACGAGAACGGAAAATATAACAGAACAAGATGATAAACATCTGGCTGGAGCAACAAAAGAAATAAGAAACGATTTGACTGTTATCATACCCGAAAATCCGTTCCCGGATATTGCTGTGGACGCATACCCACCATTAAAGTTCTCCTGGGTTATACCGAAAAAACTAGCGGCAATGGCGTTCCCAAGGCACGTGGAGAATTTAAAGTTTATTGTAAACCAAGGAATAACTCATCTGGTAACACTAACAGCAGGGAAGAAACCTCCAGTAGACGGTATTGCCAGATTAAGATGGACTGAAATACCCATAGAAGAATTCGGAAATCCTACAGTCGAGCAAATAAAGACGTTTATCGATGTTTGTAAAAGATCAGATAAAAACGGCGAGGTGAGCAATGTTTGAAACAAAATGGTTTAAACATGGTTAGTTAAACAAAGTTGTATTGAATCAATAACTTTTATTACACGAACATTAATAAAAGTACTTTTAATCTAATGAATCAAGTGAAATTAAAATATAATATTAATATTCAGGTGGTCGGTATCCACTGCCGTCAAGGCCGCGGTCGTTCCGGGGTGATGTTGGCCTGCTACCTCGTTCATTTCCACCGTTTCCTTCCTGACCAAGCAATGAACGTCATACGAATGATACGACCAGGTTAGTTGAATAGTTTTATAAATCCAGTTAAGCTGTTTCCACACAAAGTCAGGCAATTTACCCACAACCATGAAAAAAGATTTCGTACACTTGTAAACGTGGAAAACAAATTCTTCCTGATTTCTTTGTATGTATGATTGTAAACTGTAATCAATAGGTTCGATTCCAGATGAAAAGATTAAAATTACTCATAAGCGAATTATAACAATGTAAATTATAAAATCTTTTGTACAGGTTCATTGGACTTTGAAGAACATGAAGAGGCAGTTGGCAAATATTTTGAATACTTGACTGAAAGCAATCCGTTGAGATTCGGAGTCAGTGGTGAGGTTATGGAGGAGTTTATTGAAGCGGCCAAGGAAGCTACCAAGGCAGCCTTGTAAATAATACTTGAATACTTTTTAAATATTTATTATTTTAAATAATTAAGCCACATATTGTAGAATTTGTACAACATTTTTATACTAAAAAATAAAAAAAAAACTTATAGCAGGGTTTAGTATTCAATTTTTCATCAATTTTATAACTTAGTGAAATCTAATTTTATAGTGACGCTAGTTGTTTAATTGCTCTAAAAATGTTCTTTGTAAATAAAATTTAAATGAAATATGAAAAGTATACATGTTTATGTCACTTTAGAAAAAAAAACTGCTGCTTCTTAAATGAGTTTGAGGCGAGTGACGTTTTAAATCAAGGTCATTATTATAACGATCCATAAATTTTAAGTTTACTATGTAAATGTACTGTATTTAATGTATACAATTGTTATATGTGATTTATAACCATTATGGTATCTTTCTTATAGCTGACATACATAAAATAATTGGCGTAAAAGTTTTATTGATGCTTGCTTCATTTTTGAAATTTTAACAGAATTTTCAAAAAACCTGTTAAGCGTTTGTTTTGTATATATATTTTCATGTATTTTACTAAAAGTACCTGAATAAATATTTAAACTTATATATTTTTTTCTTACCTTTAATTAAACCTTTATTTCAATTTAATATGAATGCATTTCGATTTCAACCATATAAATAAATTTGGCAATGAATGGATACATTACTCGTGAGTGTCACAAATCTCTCTCTTGCCAATCGCCTTGCCAGTGGATTAACTCTGGCTTCAATCCAAACCTAACTGTTTTGTACTAGATTCAAAATAGACGAAATTAAATTGTGAACACGTTGACTGGTTGTACAATAAATCATTCATATACAGCAATGAAAGTGATGATTTCGCAACTAAAATAATCAAGTCCTTGGTGTTGTGTTTTTAAACAGAAAATAATTACTATGAATAAGGTTAATGTCAAATTAATGAGATTGTTTAATAAGTATGGTGAAATAAAAGATGAAGTTAAACAAGAGGAGATCAAATGCGAGAAAGTTAAAGAAGCTACCTATCCACCGATCAACTTTTCATGGTTAGTGGATAAAAAAATAGCGGGTATGGGTTGCCCTCAAAGTGTCGCCAGTTTAAATTATTTAGCAGACGTTGGCATCAATCAATTAATTACCCTGTCGCCTGAGAAGATCCCGCCGTTGTTGGAATGCGATATAAATTTCAAATGGACGGAAATAAGGATCAAGGAATTCGGGGCGCCGACCTTGAAGCAGATTATCAAATTTATTGAAATCTGTGAAAGAGCAGACATCAGGGGAGAGGTTTGTAATATTTTTGTCTGTTTTAATTATAAATAAAGATAATATTATAATTTTCTTAAATTTCTATAGATGCACAGTAACTTTTCACTTCATTTTTTGATATTTTCTTTGACTTGGTACGTAAAAGAAGTCAGAATTATTGAATCAATCTTAAAATACTGATGAAAACCATCTAAATATAATAGGATTGTGGTTTATAAGAAATATAATGTTGAAAATATGATTAAATTCAGGCAGTTGGTGTTCACTGCCGCCATGGTCGAGGACGAACTGGTACAATGCTGGCTTGTTATCTGGTCTGCTTCAAAAGAATGACGCCTGAAAGAGCCATACTCACTGTTAGAACCTTGAGACCAGGTAATTCTGATATTACAGGTTCATAAACTTAGTTAAAACGATAACAATTTAAACCAACAAAAAATACATTAAATTGTTTTTTATTGCTTTGAGAACAGAATATTGACGAATAAATACTTAAGCATTATTCGAGTCTTCTCATGAAATTTAAGTATTAATTCTAAAACTATAACTAATTAGATTAGAGTTTAGTTGACACTTTGGTTAAAGCAAGTTTATTTTAGTAGAATTGAATGTAACTTTAAATATGTAACTAAATAATATTACGAAAGTGAAAAGCTTTTATGCATGTGTGTCTGATACTCGATACCTAATTTGAAGCTTCTCCTGGCTTGTTGGAATTATTTGACGAAAGTTTTGTTTATGAAGCTGTACTGTATTGCCTTGAAATTAAACGTAGCGATTTAGGCCAAATATAATCTAAGGAACTTCAGCTATTTGAAAAGCAAATTTATATTGTAGATCTCGTCTGTTATCGCGCTCCAGATGAGGGAACATTTAAGAAATCTCACCAATGACAAACTTGAAGCCAAAAATTATTGTATTAATTTCAAATTTTAATTATAAGTTAATTTACTTGATTTGTTTATTTCTAACATTCCAGGCTCTTGTGAAACAGCTGAACAACAGCAGATGGTGTGTCATTATCACGATTGTTTAAGAGGAACTATAACAAAACCTGACTACAGGCTTGTCGATGACAAATTATATTTCGATTTATCAATGAAGTACATGTACGACGAAGAGAAGAAGGAAGAGAAAGAAGAACAAGAAGAAGAAAAAGTGCAGGAGTTACATGACAAAGAATTTATGGACGAATTAGCTGTGAAGACTTTTCTACACGAATTAAAAAATGGAGGCCGCAAAAAGTCGAAGGCAATGGTCATTAACCACAAGATATATTTTTAAATAAATAACGTATTTTTGTTTCATGTAATTAAATATTAATGGAGGCTAAATGACTTATAATTATTTGTTTCAAATATTCCAACTTGAAGAAAAAATTGCTTTGCGTTTATTGTTTCTGCTTGTATGCATTATAGCTTTTTATTTGTCTATAGTTAGGTTGATATTAAGAATTACTTTAAATCCTACTATCTAACCTACAAATCGTATTTGATATAAATCGAGGTAACAAAAATATTATTATAATATGGCCGTTTACCATATATGGGCCGTGTAGATCCTGCTAATTGGATCAGATTTAAATTACCTCCATGATCTTAGAGTTTTCAGAATGTTTATTTAACGGACACCTAATGACTCACCTAAGATACAATGACCTCATCAGTGGCCGACAATACGACACAGTAAAGCATGTTAATTTCATAATTAAGATGATGCGTGTTTTGTCAAAACTAGCGCCACCAGAAACATTTAAAGCTTGTTTATTTACTGTACTTAAGCGTTATATTCGTCGCCTAGTGGAGTCCAAATTTGCAAAATGTGCCCAATTAAAACTCTTACCGCCTTCAGTGATCAAGTATTGAGGCAGTCATATATAAAATTTGTTTCACTGATAACAAAACTAAGGTATGTACAATATAATTCTGTCCTTCCAAAAGTGAATCAATACTCCACATCTGGACAAATTTGTTGTCCATATAAAGAATAGTCGATCTGTCACCTACTGTCTCATTTGGACAAATATTACTGCTTTGGACTTCATAGAAAGATGTGCATAAGTATTTATTGACCACAAGTTGGTTCAAACCAAATAACATCTATCCTTTATTGCGATTATGTATTATTATCATCTGTGGTTCCTTTCAATTATAAATTGGGTATATTCAAAATTGGAGTGAATATATGTATATAACTATGTAGGAAAGAGAAAACAATTGTAATGTTTTAATAAAAAAAAATGTTTAATATTTATTAGAAACAGAACTGAGAAGTGTTATAAAAAATTCACAATGAATAAATATGTACATATATCATTGAGTAATTTAAGGACATAAAATATTTATCAATAGAAAATTATTGCTGAAACTCAATGACCAAAACAAAAAGCTAAATTACATAACCTTTTACTTAAAACAGTTATATACAGATCAAATTTTACATTTTATGACATAGCATATGTTATAAGACAAATGATCTATTTATTTTGATCACATCAAATACAAAATTAACCTATGAATTTTGTCTTGGTATATAATGCATATTTGTTATTTTGTTATGATAGTCGTTGTATCTGACACCCCAGCAGCCCAGGTCGGCCCCAAGGTCGTGGCACTACATTCAAGTTGACTACATTATGTTGTCTCTGCACTCTAACTTGTATTGCTTGTCCAACAGAATGTACCACTATACTGTGGATCTGTGTGATGTCGGTGAAGTTACTGTGATTCACTGAACCAAATTGAAGCAGCTCGTCATCTTCACAAAGACCCTGAAAAGTAATGATAATATTTATTATATCATCAACTTATTTTCAACTTTTTATTATACATATAAGTTAATTAATTAATTGCACAAGTTAGTGTAGTATTCAATAGAACTATATTAAATTTATCTTATGTATTGTGCTAAGTAGCAAACTGAATGACATCAACTAATATAATAAAGTGATCTACCTACATTACACTTGACATCATATTATTATTTTAACAATACTGAGCAAGCATAACTAATACACAACAGTTACTGTAATTAATGAGTGAAATAATGAAAATACAATGAATGTATGAGATAGTTTCTTATTGGAATTTTATTTAGGTACTTACAGCGAGATCTGCCGGTGATCCTTCCTGTACAGGGCCGACTTTGGCAAAGGATTGACTATGACTATGAGTTCCATTGGTACTTGACAAACCATTAGTGTATGTTGGTTGGTGTGGTGTACTTGAAGAAGCACCGCTACTCCCCAGGAAATCAGCGTGAACCTCACCAAGACCTTTTTCGATTTCTTTCATAATTTTCTTGTGGTCATTTTGTAAGCCTGTACGTAAATTCGGATAATTTAACTGTCTCATATATAATTTAAAGTATTTATGAAGAATTATAATATTTAAAAAGTTAGCTATAAATTATTGAGATACAGAAATGCTGAATCATAAACTTGTTACGATACCAACTTACATATAATTTGATGCCGCGCGTGCCGCACTTTATAAACATCGATATCATTCCTTGGAAATCCATCAGCGTCTACAAGAGAATCCTGCATTCCAACATTGTTAGCTTCTAGAATTAAATTTTGATCGCGAATCATGCTTTCTATTCTATCCTTTTCTTGTATTAATTTCATCACCCTGTCCCTGGCTGGACCGTCCATATTAAAACCTACCATTTTTAAATCTCAATGAAGTGATATCTCTGAATACTTGTTTATTTTACTACCTATTGTATTTGTTTTGAAAATTTTCCAAAACTGTCTAAAATGTGTACAACAAATCCTAATGTCAAGTCTTGAAGCCCAAAATTGACAATGACAAGCACTATTGGATATTAATTGACATTTGACAAGTCATGTTTTCACAGTGTTTCTAGATTAAAATAAATTAAATAACATTATGGTAATTTAAGATTATATAATTGTAGGAATTTTATTAAAAAAAAATTACATGAATAGCTATTGACAGGGTATTCAGTAATCTGTAAAATTAACTTGAAAAAAATCGGTTACACTCAAAGAATATCTTTAATTACTAGCAATAAATAAATAATTAATCATTCAGTTTTATTTTACTAGTCCCTTGGATAAAGTTACCCGGATTACAGAAACTTAAACTATTTGTAACTTATATGTTTACCTCTATTTTGTAAAATATTTTGTGCGAAAGAATACGCACTTCAAATTAAACATATTCATTGAATACAGTTATGTTCAGTTTTCGCCCAGCATTGGTGATTTTATTTTGTCCTTTAAAACGAGGCGTTCTTTTATAATGTTTATTTTAACCTAACAAAATTATAAAGAGAGGAAATTAAATATCTATCATATCAATTATTTTGATAATGTATGGATTTTCCTTTTTTTCTATAGTGCCGTAAACTTAAGTTTAATCGTGGTAACACGACCCTATAAAAAACTGGTACAACTTGATCTTACTATTATACACTAACTATAGCAGGTCAAAACATAGTTACAAAAAGAACTTCAGTAATTTAACAATAATAATAATCGAATATTGTAAATGCTTATAGATGTACAAATTCTTGTGCTTTTCTTTATCCACAATACAAATTGAAAAAAAAGGAAATAAACAAAATTTTTGTCAATTTTATACTCTTAACTCCTTACTTTTTCCATAAATGTACTTTCATTCATAGTGATCACATTACCACACTGATACTTAACGATTACATTAAATAAAACAAGATAATATTTGTTATTTTTTTATTTTGAAATCAATTATGAGATTTTAAAAACTGTAGCTCTTCAGAATAGTACTTTATACAAAAAATATTGCAAGCTTTATATTAGCTTCGATTTTACATTCAACAAATACAACGATTTAATAAATGACCAGATTAATAGTTTTACAATATTTCTAATAATAAAGACTTATCATAAGAGTCAGGTTTATAATAAAATTAACAAGTAAATGTGAGTGTTGGTTAACATTTTAAGGGAGGTTAAATATTAAAGCGTTCCTTTTCATATATAAAAAAGTATTCTTAGCTTTTAATTATGTCTTTTTTTTAGACAGTGTACTTTTTTCTTAATAAAAAATAAAAAAAAGTCCGCTATGGAATATCTGTTTCTGAGCAAACTGTTCGTTGACATGTCAGCGACTCTGGCGACAGTCGTGACAATGTCAAACGAACGACAACCAAAACACAATAGACATAATATATTGTGCAAAAAAATATTTGTATAAATAATCACATACATAATGTAAATTATAGATTAATTATCAATTATCATACAAAAAAAAAACTTAAACATAATAATGGATACGAAATGAACAAGGAAATAAACATGATTGTGCATATAAAATTATTTTTATAAAACTATTATCACCCTTTTATCATCGAGCACAGTTTCCGACGGCAAATCATCGTTAATAATCTGGCGAAATTATATAACAGATTAACTCAAAGGAAACGTTGAACGACGATACACGTAACGGAAAACAAAATGGTCCCTAATAGGAAAGAATACAAAAATGTTTTACAGAATCACATCTCTAGTTGAGACTAATACGTATATAACATACACTAACAATTATGGCAACTTTGACAATAAATAAGATATATTCACATTAGACAGAGAAAAAATCAATCTTCGAACATCAAAGAAAAAATATGACAGCAAAAAAAAAACTATGTAAAAAGGCCGGGATCGTAAAAAATAAGTATACAAGGCAACGAGTGCAGACTTTATGTTTTACTACAATCTATATTTGTTACTAATTAGAAGCCAAATTCGCATATTTCTTTACAAGCTTGGCTTTTTTTTTCGAAATAAGTTAATTTAATGTTAGTCATATATTGTTTAATCGGCACTTCACATGTACACGCCAGTCGCTTCGTCTACGAATTAAGCGTAGATTGAATAGCTTATAAAATACACCTTTGCGAAAAAAAAACTATACGCTTATATTGCGTAGTCCGAAGCGATTCGCGTCACACTCGTATATTGTTTACAAAAAACCGCCAAATAGATATCAAATATTCAAAATGGCGGTGTTTTGGCGGGAATGATGTCGTTGTGAGTCGATTATAGCCGGAATGGCTCTCGTTTCTCCGTCGTCCTCGCCGGCGTACGGCGGGAGAGGGGGGTTGCGGGGGCGGAGGGCGCGGCGTTCTCCGCGTCCGACGGACGACGCACCAGCCGGGACGCGGCCGTCTGGGTGCCCGGACGTACCGGTGTCGAGCTGCCGGACGGCGTCCTTTGCCTGTATTACACGATCACAGTTCTTATAACCATATATACTAAGACGACAACATGCAACCAAGCTACATCACAAGAACAGAACACCCTGACGAGAACACTCTAAAACCGTAACTACAAATAGTTTACCTAGAGTGAGAATGGTTAGAGTCCTTCGGCACGGGTATGCGACTCCGAGCGGGCGTGTGTCCATCGGTGGAAGCAAACGAACCACTCCTACGTGTTAGCGAAGCACAGAGACGACAGATTTAATACATATAGAAAGAAGAAATGTTAAATATTGTTAGTGCACATGCTTCTCAATATTAAGATATTTTTCGTCAGATGGGAACTCTAGAAACATATCAATGGGGTTAATATATATTAATTAATAATAGTTTGAATGTTACAACGATGTATGTACACATGTTTTAGCTTTCCATTAATATATTGTAAAATTCCCGGACGAGTTCTACAAAATTTTCATTTTATATTTAGTTTATGAAGATCTATCTAAAGTGCAGAAATGTTCGAAGATAATTGTGCATATGCAGTAACAAAAAAAGTGTTTAGAAATATAAAATATAAACAAAACAATATGATATATAAAATAGAAGTAATATCAAAGTATGTCACTTAAGATAAGCATGCGAATGAAATTTATAATATGCAAGCTGGTATTGAAAAGTGTCAACAAAGATTTCAATTATGGAAGTTATGAATAAAAATATAAGTATGACATACCATGATATTGAATAATAAATAAATATGACGTAAACAGATCAAACTGAGTAACAAATAAAAACATAAAAAAACGTAACAATTCGTTGAAACTTGCAAGCCACAACAAATGTTAGTAATAGAAAATAAATCATACGATGCAGAATAAGATAAAAATAAATATATGTATGTACTATTAAGTCCTGTACAATGAACATGGTCATTAAATAAGTGTTGAATAATAGCCGTGATGATGACTTGTGATGAATGAAAAGAATAACAACGAGCATCTAAATATTTGGGCCAAGACGAAGCTAAAACAAGCTTGTACCCTTTGATGTCTCTTTGGGTCGGCTTTGAGGCGTCTCCGCTGGACTCGCTAATGTTACTTTCATATTCATTGTCACTCGTCATCCCGGATATGCTGAACAGTGAGGAATCGTCTTCCGGACTGCGCTGGTCCGATTTAGGATCGTGGGATATTGGACTCGGGTCCTGGGATGTTTCGCGGGATTGGGATTTGTGGGATTTGTTACGTCGTTCAACAGATGGCGTCCGTTGGGAACGGTTGCCGACGTACACCGGGATACGAGTGGAACCCTGGGTTTGATATGCGGGATGAGTGTGGGATAAGGATTTGGGATGTTCGGATGCCATTGAGGATGGCTGGGAATGTGTGGAACTGTTTTGTTTGTATCCATTTTGGTGATGCATGTGGAAAGGAAAAATATAATTAATTTTTATATAATATATCTTATACGTAGATACGATATGTTGTTAGTTATAACTCATAGCTAGCCCACGTCTGCCTACTGTCATGCTAAACGATGCTAGCTTAAAATCCCACCACCGGAAAAACGGTCTGACAACAAGACAAATCCGACTCGAGTGCACCCATACAAAACAAACGTCACTAAGCGATGTTCACCGTAAAGCCGGAACGTGCTAGACGTTATGACATCAACAATGTACGCAATTTGGGTTTGGATTGAAATTTAAAGAACTTTTATCGTAATAATTAGCGCATCAAACTAGGGCAAACAAATCTAATTCATCAAAACGAGCGAGCAACATGACTGTCTCTCGTGTTGATGAATATTTTGTAAGTGTTTTATCAAATTGCGTCACATGGCCAGTGAGTCCAACATTCCTAATACCTGACTATGGCTGGAACTGGTGACAGTGTTGGAATACTGGACGTGCGGTACATCGTGCCGCCGTACCTATGTTCATACATGTTCATTTAGTTTGCCAATCAAAATAAATACAATTTCGTATATCGCTGAATCTGCTCCAATTTATATCTAAAAATAAGCTCGGTTTTAATTCTGTACGAACCTGCTGGCTGGTGTGAGTGCGCCTGTGGGCGTTCGTGGGCGCGAGGCTCCATTAGTTGTTCCGAGTTTGCTAGCCGTGGCCGCGGCCCGGGCGAGCGAGGCACGTGTGTTTGTTACTTTACGCATTGGTATACGTGAAGGAGTTAGCACTTCATCTGTGAATGAGGGTAGACTAAATAACTTGTACCAAAGACATTTTATGTGATGATTTCAAATTTAGGCTCTTTTATTTGAGTTCTTTTGGGTATAGATGTGAGTTAAGTAAGAACATCGAAACTGACTGAGTCTCCTAGTATTAGATTTTAAAAAAAATCAACTAATATCATTGTTTAGATAGTTGCATCAATTCGAGTTTCTGTTGAGTAGTATTGCTAAATATGAGAGGTAAAAACCTGTGCTGTCCAATGATAAATTGGATCCGTGTCTTGAAGGCGGCTTGGAACCCGTTCTAGAGCCAGGTCTAGATCCTGGTCTAGATCCGCCTGGCGTCAAAGTAGATCTGAAAGTTGAAACACGTAATAAGTAGATTAGTAAATTCATAAAATATTTTTTCCAAAGAAACTAAAAGATATAAACAGTTAATTATACCTCGGTACGCTAGGTTTTCTATATCTCTGTCCTAATCCGCTGGCCGCTTCGTTGTCGCTGAGCGAGTCAGGTGTTCCAGCGCTTAGTGAAGACCTGGAGGCTCTGCCAGCAGCTGGACCACTTGACATCGGAACCGATCTTACAGTACGCTCCCTCACCTACAGACACACACACACACACTTACAATAGTAACACTCTCAACATTATCTTCATATGAATAATTAATAAGAAAAAACCAACTCAAGTTTAGCATGATGATTTACAATCGAAATGTTATGGGTATAAACAAATTATGGTTTTTAGACATATGTATGTGGTATGTGCATGCTATCTAATATGGATTTTGACATTTGTATTCTATTCAACGTATACTAGAACACGGACTAACAAAAAAACAAACAATATAAATATCAAAGACAGCTGCAATCAAGTTTGACAAGAGGTGCAAACACACGGAACACTCTGGTAGCCTATGATTTACCCAGTGGTATCCCGGAGACGGTTGGTATCCGTGGTGGTGAGTATAGTGATGACCGCCGGGCGTCGTCGAACCTTGAGATCTTGAATGGCCGTATATGAAAGCTTGCTTAGTGCCATGTGTCGAACCCACGTGGAGCGGGTACGAACACGGAAGCTCTTCCCGCTGCCTGAGAGCCTCAAATATAGGCCTCAACTGCTCCATAAACTCCTCAGCTAAACGCATCAATACAAAACCGAAGAAAGCCTTTCATTAAGGAGCCAATGGACATCCGTTAACAACAAAACTCTTTCATAGTGCCAATCTTTTTCCGAAACGCGTTATCCCGATTCGTGTTTACGATAAGTCCAAAATAATCATTCGACGGACTCGCGGTCTTATTATACGGAGAGAGGATCGAGGGTCTGAGGATGAGGAGGTCAAACAAAATACATTACCATATAATCCGTAGGCGTTGACGTGCCACCTCTCCAATGCAGTGAGATTCCAATGATAGATACAACTAGCAAACAACACCGAACACTACACGAGCGGGTGCTTCAATGCTTACATCGAAAACACTAATGGCATACGATAACGCTACGGCTCATTACATGCTGCAAACTCGACAGTGCCTCTTGCAAATGGATGGCAATATCCATGTACAAGATGCAAAAACAAAAAGCAAGATATGAAAAAAAATCCCAAACCGAATCGCTCCCTCTATCAACTACTGTGCGCATAATGTGATAGAATGTGCGAAGTTTATACTAATTAAACGTAACCTGCAGATGATAAACAGATGTAATAATATACATAGCAGTGACCAGCGACTTACCTTCGTGATGGGTCCGGTAGAGGGAGGTGTATTTGTGTTCGAGCGAGGCGTACGTGGTCTAAACGCAGCCATGCTCTGCGACACTCCATCGGCCAGAATGAATTGCTCTCGGAGTTCGATGTTGGTGCGGCCCTTGGCTGCATGCGGGCGGCGTCCGATGTGCAGGATTACAAATATGGATAGGATTGGAGCGAGGGACGGGCGAAAATAACCGTTCGGTAACAGGATGAGTGAAAATTAAAAAAAAAAACACCAAAGTGTTAAAAAAGGAGCGTGCATTGGTAGTGAGGAAAAGAAAAAAAAAACAACAAACAAAATAAGAACATGTCCAACAAAAAAACAAACGATCATAGGCATTTCATAAAATAAAATCAAATTTGTAAAAATGTAAGTGTGCAGTTAGGATAGGAATTATAAAAATTCAATTAGTTCACACTATCACCAAAGTATACGAAATCCACACACAAATCAAGAAACTTTTAAGCATTGATCTTATATTACTAAATATCTTATTAAACTTACGTTAATTTCAATTTAATATGCAATAGGAGCAATGATATCACCATGTTTGGCCTTGAGTTTGATTCGTGTGAAGACTTCGATGTTTAAAAAGTACCATATATGCAAATAAATTCTTAAACATGCAATAATTGTTAAGCAATCAATTAATTATTTTATATCACCAGGATATATTATGATATCTACCCCATATGCTTTTAATAATAACTACATCGAAAGCATACAACATTAAAATCCCCTGAAACTGTAGCAAAATATCTTGTTTAACTTAGCAAATAAAACTAAAATAGCTAAAGCTACATTAAAGAATATTTATCTGCGCTGGAGGAGAATATATAAAAACAAAAACAATTATACTGGTATTTATCAAGGTGACATACAACATTTTTAAAATATATCACAAACATTTTCCTTAAACCTCCAGTGTAGACAACATTATCTTACCGAGCGGACAACAAGCTTCATGCTGTTCCGGTTTGCTCGGATCAGGCAGCGGTAGCACTAACGATACTATATTTACAAAGGTTGTATAGGAATCGAACGCAAAAAAAATAATATATAAATTTAAGGAAGGGGAATGGATTGGGTGAAGCAAGTTCGAATTAGTAAATTAGTAGCCAAATCAATTATTTAAAGTTACGAACGTTACGAACATGGTTATTAATAACAGTAAATGAAACTGTTCATTTGCATATTATATTATTATTTTATAAATTTTATTATATCATTTATTTTTTGTCGTAAATTGTTTAAGATTTTTAGCTGGCAACACTCTACTGCGCATGTCAAAATACTCGCGTCCGCGTCCATTGAGCGACAGCGTCGGCGTTCGGTTATTGGCGTTACAGACAACAATGGAATAGTGTCGATTTTTACAAACGTGTTAATTTCGTTAACAACGAACAATGACCGGTACTATAATTGAAAACCTAAGTGGTAGAAAACTCGCAGTACTTGTAACATTACTTTTATTGTGTCAAGTGATATGTTTTCTAATCGGCGGTTTGGTCGCACCCATGCCAGCGAATACACAAACCATTTTAGGTACAGTGTGTAAAGATACTTCTGTTATGAAAAATGATACATCGAAATGGTTTTACAATCGAGGTAAAGGTAGCTGCCAGACGGTTGACCTTGGCGAAACTCATCACGATCTGTCGGAAAGAGATATCGTGTTTGCATTCCAAATGCCCGTGCCTCGCGAGGGCGAGAGGTTTGACTACTCTAGATGGCAACAGAATCTAATCGGAGTACTTCAATTAGACGTGCGTTACCACTCACAAATGGAGGTAAAACCGCGCAGTACGGTAACAATAGACGCTAGACTAGCTTACCGAAACAAAGGAGACCCGGACGATGAATGGAAGTTGTACACGCAATCGATTGAAAAACGAAACCTAGACTGTGACATTGACGTTAAATCAGAAGAATACTTGTACAATTGTTCCACCATACCACTATTTGAGCTTGGATCTTTATATCATGACTACTACTTGTTAAATATAAGACTTCCAGTGAACACACCCGATATGAATGTTCATATAGGTCACTTGCAGGATATATGGGTGACTGTTATTAATCAAAATGGAGGTTTCACTAAAGTCTGGCTATCATTAAAAACAGCTTTCTTCCCCTGCATTATCGCTATACTTGTTTGGTTTTGGAATAGAATTCACATGTTGGAACGTAAACCTGTTTTACTAGAAAAGATGTTGTTGAGTTTAGGTATATCTCTTTGTTTACTGAACGCACCCATTGAATATTTAACACTCCAGTATGATTTACCCTTCATGTTGCTCTTAGGAGACATAAGACAGGGCCTGTTCTATGCAACATTATTTTCATTTTGGCTCATTTTTGCTGGCGAGCACATGTTAATTCAGGACACCTCTTCACAGAGTTCATTGAAGCAGTACTGGCGTCATTTGAGTGCTGTAGCTATGGGTTGTGTATCATTATTCATATTTGATATGTGTGAACGAGGAATTCAACTCCGTAATCCATTTTATTCTATATGGGTGACAGATTTGGGCACTAATTTGGCGTTAACATTTATAATATTGGCTGGCATTTCTACTGGAGTGTACTTTTTGTTCCTATGCTATATGGTGTGGAAGGTATTCAAGAATATCTCTCATAAGCGACAGGCATTACCAACTATGTGTTCAGTTCGACGACTACATTACGAAGGAATCATATATCGTTTCAAGTTTCTGATGTTGGCTACCCTTCTATGTGCTGCTTTAACCGTTATCGGTTTTATTCTGGGTCAAGTTGCCGAGGGACAATGGAAATGGGATGAGACCATTGAATTGGAATATACTTCGGCATTCTTTACTGGTGTCTATGGAATGTGGAATATTTATATATTTTCTCTGCTTGTATTGTATGCCCCAAGTCACAAGCGTTGGCCGGTTAACGAAAACACGTCTGATACTCAGAACTTAAGCGAGGAAATTGAATTCAGTCCCATTCCGGAGAGAAGTGAGATATCATCGCTTACATCGTTTATCAGGAAGGCAACAATTGATTAGAATTTTAATCTTCATATATTTGAATCTCATATTTATGAACAAATTTGTCTAAGCCATATTATAGTTCTAAGTTATAACAGTATTACTCATTGTTCCAATCAAATATTTGCCATGGGAAGTGAATTCCATATTAGGGAATATTATCTTATGCTTGTAGTGTGGGTATAACCTTATGTAGTGCAAACTAAAAGTAGTTTTAAACTTAGCTTTGTATTGGTTGTATTGAAATGTGAGTAACCATTAGACTAGATCTCAGGTAGTATGAATCATGACATACCTTACCTGGCCAACATATTTTAAGAACCTCTATATTATAATGATTGCTTATTAATTATAATTTCTTAAATTCTTAACTCTTGCCATTTAAAATTACTTAACTCTCTGTGATAATGTTTTTTGATATATATTTTTTTTGTACTTGATTATTATTATTCTAATTTAGTCTTTATTAATGTGTTGCCAGCATAAATTTGGATATTGTTTTGATGTAATTGTAACTTATATTTGTACGAATTTAGAAATAAATATTTTAGAGGAAAACAAATGTTATTTTGTTATTTCACACATAATTTAAATTACACATAATATATATTTGGCCCGTCAATACCGGTTAATGGACATCCAAGTTTCCCATGTTATGGGGTTATACAAAATACCGTAACGATTTTGATTGACACTTTGAATATCATAGATTAAAAAATTGATCATATGTTTTGAAAACAGATAATCAATAAAACATTCCATAATAATGAAGCCAATATAAGACCAATAATATAAGAAAAAAATAAAAGTAAATTTGTATTAAAATTATTCATGGCTTCATTATTATTTAAAAAAATCTATAACGACATTCAACTTTTATTTAATGTTCATTGAATGAAGTTAAAAAATATTTTAAAAGAAGCATAGATCCAAGGTGTCAGATAACAATAATTTAAATTATTTAATTTTATTTCAGGGATTTAATTTATGTCTTCTGCTTCTAATAAAATACCAACAAAGACAGATTTCGTTCTTAAACACTAGTACTTGAATTTAATTGATTTGTGAATTTATTTTTAGTTAATACCACCCATACAAGGCATATGTCTGCAAGTTGAAATATATGAATTGTTTTAAATGAAACAAGTTTGTTTACTGAAGCCGATATCACTTATATGAGTGATATAAACATTCATTCATCAGTCACTGTTTGAGTGTATTGTGTGAATCAAATGTGTGAAGTGTATTTGAAGCAGCTGTGTATATTATATATTTATTTTTGAAACAAATAGTCTAACTACAAGTGTGCAGCATCAAAATCAACCATAAATTTTCCTGGTTCAAATATTCTTTCAATAAATTTCCAACATGAATTCTAAACTGTAAAACTTTCTATTTGATGAAGCAGACTCGTAGTTAAAGTAAAGACTACAATTTTGTAGTGTGGACTGTGGAACAAGTCTCGCTTGAACTACGTGATATTCATATACTACACATATACCTAAGTAAACACATTTGACGAAAACTATAGTAAAGACAAACTGGATTTATCCAGTGAAGTATTTTTGTGATAATCACATATAAAGCTCTCTGTGACATTGTGAAGTAATTCTCAAACATTGTTTTTTTTGTAAACTACAAACATAGTGTCCATATACATTATCTATGTATTGTGTGTTGTCAATAAAAAAAAATATCATACTACTTTATACATTACATAAAAATAATACCTTTGTGTATATTACATATTAATAAATAGAAGTAATAGTTATTAATAATACACAATAATTTATTTTTTAAGTAACAATAAATATATATACATAATAGATAAATATAAAATTGTTTATAAGTTCTGTGTGCTTGGGTTTTGTGTCTGTGGTGTGTGTGTGTCTGTGTGTGTGCATGTATGTGTGTGTGTGTGTGTGTAACGTACCTCTGCACGGGTCGTTCTTCACGAGGAACTCATCGAGTGCGACCCAGCCTCCTCCCACTCGCACCATCACAGTGGAGCGGAGGATACGAACGAGACGGAGCTTTTGAGAGTCGCCGAACTGTTTGCAAACATTAACTAATTAATTATATAACATTTATAATGGAACGCATAACATACCTGAGTCGATACAATATACTGAATGATAGGAATTATGTGGATTTTAATAAGTTCATCATAAATGCAAATACCTATTTTTCATTCAGAACTTAGTAAAGTAATTGTTTTAGAAGTATTCTGTATTTTTATACAAAAATTATCATAAGTTGCGACAGTTATTGATTATTCCTTGCCAAGAACTCCATAATGCTCAAATTAATTGGAAATGTAATTAATACAACACACTACGTAATCTACTCACCCTGTACTTGCCCTCTCCGACCTGGAACACCCTGAACTTCTGTCTGCAAGTACAGAGCATCACTAGACGCTTCACCTCATCGTGGATCTTATCAGCGTCAGTCGGTGGGCCGCGTCTCTCAACCTGTACCAAATATCAGTTTAAAGAACTTTATTCGCATTACGACAACGTCATTTATATGAGAACTGATAACTAACTTATAAATATAACAACTCGTCCGATTCGATCAGCAAAACAGATGAGATAACAGTTTCAATTAATTATTTTAACAGAGAATCGTTACACAGAATATGGTTATAAAGTCGAGATTTAAACATAGAAAAATTTGTAAGAGATTTGACTTGTTTAGGTAAATTGTTATAAAGTTTTGCTCCTCATCTCATTAGAATGTGCCAAAACCTATTACTTTTAATCTAATTCCATATATAGACTATTATAGGACTTTGGACTTACCCAGTCGGGTCTCAAAGCCGCTATGAATTCCTCCCAGTCGATGAGTCCGCTTCCGTTCCTATCAAACAGATCAGCCACAGCGCCCATCTCCAGGCGGGAAGTGTCGAATTCTGATGAGAAGATTGACTCATGAAAATGTTACATAAAGATGAATATTTTATGAATGCTAAAAGTTATGAAGTCTTTATTATATCATAGTCTATATTATAGTCTATAGAGGGCGCTGTCAGTTGGTCACATCACTATTTTACTTAACTGTACATAATTCTTCTCTGAACTCAGTTTCGACGTAAAACAGACGAAGATGTGGCCCTAAACTAGTGTCACATCTGTATTTAACTTAAGTGATAGTCCTGCCACCATATTGTCAGTATTTCGAACTATAAGTAGCTGTGAGTTTCAACTTACTGGTGTTAAGTATTCCGTCAATAAACTCGTTCCTGGGTATGAGCCCGTTATTATCCTTATCCATCTTACGGAACAGGTCCGTCAGACGGGACTTCTTGTGGTTCATGAATTTCAGGAACTGCGAAGAAGAATTTGTAAATTAATACCAAACATAAGAAAAAAATTAATACCTTCAGGCTAAGTTACTGTCATAATATACATATTTAAATACTCTAAGAGTTTTGCACGTAAATTTCTACGTTTCCTTAGTAAAAACTATACGTTAGGTGTTTATAACAAAACTGAAAGTATTCTCTCTAAAACATATAAGCTACCTGTTTCCTCCATTCGTCCCAGCTGAAGTTAGAGACTCTCTGTAGTTCCCTAAGATGAGCGAGTCGTTCGTGCAGCCTCCTCTGCCTCTCCCAGGCCATCAGCCATACATTACGCCAGCGGTCCCACAGCTGCTTCACGCGAGGCGAACGGAACTCGGGCTCGGAGCCTTTGCTGGATTTAGAAGATAAGGATTTAGTATAGAGCAAAAATATATAGCATAAAAAGACAAAAAGATATATAGAATTATGCTCTAATTTACTCTAGAAATCTTGTATGGGTTTTAAGTTACGTAATAGAAACTTAGTCCAGATATTTGAATTTTCATCTATAATTGATTTGAATTTTTGTTTAAGTCAGACGTTTTAAATTGTATAGGACCATAGATCATGGATAAAACGAGATGAAAGATCACGAAAATTTGTTCATGTAGAATGTACTATGGTTTAGCTTGCTGGGTATATGACATATGGCAAGTATAAACATTGAAGCAAAAAAATGAAAGAGCAATAAAAAAAATGCCAACTAAATACAAAAAGCATGTCAAAAACACATTACATTATATTCTAATTTACGATAATCAAAATCATTCGAAATTCAAACTAATCTTTTATATGTTATCTTTATCTTTACCTTCCTTTAGGTGGGAACCTCGGTCCGTAGTGCGGCAGGCGTTCAGGCGACTCTCGTCCGGGACTCGCGCGACTGTAGTACACACGGATATCAACACACACACAAACGACTTACCTCAACCTCATGTGTTAGCTGGGTTAGAGCTTGATTAGTGCTGGCTTGGATATTAGTTGCTGGTTTAGACCTTGACCATAAGCAGAGCTTCGGATACTTTTATATACAGTAACAGTAACATACGTTTTTTCTTAATGACTTTCATATTATACATTTTTAATAATCCTTAAGTAAAAGTCTACGAAGCTCTATTATAAATACCAACCTTGTTTTAGTAGTAAGTTGCTGGTGCGAATATGACGTGAAATGTTAATAGTTTTTTTTAGTTTTAGTGCGATACGTTACCCTTATATGTGAACTATTAGTGTTGATAATAGTCTGAGTAAACTATACTATATAAGTAGACATGCGATACTAAATATACACAATTCCTACAATACTACCACCATTCAAATAATAAATATTTATTTTCTATAGTTCCTAAAAACAAGACTTTTTTATATTTGATAATGACAATGTTAATCTACTTTTGTCTACATCTATAAAAGCTTAAGTGCACAGCACTACAACTAGGAACTGTAAAAGTGTAAAAGCTTAAACTGTAAAAGCTTAAACTGTAAAAGCTTAAGTGCACAGCACTACAACTAGGAACACAATCACGAAAAATTGCTACACTCTGTGGAAAATATATTTTAGTATGCTAACGAATATTATCACTAATTTGCAAAAAAAAAGTAAAAATGATCAAGAAAATCATTCATTCAGTTTTTAAACCAAATTACAACTTCATACAAAATTAATTGAATAGAAGAGCTGAGGTTTATAATAACATGTCAACATTGCTTAAATATTATATATACATATATATCAATGATAAATATTGATTTTATCGTTAAAAGATGCATGTATATTATGCATGTACAAGAAAAAACCAATATATTTTCCACACTAAGCTCAAATCAACAAACACTATAGTTTGAAGTCCAAACCTTCCTCTCCTACTTCGACTGTGTATCCTCGACCTGGACCGACGCCACATACGACACAGAAAGCCGACATTTACATGTGTTAGAGCGAGACGGACATACACGTAACGGGCATGACGTCTTACATGAGTTAGAGTGAGATAGATATATAGACTGATATACAATGAAATATCAACTCTATATCAAAGAGAAAAAGTTTGATTTAGGATGGTAATTACGTCATACCCGTTACAAGACATTAAAAGCATTTGATGTGAGTTAAAATTTAAATTAATATAAACATCGAAGCCGTTTAATGTTAATTGATAATAAAAAATAATATTTGAAGTATTTATTAGTCATTATAAACAAATATAATTCGAATTTGAGGAAATATACTAGAGCTAATCTTTAATAAAGTAGAAATTATAATCTTCCGGTGATTTAGTCGATTTAAAAATTAAAGAAGCTTAAGAAAGTACACTTTAGAAAGTCGCAATATTTATATCGAAAAAATGAAACTAATATTTTCGGATTTTACTTCGCGTTTTTATTTTTGATTACAAACTACATACTCCCGACGTTACGGCTACTTTTCAGCAACCGTGATCACGGGCAGACAACGATGCGAAGACAAAAATTCGAAGTAAAATCCGAAAATATTAGTTTCATTTAAATGAGTACTCGCGAAAATTAGATCTCATTACTTTATATGGAAAAATAAAAAAAAATGTATTAAAAAGAGGCATGATTTAAACAAAAATAGTATAAGGGTAAGCTCAATATGATGAAACACACCTGTACCGCCTTGTTCCGTAGTAGTCTGGCGAGGCGGAGCGGTCTCTGTGCAGGTCGTGCTGGGAGCCGCGGCTGTGACGTCACAACATGGCGGTCAAGCGAGTGAAGGGGGGGGGGGCATTACGTGACATGACATGATATATGATCACACACAAAACAAATGGAACAAATATAATTATGTAAGTGACTACGTGATTTATGTTGAAAAATATAAGTGAAGTACAAAAAGGTGTCATTGTAATATTTACCAATTCCAATATATATATATAAATAGTTGTTTCGGTAAATATTACGTGATTACCATAACATGTTACGTACCTTGGCGTTCCTCTGATTGCGGTCTTGGCTGATATCTTTCTTGGAGTAGTCTCGCGACCCTGGCTTTGGCTCTTCACCTGATATAAATAAAATTAATAATTTAGTCATATGATACTTTTTGATATATAATGTCTTATTAAGACTTATTTAATCCTAGTAATATTATAATTGCGAAAGTTTGTGAGTGTGTGTATGTTTGTTACTTGTTCACGTTCAAACGGCTGAAGCGATTTTGATAAAATTTTGTATACAGGAAGCTGACATCCAGGAATAACACATAAGCTACTTTATATCCCGGAAATCCACGGGTAACACCGCGGGACGCAGCTAGTATAAGATATATTATAATGTCTTATTAAGACTTATTTAATATGCATATATATGTGACCTGGTAAGCCTTGCACACTCTGTCCACCTCCTGCTGTCTTTTCTGCGTGTGTTCCATCAAGTCCTTGTGGTCGTCTATCAGACCTTCTAATAGTTCTATAGACTCGGGCAGAGGTTCCGTCTCCAGAGCTGAAGATAGATAAACAATTAATTTTGACCTAATATTTATATAAGTTATATATGTATATAATTTTCATATTAATTATGTACTAGTCACTCAAAACCTTATATGAGTTAATTCTATAACTATTTATTTCACAATAATCCAAAACATGTATGTCTGCTAATTACGTTAAGTATATATGTATCTGAATTACTATTATATGTAGTATATGTATGTAACTAAAGATTAATGCATTCCCAAAAGAGGGTTGATGTCAGGCAGGCGGCCGGAAAAACAATTAGTCAAAACTATTCACACATTAAGGCAGATCTTGGCTATTGCTGGGAAATTGCTATGAAGAAGAAGAAGATATATGTAGTATATGTATGTAAATGTCTGTCTGTATACCTCTAAGCGTGCCCTCCAGACCAGCCAGCCATTGCAGCAGCTCGTCTAACACCAAGTCCAAGTCTCGAAGTGAGCGTGCGTGGGCTGCTAGCTTGTTTCCACGCTGGATAGACCATTGCCACACCTGGAATACATATACAGCTTAAAACGTGATAATGAGCTCATTTGAGCTATTATAGATATTGGCTTTGTATGGATGATAGTTTTAAATAGATAAGAGATATATATTAGTTCTTTAGAAAACACTTTGCTAGTGAATATTTTCATAATGTCTTTAAAGAGTTTGTTTCTAACAGAGAAGTCTTTAATTACAATTACTAATGCTTTCAATTTCGTGTAATTAATGATAATGTGTTTTTGATACGGTTATATGTTTAATTGTTTTATCATAGACTATTCATAGCATCACCTGTCCGGCAGACACTTTTCTAAATATCCGTATAACTGGCAACACTGAAACCATCAGCTTACGTTGCATGTTTTGATTTAAATTCATTTTAATAATATATTTATTTAATTACATAACATAACACTATCGCAACACTTTCTCCGTTAACACTCTATCATTGATCGATCGTTAAACATATTATCTTTGTATTTATTTTATCTTATTATGATAATTGTGAAGGTTGGTAAGTCCCAGATTTAATTCGTCGAATTATTGTTGTATTGAAATTCATATATAAAAAATTTTAACAAAATTTTTATAAAGCTGTGAATATGTAATCATTTCATATTATTAATGCTATATTATTTTAAAAGTTTTAGTTTGGTATCAATACTAGTTATTTCAAAACATTGACAGCCCTAGTTCAAAAGTTTAGAAGGTGGAGGAGATGTGCTCCAAAAATTTATTACTTTGTATTGAAATATCAAAACACAGGACAATCTTTTGCATAGAAGCTGAGAGATTAGAAAAAAAAATCGTGAATCTGTCGATTATAGTATATGTATGATGGACCCGACCACCCGCACGGTGAAGTCATTGAATGCTAAGAAAATTCATCTCACAAGGGGAAATTTTAACTGTATATTAAGTGATAACCCTGACGTTTTCCTGTCTAATATAGTATTACTTAGGATAATATTAATCATGTCAACCCTAACCTCGTCCCATCGGCTCTGTATGATGGTGATCCAGTGCTTGATGACGCTGACCGCGTCCGGGTGCGCCTTGGCCAGGATAGAGTGAGCTAGAGCTATAGTGTCGTCCTTGTCTTTCTGTTTGTCTCTCAATTCGGCGCTGAACCGTTCGTGGTCGGCCAGCTGCTGCTGCGCGTCGTGTTCAGCCTCTGATAGCTGACCAGTGAACCGCAGACGACTCTCCGCGTCTGATAGCCACTCCAGCAGTAGATTCACTGATTTGTGGAGACGCTCCGCCTGCAATACAAACAGTTATATGAAACTAATATATTAATATATGGAGGGAGAGAGGATTTCGACGGTGGTGAGCCGCTCTTCCTACAACATACACAGTTACATGAAACTAGTATATAACGAATTACTATGCGTATTTTATGTAGGTAGAGAGAAGAGCTTGGACGGTGGAGCGAGCGTTTAATAGCGCGTTAGATAGGGGCCCTTAAACCTACACCTGGGTCGTAAGTCACAGGCACTGTTGATGCTAGTCTTCCTGCATCGCACGGTGAATACATTGAATGCTAAGAGGTTTCGTCTCTCTTTTAAAGACTTCATACTCCCGATGTTTGCAGAAAAAACGAGATGTGAATGACAGTGACATAAAGACAGATAGACAGTGTTCCATAAAAACATTACATCCCAAAATTACGGTCTATGAATTTAATATCTTGTTGAGCAATATCATAACTCTACCAGTTATAGCCAATGACTTAAAACATACAATAGAAGTTTCATTACATATTTATTTTCTCATAATGGCGAGGTCGGCATAAAGTATATATATCAACAAAATAAAGTATCAGCTAATTAGGAAATCTGTTTGTGGTCATCTTTGTTATCACTACTATTATATTATAAATGCGAAAGTAACTCTGTCTGTCTGTCTGTTACGCTTTCACGCCTAAACCACCGAACTGATTTAAATGAAATTTTGTACAGTTGTAGAGTTGACCTTGAGAAAGAACATAGGATAGTTTTTATCCCAGGCTTTTGAAAGGTTCTATTGGAAACGCGATATAACTGAACTCCACGCGGGCGAAGCTGCGGGCGGAAAGCTAGTTTGTTCATATATACAAACCTCTTTGAGAGCCGCCTCCAGCCTGCTAGCTTTCTTCTCCGCGAGTGAGACGACGCTGTCCCAGGCCGCGGTGAGTTCGCTACACTGCAACTTGATGTTCTGAGCGTCCTCTGGCGGGACCTGGATACATTACAATGTTACTCAATATCTTTATATTTGTAATCGTTTTATAGAATAACGCTTGAAAGTGTAGATTTGTATCATATGAAGTTATCGACCCTTAAACACACACATATAAGTACATATATCGTATAAATTTGTATTAATAGAAATTGCCTCGTACATATTACTGCATATATATACTTATCTTTACAAAATCTTCTGTATATGTATGTATAAGCATCAAAGTAAACTACTGATATTTCAAGAGTCAAGAAATTTATTTAGTATTACATATAGTGATGAAGTTAATTTGTTTAATTCCTTACCGTAGCTTCAAGATCTCTTCCTGTTTTAAGTACCGACTGCATCTGTTGTTCTCGCGAGTGCAGGTCCTCTTCGAATTGCTGTTGAAATTGAATAAACTGTATAAATATTTTATTGCTTCTTTTGTAGAAGTAATTTAATTTAGTTAGTTTAAGGTGTTGTCGTCGTTAAAAAACTTTTTAGACAGTGCTGTGAATACCTGTAATGGGTGTACATATGAAGACCTATACTTTTGACTATATTTTTGTGTAAATGTTGTATATGTGTACTGTTGGTGTTCCTAAGTGAATAAAATAAAATAAAAAATAAAATTGGTTTATAACCAATTATGTTTGAGCTCTGTAAATCAATACAAACCTTATGTTGTTCTATGAGGGCCATGACAGTGTCGAGGTCTCCGTGTAATGGTTGGTCGGCGGAGAGCGTCGCCTGTCTCTTCTTCAGCCAGTCGAGGAGCGCTGACATCGCGTCTTTGAACTGACCCGAGTACAGCAGGGCTTCTTCAAGACGACGTTGTCTGTCATAAAAGGAATAATAAGTAAATATAATGTTATCTAAGGAGTTTAAGCACTATAGATAACTCTTTGGTGCACTTTGGAACAAAGGGAATTAGAATAGATAATTTCAAATGGCATAATACTATAGAATGTCTAAAAATAATATTTTACTGCATAACATCACTAGCTTTCCTCCCGCAGCTTCGCCCGCGTCGCGTTCGGTTATATCGCGTTTCAAAGAGAACTTTTCAAAAGTCTGGGATAAAAGTTATCCTTTGTTCTTTCTCAAGGACAACTCTATCTCTGTACCAAATTTCATTAAAATCAGTTCAGTGGTTTAGGCGTGAAAGCGTAACAGACAGACAGACAGAGTAAGTTTCGCATTTATAATATTAGTAGGGATAAGCGTACTGTATCTTACCTATCAACAGCTTTCGAGCACACAGTAGTCCATTTAGTCTTGAGCTCCGTCAACATATTCTTGAGTACCGGTTCGTCGGTCTTCGGAGCTTTGTCCTTCAATTGTTTGCCGACCTTAGTTGTTTGGTCGTACACAGGTTGTTTGGCCGCTAGAGCCTTCTGGAATTCTCTATGTTTGTTCAACCTGGAAACAATTTAATTAAATTTATAACCATAATTCAAGAAGTTGATAGTTAAATATTTCAAATATGTTTCAATAATAATAGAAAAGTTTAGTTTTTATTAAGACATCATATGGGTGTAATTTATCCCATGTTTATATAATCACCTGAGTTTGATCTTTTCAGGGTCATTGACCGCGGTTTCTGAGTTTAGTTCATCCAGTTGTTTCTCTGTCTCTTCCAGCCACGACATCATGTTGTTCCTGTACAGAGAGAGACGATCGATATTAACACCGCATAATATTTCTATAGAAATATTTATCACACATATATAATGTATGATAAGAGTGGGATCGTTTAGATTTTATTAGATAGGAGCTTAGTACTTAGATATATTTATAAATTATAAACAAATTTGATTGTTTGAATTCGATACAATTACTTTGTCATATCAGGTTTAAAAATTGTAACTGATTCAGAAAATGTCAAAGAAATCTCTTCATAAAATATAAATGACAATCGTCACATTATTTAATACTATTAATCTATCTGAAATCGCTTACAAAACCTTTTAAAATTATTAGAGTATAAAATAACGCCATCTATATATACATATATATAATATCTACTAACCAGAGGTCATTGAACTCCCTAGCCTCTTTAAGTCCGTGGTCCAAGGCGCGGGTTCTCTCCGCGGCACGAGCCACAACTCTCTCCCAGCGATGCTGCACGGACACCAACAAGTTCTTGATCAGTATAACGTCCTGCTTCTGGCTGAAGTACTTCAAGTGAGTGCCCTTCTTATCCAATTGAAGCATGGTCTCGCGGTGAGTGGACACTTCCTTCTGGAATAGTTTATGCTCCTCCACTTGACCTGGAAAATTAAAAAATATATAAATAAACATATATCAATAGATATAATCACTGGTATTGATAATTGGGTTATACTTTGTCGGTATTCTTAAATAATATGATGTCAAGTATAATGTAGGTAGATTCTGTCATTCAGTCTTGCTACTTGCACAATACATACATGACGAATTTAATATAGTTTTATATACTACAGGTATAAAGAAATTATATCATGTGGCAAGGATATTAATAATCATGAATTGCAAAGTCAACTTAAGTTAAAAATATAAAGATATAAAATAGCTGATAGTAAATCTAACTCATTTAAGTTATCACCTTGAAAATGAGCAGTATTTTCAGAAAATATGTAGATTTTTTAAGTTATTGTATATATGTATGCTGATATAAATAAAATATGTTGTACTAACTCAATAATGTCTCCATAACTCTGGACACAGGCTTGGCGGAGGTAAGAGTTTTTTCGGCGCTGGTCAGCCAGTCTACGAAGGCCTGTAACGCTTCGTGGAATTCCGTCGCTTCTTTAAGAGCTATCTCCAACTTGATCTTCTTGTCTGATGCCCTGATAATACATTTAGAAGTAAGAAACTGACTATATAAATATTTTTTGATACAAACTGGAATTACTTGAATTACTTGAATAATTTAGGTAAAAAGTAATTATTGAATGGGTTAAATATATATATCATAACTTTAAAGGAATGATTACTAAAGTGTACACCAGATAGTACATATTACAATTTTTAGTCAAAATTAAGCAAGTAAGAGCAATATAGTTTACAGATAGGTCACAGTATAATGGTTATTGTGATATATGTGGGGTAGATTAATTATAAATAATTGTTAGTAAGTTTTAAGGTATTTGTTTGTGTCTTTGTCACCGATTAAACGTTAGATTGAGTGGACGTATTTAATGTGCTCCTAATTTCCTATGTTATTATTCTAGTTCTGTCATATATAATATTAACATATTTATCAGTTATTTACCTAGAGGTGACATTATCCCATCGTGTCTTAAGGTTCTTCAGACTGAGGTGTAGTTGTGAGGTTGGGTTGGGCTTGGCCTGTCTCTTGATGTACTCCTGGCCTTGCTGCAACACCGCTTCTACTTTGGGGCGGTTGGCTTCCACTTCGTTATATATTTCCTGTTATTAAACAAAATATTATAGTCATCAAGGAATTCTGAAATTAATATTAAGTTAAGTTGTCTGATATTGATGACGTTTTTAGTAATAATAAAATTATTCGCATATTGGTGGGATTTGTAATGCTATTAAGAGAACTTATGATAATATCTAAGTGTATGAACCAAATAATTTTAGAATACCCAACAAAATAGAATAGAATATCAATTAAACACAGTCGTAATTTTTTGGATAAATGAAAGATTACACAGATTATTTATACATGGCACGGATAATATAAATTATTTATTTCGGTTTAAAGAAATTTATAACTCATAAGAATATACAGTCCACTTATAATACAGTGCAATGTTATCTAGAGTGTTAGAAGTCATGAAGTAACTACATTTTTTTTTACATACTTTTAAACAAGCTAGTATTTTCGCACTCTTTAATGTCAGTTGGTAATTTATTTAGTTTTCACACTACAATCATACAAAATATTATTTTGTATGAAGGCTAATTTAGTATAATATATATAGTCAAGTGTATTATATAATAATGTTACCATGAATCGGTCCAGTTGTTCAGCGGCGGTCTCGGGCAGCCCTCCCACTGGTCGGGAGGCGGCTATAGCAGCGTCAACCTCCACAGCCCATGATAACAGGTCACCGATCTCCAGGTTGAAACTGACGGACGAAATTGATAAAGTTATATATATATATTTACATTGTTCCTCATCTCATTATATATAATTTCAAATCAATTTCTTAAGTTCTCCAAGAAAATCTCTTTTGATAAATAAACACGGATATTTCTTGTCTTTCAATTTATACATATACTTTTTATGTCATCATTTGACTATTTGTTTTTGTTATATATGTATAAAAAGAAATTTTGCACTTCTTTTCAATAAAAAATATGAGAAGAATGAATAGTTTTTACAATACATATAATGACATTTCTATAATATTACTGAATTTAATATCAATATCATCAAAAATCGGCTATTTGATGATATCAAATGTATTATAAATAATTAATACTTCAGTAACTTCATCAGTGCTTCGTATAGAGTTATTTATGTATCGTTTGTAATCTTTAGTTTTTTGTCTATCTGTATAATCTGTGCATATGTATATGTATATATTATTCAAGCCCCACCTCTGCGCCTCTCTAAGCGCGTCCTCCAGTTCCGCCTGCCTGTCCCTGGCCTTCTGTTGTAACTCGCGCCACTTCTTATTCAACAGCGTCAACTTCTCTGCAGTCTCGCCAGCTTCATCTGAACCTGAATAACAACATTTTCATATAATATTTATATATTGAATAAATTTGGTATATTTGGTGATAAAAATCACAGATTGTGGTTACCACTGAACTATACTCATATATACATATATACTAGCTTTTGTCCGCGACTTCGTTGGCTTTAGTTTCAGAATTAGAAATGTATAGCTGATCCGGCGAACTGTTTTTGTTTAGAGGCATTAATAAAACAGATTTTGGAATTTGTTAGCTATTTTTTTTTTGGTTGAATAAATTCAAATGTATCCTATGTCCGATTTAATCTAGGTCCACACAAATTTCCAGCCAAATCCATACATCTGTTCTTGAGTTATAAATAGTGTAACTAATACGACTTTCGTTTATATATACATAATATAGATAATATATATGTGTGTATATAAATGCTGATATGTTTCGATTATTGTATGACATGTGACCCATAACCCCATTTTGAAGCCATAATAATAATATGCTTGGTTCTGTATGTGTGTGTGTGTGTCATACCGTCAGCCTGGTGCATGAGTGTAGCGGCCGCCTCATTCAACGTGTCGACGCTGGCTTGGTGAGCTGCTATATCATTCACGAGCACCTTCAACTTGGCCAACTCCACCTCTAGAGCTTGCGGGTCACCGGCCACCTGGAAATAACATGAACATTTAATATGTGTAGAATTTAATCATTAAAAAAATATATTAGTCATGATAGAAACAATCATCTTTAATAAGTTACTATAACAAACTAAAGGAATAGCTTACAAAACGAATTATGTCATTATAAAGAATACTTCAATTTATATTCCATTTCAAAGTATTTTCGAAGTTGAAATGTATCTTATATTGTAGAAGCAAAAAAAATCATAGGTTTTGATCTGATTTGACTTAAGTAATATAGATTTCAAACAAACAATATGTAGAATTAATTATCCTACTAATATCATAATTGCGAAAGTTTGCGAATGTGTGTGTGTATGTTTTTTACTTCTTCACGCTCAAACGGCTGAACCGATTTTGATAAAATTTTGTATACAGGAAGCTGACGTCCAGGAATATCACATAGGCTACTTTACATCCCGGAAAATGTTCGACCTGATAATCCGCGGGGCGCAGCTAGTAGGTAATATTTCCTTTCGTCATTATAATTTTAGTTGTAATACTATGTAATGTACCGGTGCGAGCGTATCCAAGGTGTCGCTGGTGTGTTGTATCCACTGCAGCGTGTCTCTGAGTGCGTGCTGCAGCTGTCCCAGGCCAAGCAGCGCTCGTTCCAGCTGTTGGTGTCTCTCTACCATGCCTCTCAGCAGCGCCGCCCAGCGGGCGTTCACCGCACTTAAAGGCTGACGAATAGACGCAGCTTGTTCGGGAGACGTGCGCTCTGTTAACTCGCCGGCTTGTCTGAACATTGATAATAATAAGATATAACTTGTGTAAACAGTCATAATAAAGCGTTATATATTATAAGTACTTACGACAATTTAGTCTAGCTATTGCATGTCGGTAACATTGTTTAAGTGGTTAGAAAAAACTTATTCTAGTTTTTGGTGCATATTATATTAATTATAATTTTGTAAATCAGTTTCGTAACTTCTATATACATAAAAAAATAACAGATTTAATTTAGGTCTTCATTTAATATATGAAATACCTTTCAGTACAACATGCTTGACATCAAATAGCTATCAGTTATAATAATTATCAAAGAAAACCACACATTAGTAAGACATACACGAAACAACTTGACTACACAGAACATTTATGAAATAAAACATTGAGCCACGCACACACTGTTTTGTATCAGTATGTTTATTCCAAGTTTTACTTAAGGTATTCATTACAATTTGTTGGTTATTAAATGTGCCATTAATGTGTAAGTGTGAGTGTACGTGTGTCTGTGGTTATTTGAGTGATAATATGTGTGTGAATGTGTGTGTACATGTGTGCGTAGGCCCTCTACATTCACATTCGCTGTTGTAAACAAAACAGAAGCGAAACACTCATAAATGTATTGGTTCTTGCCTCATCAAACTCCTGCATCAGTTGACGGTAGCACGGGAAGTGAAACAAGTTATTAGTACACCATTAATATACAACATTAATTATGGATATGGATAAGATATTATAGATCTATAAATTAAGGAAAGTGCAAAGGAATTTATTTCGTAACTAAATAAATAGTGCCCAAGTTATAAGAAACTATAAAAGTATTAAACCAACACCAGAATTGAAATAGATTTAAGTTATAGTGTATCGAAGGATTTTATTTAGTTCAAGTTTAAGACTCTATTGTAAGTATAATCCACAGAGTAGTGACCTGTTCAGAGCCTCCACCTTCACCATGTGCGGGTCGACCTCCTGCTTGAAGGCGGCCAGCTGCGCGATCTGTCTCTTGACCGCGTCTATGTCCGAGCCCAGCGGACCCATGCGAGAGAATTTATCCTCCGCGGTGTCCAGGAACGAGTTCAGGTTCTGTATATATTATGAATTAGTTTTAATGTGATGTTTAAGCTGTTTAAAAGTGGTAGAGCCTAGCTGTGGTCAAATTACTGCAGCTTTAACATGGGCTAGCTCTACCGGGGAAGTACCACCCTCTCACAGAGATCGGTGTAAAGGAGCCTTTAATGGCTGCGTTTCGTCTTATGAACCTTTCTTATATATAAAATAGCTATATAATATTTGTATAGTGTACATACCTGTAGCGTGTCATGGAACTCCATAGCCTTCTCCATAGCGTCTATGAGGTTCTCTTCTCTGCGCGCGTACAGAGCAGTGATGTTGTCCCATGCGCTGTCAAGCTCCTCCATATGTTTCTTGACCTCCGGCTTGTCAGGTTCGCCGCATATCGACATCAGGCTGGAACCGCTCTTACGGACTTTCTCCACCTGAACGAAATTAGTATATAAAATTTCAACTCTATATAATAAATAAATAAGGGCAAATTTTGTAAAAATGCTGTCAATTTAATTTGCTGTTATGCAATATTAGAATTATATTGGGTTCGTTTCTACAGCATAACTTCTGATATAAATTAAGTATACAGTAGAAACTCGATTAACCGGAGTAATTGTTGTCGATAGGCATTCGGATAATCGAAAATCCGGATAATCGAATGTATGAAGAAAAGCCGGTTTTGTGCGTATGTAGTATTTAGTTTATTAAAAAAAAAGTACATGTATGTACTAAAAACTGCAGATTGTAATCATGAAATAAAATAATAAGTTTAATTTGGTTTATAATATTTGGTAATTGTCATTTGACGTACGCCTCTCTCAACAACATCACTCTCTTACGCTTTACAATTCTTTCTTATCCGGACTTGTCCGTAGTCCGGATAATTGCGAATCCGTATAACTGAGGGCCGGATAATCGAGTTTCTACTGTAATTTATTACGTGTTATAGTTTACCTCAGGCTTGGTGTGGTCTATTTCATGCCTGATCTCCTGTAATGCCACTTGTTGCGCCTGTATGTCCGCTGGCTGGGCTGCCGGGGGTGGCTGCGCTGCCAGCGAGTCAGCCAGATCTGCCAACGCTGACATCACAGTGTCCAGCTGTTGCCAGAACTTACGGGCCATTTCCAAAGCGCTCTCGAGAGAGTGACCGCGGTCGGATGAAGATTTCTGAACCTCCGCCCATAATCTATTTCATAAAATTCATTTTGTTAATAAATTAGACCATAGTTTATAATAAAATGTAAGTTTAACTTAAGCTGTGGGATAATAACTCTAATCTGAATTAAATATACTAAAATTAATAGTGGTTAAAGAACTTTATTTCCTCATAAAGAACAGATAAATAGATGTATGAATCTTATAAAAATGTCATGATGTCACAATAAATTTCATACTATACATACAAACTGAAATTGCGACATTCATTGCATTTGATTTTTTGATTACTTAAATACCTATATAGAAAAAATATCTCAATTATTGCTAGTGTGTTCGGAGCCTAACACTCACTTGTTAAGTTTGTCTAGTTTAGCCCGTATGTCCCTAACAGCGGGGTCGCTGTTGCTGGCCTTAGCCATGACGTCACTAGCAGCCCGCGTCACCGCTCGGTACGCCTCTTGACGTTTGTCTAAGTCCTCGATAAGAGCGTTGTTCTCATCCATTTGTTCACTGTGGGATTATTATTTATAAATAAATAAAATCACTTTATTTCCAGAACAATATTCCAATTTTACAAACACTTATTATATAATGAATTTACTACACTCCAAATCGAAAAATAAGAACTTAAAAACTAAAACAAAGACCTTACATTAATATTATGAGCATTTATAATGAAATCACTTGATTAATGAGAAAAATACAAGGTATTTTTTCTATTATTGGAGTTATATTTAATTTTAAATTAGAATAATATAATCAAATAATTACATTTCCATAAAAGATGACTCCGGTTGTTCAATACTTATACCCAATAATCGTTATAATGTCTATAATACTCACAGTATTCTATGAGGGTGAGCGGACACAGGCTCGGCCGTTCTGAGTTGCTCCGCGGCCCCGGACAAAGCTCGAACCATGCCTTCCAGTCTCTCCGCGAATACAGCAGACTCTTGCAAAGCCTGGAAAAATATTAGTTATATAATAAAATATATAAAAGTTTTTTATTGTGAACAGGTTACACATAGTACAATCAAAAACATATATAAGGCTTTATATTTTTTTGTTGATATCTATGTCACGAAGCAGAACTGTCAAAACCAGAAAATTAACGGAAATATTCTAGAAGTCTCCTTAGAATAGAATTGTCAGAACGTATTCCTACTAATATTATGATTTTTAAAGTTTGTGAGCGTGTTTGTTTGTTTCTTCTTCACGCTCAAGCGGCTGAACCGATTTTGATAAAATTTTGTATACAAGAAGCTGACGTCCAGGAATAACACATAGGCTACTTTACATCCCGGAAATACGGGTAACACCGCGGGGCGCAGCTAGTCTACTATAATAATGAATATATACCTGTTCCAACTCCTGCTGCCTCTGTCTCAGTTCCGCTCGTATTGCGTTGTATCTATCACAGTCATTTTCCACAGTGTCCTGTATCTTAGCAGCATCCTCTTCCCCGCACAGCTTGGCCAGAGCTTCGCCGGTTTTGATGAGCTTGTCCACGAGCGGCTTGTGTCCAGCTATAGACTGCTGCAGCATCTCGTTTTTGTCCTGCTGCTGCGCGATGTGATCTGGACGAAGGGCTGGCAGCGCTAGCGATGAAACCTGTTTTTCCATCTCATCCAACCACGCGGATAGACTGTAATGATAATTATTATATAGCAAGTACTAAGCACAATCATAACATATGTATATAATAATTATTATTTTTATTGATTTTTAACTTAATATCTGTCCTGTTGTAGTTGTAGTTGTTATGTTATTTTATTTTCCTTTTTTGTGTTAGGATAAGTGTTACTCTGTTTTTATTCTTGTTTGTTATATGTTTTGTAGTGTAATCTTTTAACCGATAAACGTAATATTATTATATAAACAATTCTTATGTTATTGTTTCCATACCCGTTGTGTGTGTCCGCGAAGTGTTCGGCTAGCGGTAAGGCTTGCTCCAGGGCTGCCAGTCGTGCGGCGCTCAGGGCTGCCACCTCTTCCATCATCTCCTTTAACTCGTCAGATCGCTCGCGAATGATAGCCGCCTCGTCTGACGACTGGCACTCGCGTAACACCTGGGATTATATAGATTTAAGTAAAGCACAATAAAAATAGAACGTACAATGAAAGTTCGTGTATTTTATGAAAGATAAATCTATATAAGATAAAAATGTTATATTACATGTTATATCAATAAAATGTTATATTACATGTTTCTAGTAACACGACATCTATAATTTTGTACTCATTCTGCTCATCACAACTGTCCTTACAATAAGTGATCAAGACTACATTTTTTTTTTGATTACGAAGGGAAACTCTTTTTAGGAGCCGTCCAACCGGCCTTGGTGGGGCCGTACCAATACCGTAAGACCGTAAATAAAATTAATGCTCACCTTCTTCGCCTGTCCCAGTAGGTCCCTGGCTCTAGCTCGTTGAGCAGCCACGTCATCAGCCAGCGGTCGTTGTTGCGCCAGTTGAGCCCTAAGCGCGGCCGCGTCCCCGGCCGGGGGCTCCGCTGACCTCAGCATGGAGTCCGCTCCACGCAGCCACTCGATCACTTCCTCCATATCACCCACAACCTCCAGGGAACGCTAAGAAGGGGGGGGGGGGATTATAAACATGCTTTGGTTTTGACGGCAGACAGAAATATTACAAGAGACTATTGACTATATACAGCAACAGTAACTACTTGTATGGACATCGAAATTAGATATCAATGATGAGTCAACCGAAATTTTTGAATAAATTATAATCTTAATGTTACTGTGATGTATAAGTTATATCAAAACCAGTTCAGTGTCATTTATTTGGAAGATCAGCAAACAACCATATAACCGTACAGCTTTAAAAATATTCTTATTCTAATTTATCCTTTTATTTTATTTTTTTAATACTTAGATAATTATTTTTTCTTGATAGTCCTTAAATATAAAGCATACCTTCTTGCTCAGTAGTAACCTCTCGGCCTTTCTTTGCACTTGTTCTGCTACAGCGTCGAACCGTCTGTTGTCACGAGTCACTACACCTTCAACGTGAGCCGCGCCCTCTCCCGGGGAGATCTGTTATTAAAACAAATTGTTTTTATATTATATTAGTATATAAATTTTTTGTATCTTGTTATATTTATTTGTGACAAATGTTATTTAATATATCCAAAGTCTACACTATCCCTCATTATCAGACAGACAGTGTTTATTTGTCTTCACTATGCTACAAACTATTAAGTAATGTTCTTGTTAATTAAGCAAGGTACATGTTTTTAAAGCATGCTAGGTTTACATCCAGAAGACTGCAACTTAATGACACTTTATTTAGCTTAGATTTTATTTTGTATGCACTAGTTGTAAGTTAGTTTTGTAAACTTAAATAAAAATAATAAATATGCAACCAACCTGACACAGTTGTGGTCCAACCAAGTTAATATTATCCAATAGTGGTCTAAACTCTTGTAGCTCAGCCTCTAGTCTTAATATATCTTCCTCTCGAGGGTCCACGGACTGCAGACAAGTCTCCGCGCTTGACAACCAGTCTGATAACCTGAATAATAATAATTTAAATTAACATACAGTTTTCAACTATAAAACAGACACCTTTGTAGATGAAGTTTAAGATAAAATCTAATATATGACATTGAATAATTTTGTCTACTTCTATTTATCGATTAATTTATATTAATTAATCGTTTCATTTGACAATTAACGGACTCAACAAGATTTTAAACAATAAAAAATATGCAGTTTTTCCCGAACTCATAATTTATTTTACACTTTTTTTTTATCTGAGTCAACATACAACTTCTGTTATCCTACTAATATTATTAGCAAAATTTTGTGAGTGTGTGTATGTTTGTTACTTCTTCACGCTCAAACGACTGGAGCGATTTTGATAAAAATTTGTATACAGGAAGCTGACGTCCGCGAATAACACATAGGCTACTTTACATCCCGGAAATCCCGTAACACCGCTGGACACAACTAGTACTGTATAGTTTACTCACTTGTTGTGACTGTTGTACAGTTGCTGCACTAGTGGTAGTGTCTCGGAGGCGATCCTCAATAAATCAGCTCCCTTAGAGGTGAGGTCGTTGTATCGTCTCTGTAGCGCGTCCAGCTTGTCTTTAAGCTGTAGCGCCTCGTCTCCTGAGATGTGTTTCATCAGCTCCAAGCCTGACTCCACCGTACTGTCCACTGCCTCTTGTTTAGCTGCGATCTCTTCGGTTTTCTCCTATAAATAACATTATCAGCATTAATTACTATCACTAATTGTTAAAAGGAGTATAGTTTTTTATTTCTTGGAAAAATTTCCTTTTTTGGTGGAAACTAAATTAAATCATCACACAACTAAAATTTCTGTTAAATGAAAGTAATATTTTCGGATTACAACGCGATAAATACACGACCCTGGCTAAATCTGGGAGATTGCCAGGTAAAAGAAGTCTAAGCTATGTATATATCTAACCGCCAGTTCATCCATCTGCCTGAGCAGCTCCTCCATATGTACAGGCAGCAGCCTCCTTCTAGCTAACAATTGTTCCATGCCGTCCATCCACAAAGACAGCTCCTGGTAAGTCAGCACCAAATGACGCAAACCCTTACGAGAACTGTCCAGCAGCGAGCCGATGTTCAAGCTGTGGTCTACTAGCGCTTGGTAACTGGGTATGAGGAAGAATTGAATTAGATTAAAATGAGATATATACATGTAGCTTTTGTTTAGCTTATTTAAAACGGGAAAATATGCCAAGAAGTATACAGACACATTCCTTAGTATATATATATATGTATTATTTATTTATTTGTTACAATTATGTTGGTATTTTTTACATTTATGTCTTAGTTTTCACAGTGTCTCATAAACCAATATTAGTTTTTCCGTACACAGGAATTCATCGTCGTTAACTCACAATTACATTGACATCTCAATACATTTACATTTTATATATATATATATATATATATATATATATATATATATATATGGACTCAAAAAGACTATATGGATGGTATATATATGCTAACCGGTCGGTGGCAGCTTGCAGCCTATCAGCGAGGGCGGCGGCTTCATCATCACCGACTAGGGACAGCAGTTGGGACGCTGTGTCAGTCAGCTGAGAGAACTGAGGACGACGGGATAGAATGTCCTCGTGGAGCACCTGAGAAACGGAGATATAGCATTTGGAATGATCATACAAATCGTCGGGGATAGTGCAAAACTGCTTAACTAGCATTGGATAATTCCGCTTATCTGCATTGGAAGAAAAATATCAGAAGAAAGTTTAAGCTGAAATATTTTCTAAATTGATGACTTTTAAAGTAATTGTTACAAAATTAATAATCAATTAAACACTTAATAATTATACATAATTACATGGGCATAAGCATAAACATAATCGTCAATATATAAAGTTTTATAAGAATAACAAAAATAAAAAAATTGTAGATTCCATGATCGACCAATAATTTAATAACTTAAAAGGAAATAAATAAATTCTAGTTACAATAATAATGACACACATAGTATTTATTTTTAGTATCGATGACTTATAATAGTACTTTTTAATATTTAAACAAATGTATACCTTGTGCTCTCTTATTTTTTGTTGTATTTTCTCCTCGTCGGTAGGCACCAGTTCTAAAGCCTTCACCTTTCTCTCAGTAGTACCGAGCCACTCTAACAATGGTTGTAGTTGTTCTTGGAATAATTTCGCCACCTATGGAATTTTTATATAATATTAAAGTTCTATCTGCTAGTTATTATGTAATGGTATCGACTTCATCAATTAACTAAAAAGTAATTCAAAGTTGGTGAAAATATTATACTATAGTTACATATATAAGTTTCATATAACTCATATATCCGAGTCATACTAAATAATGATTCAAATAGTTAATATACTATAGCCTTTGTCTAAAGAGTATAGAGGTTAGCTATAATCGAATTCCATCATAGTGAAAATATTATTTTAGGGAAAATTATATATGTTTGATATATCCAGGTCGTCCTTAGTAATATTTCTAATATGCAAGTATTTTATTAAAAAGGTCACTACAGAGGTGTACATATATATATACACCATAGAATTTGTTTAATAAAAATCTGTATTATTAGTAATAGTAAGTAATATGTATGTATGTATGTTAGTGACCTTCATAGCTTGTTCCAGGTCCATCATCCTCTGCTGCGCGCCGGTGGTGAGGTCATCGAACCTCTGCATTAATCCTTTGAGTTGTTTCTCTATGAGCTTCCTCTCCGCTGGGTCGCAGCCGGCCGCCACCTCGTTACCCATCGCGAATAGAGACGACATCGAGTTCTGACGGTCCATTAGCATCTTCTTGAGGAACTGTTGGAAGAATAATCATATATATATATGTATATTGTATATATAAATAAAAGATATGACGGTAGATTAATTTTATATAATCTATAATAAACATTGATGTAAAGAAGTCATTATACCATGAAGCTTATATACTAATAAACTAAATAGTTCTATCTCAATCATACATATATACAGGGTGACTGGTGAATTACTATCAATATTTAAGGAGCATACTCGGTACATGATTCTCATTCGAATTATGTAAAAAAAATAGGTACTTAATTTTTGACCAAATTTCCGTATAAATAAATAAAGTGTGTACACGTTCCAAGTGTTCCAAGTGTGAACGCGTGCGGAGGCGTGCTGATACAACAACACGCCGCCGCGCGCGTATGTGTGTGTGTGTACCTAATACCTAATCTGTAGGGTGTTCATACGATGCGTAATTAATTACACAACTTTTGGTTAACTTTACTTAGAAGTTTATTAATATTTATGTTATATTAATTTTTATTTTGTCATATATGATCGTCAAATATCACGTCCTCAAATATTGATAGTAATTCACCAGTCACCCTGTATATGTAAACATTTACTAAAAGTATAAATATAGTATAAATTTAAATTAAGAACCTACCTTCTGTTCTTGAAGCTGAGCCTTAACGACCTTGTAGTCAGCGGAGGGTGACTTCTGGTTGTTAACCATATCTTCTGTATCAGCCAACCATTTTTCCAGACCAGCCAGAGCTTCCGCGAATTTACCCGACTGAAGAAGACCGACGTCCAAACGACGTTCTCTTTCGTTCATCTGGAATATAATATGCAATTATATAGTTAGTCATATGAGAATAGGCATGACTTTTTTTCCTGTTAAATATATTACATGTTTTATAAATAAAGACTACTTTGGGTAAAATATAAATAATTAACGATAAAATTACTACCTTATATAGTATACCTGATGGGCTGAGTCTAAGCTATCAAATAAAATCAAAGAAACAAAGTAAGCTAAATATGAAGTCATAAAAATCAATAATATCCCATTGATACTTTAATCATAATATTGATGACAACATTATTCTACAACTTTCAATTCATATCACATGAAAGCCACAATATTGGTATAAAATGCTTCAAAATTATAGTATTAAATTTTCAATCGACTTTAATAGAGTTTTCAATAGACGTTAAAACACACAAATGCATACACACTTACCTACACACGAACACGCTCACACCTACACACACAAACATACTTACACATTCGCTCACACACAACGAACAGTCTTGCTAATTAGAGTAGTGATCCATTATTAATTAATACTTAAGTTAAGTTTGTGTTTATACTTTACTTTAACTGTGTAATCCTGTATTGGTCTTAGTATTGTTTAGTTATACTTTATCATGTCATTATTATGAGCACTGTTGGATTACCGAAATAAAGAATCTATTTCTTACCTTATCCTTCAAAGCGTTCCACCTATCGTTCATTTTCTCCAAGTCTTTTTCAAGCTGTCCAGTACTAGCTCCTTGTAGCGCGGACCTAACTAGTCCTTGGCCTATTCTGTTGCAGTGAGTCACATTCACACCCAGAGGTTCCAAAGTATGCTTCTTTAACTCTGCAAAGTCTTTTTGCTGAGCCCTAATGTGTTCTACCTCTGATGACACAGGTTTTAGACTTCGCACTTGCTCCGTGGCCTGAGGATAAATTTAAAAAAAGTAAATTAATTTTATTCTTTTAGTTTTAATTGTTCTTTACAACTTATTAAAATAAAAATAATACTGTTTTTATTTATATCATATAAAATATATTGTCCTTTGTTATGGGGCAAAAAGATTAAAAACAGTTTTTTGATATTAAATATTTGCAATGAACAAGGGGGCCCTTTTGATAAAAAGTCAACACCACTCGATTACTATATTTGCAATGGTGATATGCTTTAAAAGATCTTGAAGTTTTATATATAACTTTTGTCCATTTTTACAGGCATTTACTAAAAACAAACGTATTCTTTTAATATTGATTACTTATGTATATAATACATATACTATGTATGAATCTTTTACATATACATACCTCATCAACATCATCCATAACCGAGTCATATGCTTTATAGAAGGCTTCCAGCTTGCTGAGAGTATCGTCCAGGTCTTGTTCCTTGGCGCGAGCACGTTCATCCAGCTTGGCAAGCTGTTTGCGGATACTATCCACCTGTGATAAAACATATGCATCAGAAACTTAACTAATGACTGTTTTTTTTTTGTTTATTGGTAATCCAACAGGATTACAGTGATTTTAGAATAGCAACAATATAGCTATATACAAGGCCAATTTAGGATTCCACAAAACAGTTCTACAGTTACATTCGAGCATATAATTAAGGATGAAAAGAAAAGGAAAAAAAAATCACTAATTAAAGGTTAACAAAAAACTACATACTATAATTATCTTTATTGTAAAATATGTATTTTTGTATGGATCAGAATAAAAACAAATTGCAGTAATTATATATATATGACCAAGCTAACCTGATCTCTGGCCTTAGCGGATTCAGCGAAGCCGCTGTCAACAAGACTTTCAGCGGCCTTCGCAGATTCTGCCACCAGGTCATCAGCTTGCTCCAGTTTCTTGTAGTACCGAGCCAGGTCATCCAACTGTGCCTTCACTATTTTGATCTCTCTGCCGGGAGCCTTCATAGCGTCTAACTCCTTCTCCAAGTCAGATATATCGTGTGAAACGTTCTTTACTTTGTCCTGTGAAGATGAAATGTGAGTTATATATTATCGTTCAATCCAATCGAATTAAATATGTATTTTTTTAAAGATGTAGTTACAGAAACTTTAGATAGACATGACATTGGAAATACAGAGCCATCTATAGTGAAATTAATGATATTATCCCTACTAATATTATAAATGCGAAAGTAACTCTGTCTGTTACGCTTTCACGCATAAACCACTGAACTGATTTTAATGAAATTTGGTACAGAGATAGAGTTGACCTTAAGAAAGAAAATAGGATAGTTTTTATCCCAGACTTTTGAAAGGTTCTCTTGAAAACGCGATATAACCGAACACGACGCGGGCGAAGCTGCGGGCGGAAAGTTAGTATAAAACAAATTAACCTGGAACTGTGAATATGCTGCAGCAGCTCCGGCTAGCTTGTCTCGCGCGTCATCGGTCCTCTTCTCCAGGTCTTGCAGACGTTCCGCGAGGTTCTTGGCTGTTTCTTCAAGAACTTGACGAGCTCTAGCACCGGCTTCCTCGCCGCCATTTTCCATAGCCAGAGCCACTATATCGTCCGCTGCTATGTTGATGCTCTGTGTATACGTTAAAAAAATGTCAGTCGTATATAAAATCGAGAAAAACCTTAAGGAATACGCGATAAGGGGTTGTCTATGTATCTTTATATATATAATTCTTCTGTGAGTGTGTATGTCATGATCTTGATGAAATTTTTTGTGTGTGTTCAAGGGGATCTAGGAATGGTTAAGATTCACAATTTTGTCTGCTGGACAATGTTTTTTTAATTAATTTTTAATTTATTAGTAGTTGTTGATAAAAACTTTTTTTTTGACATAAGATATCACAACAAACTAATATGTCAATCATTCTGTCGCACTTCAAAATACGGAGATTTATGGCTTTAATAGCTAAACTCCAAAAATATAAATAAAAAAACGTAACAGATATTTCTTGATTATAGGGCGATACGAAGTTCGCTGGGTCTTCTAGTAGTTATATAGAAAACGTTGGCTATAATATATATGTACCTGTAATGGGGCTCTCAAAGCATGAACATGGTCCGCCAGCCTCGCGACCTGATCTCTGGCGGCCGCGGGCGGCGCAGACAAGGCGGTTTCCAGACGCTCCTCACACCTGGCTAAGGGCGCCTCCACTGCGCGTACCCTCTCTAAGAACTCGCCAAGCTTACGAGCGGTCGACTCTAGATATTCCACTTGTTGGAGCACCTCTGATGAAGACAAACGAATTTAAATATCATTAAAAAAAATACTCAATTACATTATTTGGTCTTATGCAATTGAGGAGAATAAATGAACTGTGAAACCTTAAGATTTATTATCATTAAAATTATTAAATTTCGGACTTATACGAACGTAATAAATACTGTGAAAAAGTAACTAATTACCCCAACCAAATATATGCTTCAAAAGTGTTATATGAAATTTCAAGCAGTTTTAATCCTCATTAGTAATAGTCTATTTTATCAAAAAATATGTCTATCTATAATTTACTATTTACAATAAATGCAGAAATAAAAATAACTTAGAAACAAATAGGATTAGAAATAAAGAGAAATGACTTATTTAATGTACAAATGAGTAACAAACAAACTCCTAAGACACTTAATACTAATATAATACACTTAATAATAATATATGTATGTATGTATGTACCATTATTGATTCTATCCCATCTCTCTTTCATAGTATCGAGCTGTCTCCTTACTACGTCTTGGTCCACGTCACACGCTGATATCAAAGTCTCTCCAAGAGTCCTGTTATTCTCGTATTCACCAGACCTAGAAAAGTTAATTATATATTATCTTTCTTTATAAAACATTTACATAAGCATCTTTATATATTTATCTTTTATAGCTATATATATTATATATAAATGGAAAACTATAGTGAATAATGACATCTAAGACTTTTTGGAGTTTTATTCACTTAAATGAAACTAATATTTTTCAGATATACTACGCGACGTTATTTTTATAAAAAACTACATACTCCCGAGTGAGTGAGACATCTCGTCTGCCCGTGAACAAAGTTGATGAAAAGTAGCCCAAACGATTGCAGTATGTATTTTTTACAAAATAAAGTCGCGTATAATCCGAAAAACATTAGTATCATTTAAATATAGTGAATCCCACCTCTTCCAGACATCATTTCTGATCTGTTGTAGTTCCTTGAGTTGTTTCTCCACATCTTTCTTGGTGAGTGCCAGTGGTGGTCTAGTAGCCAGCCTCTCTTCAACCTCAACAAGCCAGGGAACAAACGACTCCTGAGCCTTGCTGTATTTACGGCAGTGTTCCTATGGAAAAAAAATAGTTATAGTTATAGTCACAAGAATATTTCATTTACTAGAACATTGTAATGTAAGCAACTGCTTGTAAATTAGGATAATATTGTAAACTTATGTATTTTGATAATGTATGATTATGTTTAGTATGTGGAAAGGCTCTAATTAGAACTTGCTTTTTCATCTTCTTATACATATATACCAATATATTGTATTTCACCCCCTTCCCCCTTAACCCTACTAATATTATAATTGCGAAAGATTGTGAGTGTGTGTGTATGTTTGTTACTTCTTCACGCTGAAACGGGTAAACCGATTTTGATAAAATTTTGTATACAGGAAGCTGACGTCCAGGAATGACACACAGGATACTTCGCATCCCGGATATCCCGGAAATCCGAGGGTAACACCGCAGGGCGCAGCTAATATATATAATTTTGTATGTCCATAACTCACCATAGCCGTCTGTAGTCTAGTCTGCCTGTCAATGATCTCTCTCTTCAGTTTGTCCCACTGAGTCTGTATTCGGTCCAGATCCTTCCTCAGGTTCTGATGAGCCGGCTTCTTTTCCATCTCACGACCTAAGAAGTAAATTATAAATAAATTCATATACAGCTAAACAAAAATAGTTAGAATACATTTATTTGTATATTGAATAAGATGTTAAGCTATAAAGTTACTGTGTGCAATAATTAATTATTTTATCATTTTGTTTGATGTTTCAATTATTCTCAAGTAGGTGAATAATAATTAATTACAAGTGAAATGACATAATTTTTTTAATATAAAAACAGATACGCGTAATTGGTTATACAAAAATTTAATTAAGTTAATTTTTTTCTAGATTATAACATAATATTTTGATTCCATCACACTTATTAAAATACAGGAGACAAAAAAGGAAAATACATATTGTAATGTAACTATGCTTATATACATATTAATGTACCATGTTGAGAACTTGTGTTATTTTATTTTATTTATTTGAAACACCATCGGCATATTTTCAATAACACTTATGTAATAACAGTTCACGGACCAGTGCAGTGTGATACACCACTACAGGCATTTACTGCACTGTTAAATTAAAAACAAAGTAATACGCTCTTAAGTATACACGCACATGTGTTGTACATACCTTTGTCAATGAGCATAATGATCTCATGTTCTCTCTGCGTGAGGTCTCTGTATAGCGGTTCGTGTTGGTCCAGCTGGTGTTGTAGCGTGGGTCGGTCAGCTGACACCAACAACCTGCTCGGCAGACCGCCCAGCGACGACTGGAGCCAGCCCAGGGTTCGAGACACTGACGCTTCCAGGTTACGACCGTCCCTGTTGGAGGGGGGGGGGGGGGGGGGTTAAAACATTGTATAATTTAAATTTGGAAAAATGTTAACATGTAATTGGATTTAATACATATTTAACTAGATTTTCATGATGATGATGATATAAGTTATAATTTATCCTTTCATACTAAGAAGTTCCACCACAATAAGAAGGTAACGTAGAGGAAGTCGTGGATTAAAACTATTATTTATTTATTTATTTAAAGGTACATCAACATCACATATATTCAGCACACGTAAACAACATATAAAATTGATAAAATCGAGGACCTGATATGAGTGACAATTACAGACGTACACAACATTCACAAAAAGAAAAAAAAAGAAAACTTATTGTCTATAACTATTATAATCCATTACGAGTCGAATGATATAATTTTTATTACGGTTATGGAACTTATTTTAATATTCATCGTAACATGTTATCACTCACTTCAGCGCCGCTTCAATCTCCGCCTTCTTATTATCGAGTTTCCTCTGCAGGTTGTCGTATTGTCGCGCCACGGCGGCCAGTTTTCCTTGTATGTCCTGCCTCGATCCCGGATCAGCCAGAACATCTGCGAGAGCTGCACCAGCTGCTTCCAGGTCAGCTAATAGAGGGCGCTGTCCTTCTAATTGCCGTTCAAGATTCTATTTCAGAGAGAAATTGTTTTAAATAACGACATTTTTAAATATATCCCAATTACATATATATATTTTTTATTGTTGTTGTTGTTTTGTGTGAGTACTATGTATATTCGAATACAATACTGATTTTTATAACATAAATCAAAATGGTGGGAGGAGCCTCTGTAAGCTCCGCCCTTCATTTGATACACGTATCTTCCTCAATTGGCTCACCTCAACCTCCCTGAGCTGGTCATTTGGATCATGTTCAGTGACGTCATCCAACTTGTCTCCTATAGCGTGTAGAGCGTTCTTGAGCCGCGCCAGACCAGCGTCTAACTCACGAGATGTATCAGCAGCCGCGCCAAGACTATCCGCACGGTGTTCCAGTCTGATAGAGAACAGATGTATATATAAATGGAATAGGAAATAGTCATTAAATCGGCAAAAATTTCTTATAGGAGATGACCATGATTAATTAGAAGAATCAAAAGGTAAATACAGCAGTATTGCAGTATAGTAAAGGTAAATACAGCAGTATAGCAGTATATGCAGTGATAAAATTAGAATAAAACTATTTTTCTTTCTAAATAGTACTAGCAATGTTGTAAGAAATAAACAGAGACTATATTAACTTTTATTAAAATAACTCCAAAAACAGGTCAATATAAATGCAAATTGTTATTTAATACTAACTGGCTGAGCAGATCATTCCACCTCTCCTGTAATTGTCTTAACTTAGCCTCAAGCTTCTGTGCGTCATGTTGGTGAGGGTCCAGTCGTTGCAGCACACTGGCTGCAACTTGCTCCAGGTGTGATAGTTGAGGCTGCTGGCTTCGGAACTCTTCGCGAAGAACTTGCACCTGAAATTCAGTTTAAATGTTAATCATTTAATTTACACCTGGATTTAGATATATGATTTTAGGTGATATACTTGAAATTAGAGAGATGTTAAATAAACGCGTTTGACTAACTTATACTTGCAAATATGTTATGAGTAGGTTACGACAGTCACTTCATTATTACATATTTAATTTTAGTAGTTTAAATTTGCGAATAATATGCCATAAATTGTGATTCACCATTATTATAACAAAGATATTTTAGGTAATTAATTACTGAAGGATCTGAACGACATAAAAACATTTAAAACAGACAAGTACAGGGTATAATATAAGTCTTTTCGTGTATACCTGTTGAACCTGTGTGTGTACAACCCTGGAGTCTGATGATATAGGCCCCAGGGCTGCCATCATCCTCTCCTTGGAGCCGAGCCACTGTGTGAGGCTGCTGTGTGTGTCGTGGAAGTCCTTCATCTCTTCCATAACATGAATCCTGGTATGGAAATCACATCACTTAGTCAAACTATATGAGAACTGACATAAAATTCACTAGAATTAAGTAATTTTATTGATAAGTTACTATTCAGATCACTACCTTCAACTAATATTATAATTGCTAGAGTTTGTGAGTGTGTGTGTATGTTTGTTACTTCTTCACGCTCAAAAACGGCTGAACCGATTTTGATAAAATTTTGTATACAGGAAGCTGAAGTCTAGAAATAACACATAGGCTACTTTACATCCCGGAAATCCGCGGGTAACACCGCGGGGCGCAGCTAGTGATAATATAAAAGCATAAAATAACTGTAAAGTTATGTATAATTGTCACCAAGCATTGCAAAATATACCGTATATAAATAAGATACTGACTTGTCTTTGAAGGCGTCATGTAGTGCCTTCCACCTGGCAGCTGTTTCCTCCGCCTCATCGTTGAGTCTATCAGCGCCTTCTACGCTTTGCTTACGACGGATCAGCTCTCGGACCTGGGCGAGTGGTAAATATTAAAACATATATTTTATTATATACATTATGAGTTAGAAGAGGGTTTTCCCAAAGAGGGTTGATGTCAGGCAGGCGGCCGGTCGTAAAAACAATTAGTCAAAACTATTCACAACGTAAGGCAGACCCTGGCTAAAGCTGGGAAATTGCCAGGTAGAAGAAGAAGATAATGACTTAGAAGATAGTTAAGACTTTGTTGCGAGATCCACTTATTGCACTTTTTTTTTATATTTTGTAATTGATTAAATATTATTAAAGCTAAATAAGTTGAGTGTTGTATCATCAACAACCATGTATTAATATAAAATAAATAATATTAATAAATTCAGATCGAATTATCTCTCAATTGTGTCCAAATCTCTCATATGTACTGACCTGTGTCTTCGTTGAGTCCAGTATACTTTGTTTCTCATACATCTCCTCCAACGCCGCCCGAGCCTGCTTGATGGTCTTATCAGCCTCCTCCTTAGTGTTGGGGATAGACTCTTTGGGAAGTTGTCTTTGAACCTGGATATTGTAAACATATGGTTTAATTTATCAACTAGCTAGTGGACTTCGGTTATATCGCGTTTCCAAGAGAACCTTTCAAAAGTCTGGGATAGAAACTATCCTGTTCTTTCTCAAGGTCAACTCTATCTCTGTACCAAACTTCATTAAAATCAGTTCAGTGGCTTAGGCGTGAAAGCGTGACAGACAGACAGAGTTACTTTCGCATTTATAATATTAGTAGGGATATTTCAAAGGTGTATATTACGTTAAAAAATGTAATATGTTTTTACACTTTGTCATATTACATATATCATATATCGTCGTACCTTATCAAGGAAGTTATTAAGTTGTCTCAGACTATCATAATGTTTCCTGACTTCTTCCCTGACAGCGTCTAGCTCCGTCTGTCGGTCGGCCAGCTTGGTGCCGAGCAGTTCGTAACGGTTGTTGATCTCTGAAACCTGCTGCTGTACGGGAGATAACTCTGTGGAGAGATGACGAAGTTGTATAAAATTATTATTTTAATACATTATAACGTGTATATATTCACGTATAAATAAATTTCTCATAGATTTGACAAATGAATAACGTTTAAGACGTCTGTTAATTCATGTGCAAATATATTGGTATAATATTATTGTTCTTTTGAAATCAGTTTTTATGTGTACACTATTCAAATGAGCAACACACAATTCAAATCATTTTATGAATTATGGAAAAAGTTTTATTACAAATCATTCTTAAGATGCAAGTAGTTTTACGAAGACAATTAAGATAATAGTTTTATATCAGTAAAAATACAAAAAGAACTGTTGTGTTCGACCAGTAATGTTTTTTACAACAATGTTCAACTGATTTGAATTTAATTTCAAATATAAAATAATGAACAAGAAATGAGTCCCTATAACTGCAACGACATAGGACTAGATGTTTCAAATTTGATTCTTGTTCATAGTACTTAATTTTTTATTAGATACTTTCTATTTTTGAGCAAAAATGAACTTTATTCCAAGTAGTTAAAGCTCACCGTCAAGATGGAACCCGTCCTGGCTGGAGCGGCGCGATGAGAAGCCTGATGAAGCGGAGGCTGGGGACACGAGCGTGCGGGACTTGACAGGGGACGGGGAGCGACCGTCAGAACGACCTGAGATAACAACGAAATTATCATATATATGTACATATATTATATATGTTATACAAAAAAATCTCGTGTGACCATGTTGACATAAGTATCTGTAATATCTCGACCGATTTATTTCAAATTTAAAGTGTATTCGTAGGTTGAGGAATTGATTGTTATATATTACAAACACTCCTAAGTGTCATAGACCATAGAGATACTACGTATATGGTTATGTTTTGCCAAAATTTAAATATAATTCATTTCAAAAATGACCAAAGCTATAATATCATAATTACGATAAAAAAAATCTTTTTATACACATTGATGAGTATTTATACATTGTCTTAATTCTTACTAGGTGTATGTCGTTTCGTGGGACTGTACAGCGACCTCTTGCGGTGCGGACTATCAGCTCTCTCTCCTCTAGACAGAGCCTCGTACATCGCTCCTGACTCGTTCACCTTAAAACATTAAATTACTTAGCATACCCGTATTTGATATTGTTTTATTTCATACATTAATTCTTCTAACCTTATCAATATTAACTGAGAAATCTCTGTATTCTTTAGCCAGTGGTCTCAACTCATCCTGCTGTTGTTTGATGACCTCCAAGTCGACAGCGACGGGACGTAAATGATTTACGCGATGCTCCATAGTTTGCAACCACTCCAACACCTTTGGAATATAAGTTTTGATTGAGTATAAGCCAAAAGAGACCATAAAATTATAAATATATGTTTGAAATTAGAATAGCAAACTTCTATTTTACATAATACAATATTTGTTTCATAAGAATTAATTTCTTAATGGTATTTAAATAGATATGGAAGAATTTACAAACCTGCATTCTCAGTGATTCGTATTGATTCAGCTGGTCTGCTTTTTGTTTCGAAAGCTTCTGTTTTTCCTCCAACATGACGTTGAAATCACGCCATTGATTTTCCAATGCCTAAAATATTCATTAAAAGTTTATAACGATTTTAGAGAAATAATTAATTACAAGTTGTTTGGTATTTTTTCAATGTATTGTCACCCTACCTTCATTCTGTCCCATACTACATGAGTGTCCGTTACATCTGGCTTCGAGATGAGTTGTTTTCCGTTACGAAGGCATTCTTCTAGTAGCGGCATTTGTTTGTCTCTGAAAAACAACACACATGATTATGGAGCCACTTCATCTATGTATACAGGGTGACTGGTGAATTACTATCGATATTTGAGGACGTGATATTTGACGATCGTATATGACAAAATAAAAATTAATATAACATAAATATTAATAAACTTCTGAGTAAAGTTAACCAAAAGTTATGTAATTAACTACGCATCGTATGAACACCCTACAGATTAGGTATTAGGTACACTCACACATACGCGCGCGGCGGCGTGTTGTTGTATCAGCACGCCTCCGCACGCGTTCACACTTGGAACACTTGGAACGTGTACACATTTTATTTATTTATACGGAAATTTGGTCAAAAATTAAGTACCTATTTTTTTTACATAATTCGAATGAGAATCATGTACCGAGTATGCTCCTTAAATATTGATAGTAATTCACCAGTCACCCTGTATATAGCATATATAGTATAGTAGTCAAAAATTACTGAATGTCAACGTTTATGCATTTTTGCATGGTAAAGTGTTATAACAAATGAATAAATGATTTAAATATGTTACTAAAATTATGGGTTTAAAAACTGCAGATGCATATTATAGTCACATGATTCAAAAAAAGTTTAATTTCAGTGTATTACGAAATGCTAGTATTTTTTTCTTGATATATATTCATCCGTTTCTAGTTTCATCTAACCCACCTGTTAGCGAGTATGTCTGTTATTTTCCCGTCTCTCAAGTCATCTCCCAGTTGTGTGCGAGCTGTCTCCAGGGTAGTCGCTGCTTGTGTGAATCGACTCAGCTCAGCAGACACTTCCTCTAGATGAACTCCTCGTTTTGCTGATCGCTCTAATAACTTGTCGTATCTATGAGAATGAATTATTTAATTAGTCCTTTAGAATTATAGTGGTATTTGTAAATGTAACGGAAATTTAATTAATGCCATGTGCTATATTAGCGTATGAGGATTAATGGGTTAAATTCTATTTAGATACAAGCAGCTTTTTTTGCATTGATGAGTACATAGCTTTCAGCCATCACTAAATTTACAGAAAATCCAGTATGGGACCAACATAAACAAAAATTATTTCTCTATATAATTTTTTTTTCTTGTCTGACCCTTAGTATATTATCTTCATAAAATAACTCTTATGACAGAATTATCCTATTAAAAAGTTTCCATATGGTTCTAAGATAGACTACTTCATAAAATTTCACATGACACCGACAATAAAGGCTCTTTTTTTAACAAGCAGTAACTCCTACCTGGCACAAATATCCTCAGCCCGTTGTTCCAGCTTCTTAGCTATTCGAGCGTTTGACGGCGTGGTGGCAGCATCTCTAGCTGTCGCCAACAGTTTGTTAAGCGTGGGTCTACGAGCCTCCAGCTCGGCGTGCGACGAGCGCTGCTCGCGAACTTGCTCGTCCAAACGCTCGCGAATCAGGGATGCTGGTTTAGATTGGTTTCTGTAATTATAGAGTTGTTATATAGGTTAAAATTTTGTTCAATACATATAGATGTTCAGTATGTAACTTGGTGTACGATTCAGTTAATTAGCATGCCATTCTCAATATAGTTTTGGTTGACATAATTTATTATAAAAGAACATTTGTTTAAAACATATAAATGTTATATATATTGATCCTGCTGACGATTAATTTATTTAGCATGCCATTCAATAGCGTCTTCATCGACAAACTGATATATAGAGTAACAAAAATCAATAATTTTCCTATCTAATTCTACTTACTTGAATGAACTTTCTACAGTACTGAGCCATTGAGCCTGTGTCTCAGCGGCATCTTGTAGTCCCTGGCACTGTAGTAGCGCGGCTTCTAGCTCCGAGCATTTAGCTCCTAGAGCGTTGTCCAATTCATTGTACCTATCATTCAGTTCGACCACAGGAACTTCTAACTGTCTGATCTCAGCCGGTGTTAAGTTTCCTTCTAAAGATTTGACTAATTGCTCACAGGCCTGCAAGAAAATTATCATTATAACAGTTTTGTAAAGTCAATAATTATTTTATCCAATGTTAAAGAGAACTTTATTTCTGGGTCTGATAGTTGTTGAGAAGTTGTTAAATAATTCTAATATAGCAAATGACTCTAGTCAAAGAAGTTCCATAGTTATATAGATTTCAAGTATGTAGTATTAAGTTGAAAACTTTTATGTACTTGTATGTATTTGTGATTGTAATCAATTGAATACATACATCATGCGCGTGATCAACCAGTCTTCCTTGCGCCCTCAGTTCTGAATGAAGCGCCTTCACGCGGGTCAGCTGTGTGTCCAACGCACGAGGGTCACCACCAGCTGTCTCCGACACACACGACTGTACTTGGGGTTCAACCTGATATAAAAAGGTTTAGCAACATGTTATAGACGCTGTTCATGTAATTAAAATTTTCTTAATGTTACAGATCTTAGTGAACGATATTACTATTACTTGTTAAGTAAAAAGTTATCTTATAGAACATTTTTTTAAATATATTTTTTAATATACCACACAAAAAGCACGAGAATTAATTAATATAAAAACGATTTATATTAATTAATTCTCGTCGTACTTTGCGTCTAGAAGTAAACTCAATAATAAAAGTATAAAATAAAATTATCCAAAAAATGTACGCTATTTATACAAAATTACCAGTTAGATTTTAATATAGTATAACTGACCGTCTGTATCCATCTCTGTGCTCGTTGTAGCGCCTCTCTATACCTCGCTGAGCCGTCGCTAGCTGTTCTCAATCTATCCAATAGTCTCTGCGCTCTGTTAGCCAAATCCGAGTGCCTCCTCCTAGCGAGGGCGGCGTGTTCACGTACTATAGAGTCGACAGGTGGCGCCACATGCGATAGACGAGCCGGCAGGGAAGTGCGGTAGTCGTTCAGTAGAGAGAGGAATTCCTGTAAAACATTCAATTTTAATACTTTCATGTTCCTGAAAATCAGTTTAGAAACATCATTGATGCTCCTTCTACTGAGCGAATCTCCAATTGGTATTATTGTACTGCAGCGCATTTTCTTTTTCTTATTATAATATTTTTTTTGTGTAATATTATTTATTGTATTTTTTTTTATGTTTTTATTTGTGAATAAGATTGTTATTGTGTTGTAGTGTGACTTTGACCAATAAATATTATTATTATATTATCACCATATTCTAAAACATGACCTAACAAAACCAAGTGATATTTTTAGTACTCTTCAGTTCTACCATATAAATAATCTCACCTTGCTCTCATCCACGAACTTCTGTGCAGCCATCGTGATGAACCTTAGGTCGGCCTGGTGAGCGATGACGTCAGACACGAACTCTCTGACGTCATCACTCTGCCCGGTCAAATTCTCGACCTTCGACAACGCGACTTCCTTGTCTTCAAGCGTGCGGTATGCACTTTCCATCCACGAGTTGAATGTGTTCAGTTCGTTCCTACGAATGAAAAAAACGTTAATAAATACGTAAGATACTTAAAATGAAACAAAGACATAGAAAATAGATTTCAGCACGATTTTTCCATAGATTATCTCAACTATTCTAATCGAAAAATATTTTATGACCTCTATATAAGTCTATCATATATCAACATACGTAAATTTGCCGAGTTCATCTCTAGCGGCGACCATTCTCCGCAGCATCTTGTCACATCTCTCCGAACACTTGTCGCATCTCTGCTTCAACTGTCTCACGCCACGCTCGAGAGCAGCCACCTGTAAACGTTATTATAATGATTATTGTGAAAGTCATCTTAGCAAAGAAATACTTGGGAAGTGTTAGTTCAGTATTTCAGTTCAGCTTATTATTGCACCTATAGTAATTCAGTATTTCCTTGTATTGATTTCATAATTCCAAACAGAACTCATTTACGTGCAATTATTATGAACAAATTTTTTTTATAAACTCATCAGACGTTTTTTCATAACGCATGAATACAATACATGTTATTTCAAACATAATTTCTACCAGTATAAGAACATAATCACTAAATGCAGATAGATTAGTCTCAATGTTTTCTATTTAAACAGGTTATATATTGAATTTTAGTTATTTATAACATATTATATATTGTATGATACCTCGTGCGGTGCCAGTACATCTCCTCCTGACACGAGCAGCTGCTTGGCTTGATCAGCACACGCCGACACTTGGCGCTGATGAGTCTCCAGATCGTCTTTGATGAGCTGAATGGAACAGAAGTAATAATAAGTCAATCTAAATAGCTGTTTACAAATATCCTAATACTATGTATGATGAAATATATAGAAAGAATGTTTAATGACTTCTAAGACTGTTTCGAGTATTCATTTAAATGAAACTAATATTTTCAGATTTAATATTTTTAAAACTACATACTCCTGACGTTTCGGTTATTATGTAGCAACCGTAATCACGGACGGACGAGGTGGGAAGTTCTCGTATATGTATATAGTTTTAATAATAATAAAATAACGTGCATTAATCCGAAAATATTAGTTTTCATTTATATAGAATGTTTAATACACTAGCGCGACTCAGGGCACGATAACTGATTTGTAAACACGCAATTTCCTGTAAGTGGCTGGTTCAAATCAAGATCAAGTAAATGATTTTTTCCTTCTATATTACTTGTTTTAATTTATATATAGTTAAATTTATACCTTAAGTACGTTGATCTGATTACGTAGTTCATCCATATCCTCTCTGACGGCCTCTTGATTGGCTAAGCGTTCTTCAACAACCGCTATCCATTCTAACAACTTCGACAAACTCTCGTCACAAAGCCTGTATTTCTCTTCAACTGCTTGCTAAACATCAAAACATATATATAAGTACAGGGAGTAACTATAATAAACAACAAACCCAAGAGCATATGTGTATGTGATGTACCAAATCTACTCTAATCTTTTGATACATCTATCTACTTCGTGAAACTGTACATTTAATTTACAGTGCATTTATTTACAATCAAAGTGAAATTTTATTTAAACTACATCATACAGTCACCAATAGTCTAAAATATAAACATAGAAATATTAATTTCAAATCAGCACTAAAATGTAAATCTATTTAAAAAAAACTAGTTTAAAACCTGAAAAAAAGCATACACTACACGCCATACAAAACGCGTGTAAGCAAAGACAGTACCTAATGATACAATCGAAAAATGCCAATATACAAAAGAGCGAGTATGGAAGAACAACCAGTCGATGTGGTGCTTAGAACAAACAGTGTGAAGCGTAACATGCAAGCGGTGAAATATAACGCAAATGGCAAAGTCAATATAATAAAACATTTGACATCTGCACGATAAGTAAATTATGAAATGGTATCAACATCTTCAGAAGTCATTGTTATTAATGTTATAATTATATTTTAAGTTAATAGTTATAGAGTAATAAAGACAAGAGTACCTTTTTGGAAAATCTGAAACCTTAAAACAGAACGTTTTATACATAACAGGAGATGATCAAGTTCAAGTGTTTACGAAATATAATAAAGTAATTTATATGACGAATTTACATTTGTTCATCGAATATGAGATCTTACTTCATCACATAAAGCATGGACACGATAGTCACCAGATATAATGAAATAAGTTCTCAATGAGACCAAGAGATTTCATTAGGCCATTAATTAATTGTATCAATACTACCTTATGTGTTTGTAGAAAATGTTTTACCATTTGCTATTTGTGAATGTTTGCATCGCGAGTACCGCCTTATTAAAGACATCATAACACATTTAAGGGTCAGTCATGCATTTCGTGATGTGGACACGTTTTCCAAGGAATGAGTAAATCGGAACACAAATTCTTTTAAAAAATAATGTATAGAGAATCACACGTTTGAACAAACCAGCCGTCATAATTAGCTGGTTTCCAAATGATAAAGCAAACAGGTAAGCGGAAGATCGCCGACATGACTACAGAGTAATGTCGTTTTCGATTTCCCATATGGTATTCTTAGCACAATATGTATATGGGGGTTAGATATTTGGCGATACGGTGATGGTTCTTAAAATCGTCGTTAATATGATCCCTCAAAGGCAAGCATTCACGATATAACTCAAAAGGGCTCTTTAGCATCGCAGGCAACGGCTGGAAATAAAAAACAACATACATCGAGCCTTATTACAAAGTGATGAAGCACATTACCACTCGATTCAATGACTTTGACAGGTTTCTTTACTTAATAAAAATTAATGATAAACAACTGATTTGGAATGAATAAAAAAAAACTGTCAAATATCGAGTGAATAATCTTATCTTAAGCATCCTTAAACATTACAAGAAAAAGAGGTTTTTTTTCTACTTTGAATGATCTAGAAGCATTTGTATACTCTTTATTGCTTCTACTGTCATAATCAGGTCGGAATCACGCGTCTATATGTACCTTATTCTAAAATTTATTAGTTATGAAATAACACAAAAACGTTGTTAAACATTCTTGGAAACAAAGTAATTTCGACCTCTTGATTAAGTGCATACTACTATCATAACAATTTAATACGTAAATCACTAAATTGTTTGCTGACCAAGTTATAGGTTCACAATTAAATTATTTAGCCTATTAAACTGTTTTAAATACATAACGCCTATAACCCAGTCACTGACGATTGTCATGTGGGTGTCGTGCCATGCCAATGATTTGAAGCCAAACGCTTAGTTTAAATAGATCACCGTCTAAGAGTAAAAGTATAAGAAAGTCTTAAAGCAACACCTTTTTGCTTGATTAAAGCACAAAATGTAAAAATAAATATTTAAACTCACCCTCGTTTCTGCTGGCAGTAAGTATCCCTTTTTCAGAGCTTTGACTAAATCTAGACTTATTCCCTTCTTAGGGTCAATGACTATTCTTCCTTCGATTGGATTCACAAGTTGTTGTTCGATTGCTTGTACCAATGGGCATATCTTTCCTGTTTCTGGTTCCTTCACAACTGTACTTGACGGATCTACGATACCTTGTCGAATAGCTTCACCTAATGTCAGTCTTTTTCTATCGATAACGCTTGTTGTTATGAAGGGATCGTTTAAGGCTCCCGTCGTAGGATTATAAATACCGAAATTTAAGGTCTCAATAAGCGTGAAACTCTTTTTAGGTGTCATAAGGAGTCCACTTTCTATTGCTGCGCTTAAAGAGTTCAGTTTAGAGGTCTCTGTATCAAGAATATTACCCTTTTCGGCGTCCATTAAACCTTTGCGGAAAGCTTCGGGGAGCTTTACTAGTCGTTTCTTTAAGTTATCTTTTATAAGCGCTGTGTCTGAATCAATGTAGCCCAAAGTGGCCGCGTCTTTTATGGTAAATACTTCGTTGGATTGTGGATCGGTGAAACGAGCAGTATTAATATTGAGGTAACCGTTTTCTATCGCTTGCTCAAACGTTAGAGGTTCACGGGTGTAAACAATTAAACAATTTTCAAAAATGAAACAACGCATCCGTGATCTATTTTGTGTATCGAACATACCCTTTGCGTTTTTATCTATAATACCCTCAGTAATAGCCAAATTTAAGGGAATGTATTTATTTTTATGAGGATCTTTTATTAAACATGTATTGGGATCAATAAACTCGTACTTAATAGCTTCGTCTAAAGTGAATTCACGAAGAACGGGTTCTTTGGATTCAGAAGAATCCGGTACATACTGTTTAGTTACACGCTGAGAGGTCAGGGGAGGAATAACGGTGACCAGTAAACCTTTATCAAATGCTTTATCTATGCTATACGTTTTCTTTGCTTTTGTATCTAAAACCCTACCCTTGATTACATCCACGTCGCCGTCTCGAATCGCGTGAATCAACGGTTTAAACTTACCCGAAGGTCCATCTTTAACAAAAGTAAGATTAGGATCAATAAGATTACTTTCTATAGCTTTATCAATGGCGACAAATTCATTTCTGCTAGGATCTACAATTTTACCATTGTCTGCCCTAAACAAACCATTCTTTATGATTTCTTCTAAACTGAGATTTTTCATTGATGTTACGATAAGACCGCGATGTTTAGCGTCAACTAAATTTATAGTATTTCCATTAGGAAGTATGTAAACGCTGTTATTTTCGTCTATTACTCCTGCTTCTATGGCTTCTACGAGCCTCATATATTTGCTAGACGGAATATGTTTTACTAAGGAAGTTTCCGGGTTAATTAACTCTTCAGAAATAGAACTCTTTAGCGAAAGTTTTCTTTCAGTAACAGGGTGTATAAACGTTAGTTCTGTTATATCATACATGTTCATGGCTAAGGCATCATATAAAGAGAAACCGGCACTTTCAATGTCTACAATAAGGCCTAAACTTAACGCTTCTGACAACGACACTTGGGTATCTGAACCTGGCTCGATAAATTTACCATTTGTTTTGTCAATGACTTTAATTTGACAACACTGGGCTAATGTTAGCGGTTTTTCAGATTTTTTATAGAAATAACAGAGATATTTGGGACTTATTATTGACCGTCTTATCGCTTCGTGTAGAGTTATCTTGCGTGACGTGACAGGGTCAATTATTTTGCCTGTAGTATCGTCATATAAACCTTGATGTAACGCTCTTTGTAGACTTATCGGTGCCTTACTGTCAATTAATAAACCAATTTCAAGAGCTTTAGCTAAACTAATTTCTTCGTTTTCATTATTTATATTTTTAATTTTACCTGTTTTGTCATTAAGCATGCCTGTATCAATACATTCAGATAGAGAAATTTTACTCCATTTACCTGACCTGTTGTCTTGGATATGAACTGAATTTGGATCGATGAGATTAAGTTTAACAGCTTCAGCGAGACTATATTTCTTTCCACTTTGTGGATCCATAAATAGACCTGTAATTTCGTTATAAACGCCTTTTTCGATGGCCTCCATCAGAGATAGTGGCCTCCGAACTTCAACTAATATTCCTCTTTCAAACGCTTCACGGAAATCAATCCTTTCGTTTCCTATCAAAATAGTGCCTGTCCTACCATCAACGATTCCCTTATCAACAGCGAATTCAAAAGGAATAACCTTACCACCGACGTGAACTAGAGTTGATTGCGGATCTAATAGTCGTTTTCTAATTGCTCTTTCCGTAGGCATTTTATCTTTCGTCTGAGGATTAGAAAATTTACCTGTGTTGGGATCATAAAAACCTTTAAAAACAGCTTCAGGTAAGCTGAGCTTACGTTTGGCTGGCAAAATTAATCCACGTTCAGAAGCGTCTGTAAGCGAAATCTTATCACCATGGACAGGATCCCTTACTACACCTTCCTTTGAATCTATTATTCCCGATTCTATAGCGGCAGCCAAGCTGATCATCTCTCCGGTTACCGAATTTTTTACCGTTAAAACTTCATTGTTTATATTACCCTTTTTAATAGCATCGTCTAGTGTCATATTTTTACCATTAATAGTTAAAAGACCGGTTTCGGGATCGTAAACTCCTTGAACTAACCCTTCCTGTAATGACCAAGGCTTTTTATCACTTAGCAAGTAGCCTTTATCAAGAGCATCTTTAAGATTAAATCGAGGGGATGTTATAACTCCTTGTTCTAAATCCAAAAGGCCTGATTTGATCGCTTCATCAAAAGTAACGACAGTTTCTGTATTATCATTTTTTATTTTTACGTCAATCGGATCTACGAGCTTATTCTCTATAGCCTTTGCTAAAGTAGTAATTTCACCACTCGCGGGATTTAATATTCTACATGATTCTGGCGAATAATAACCTAGCTCAATAACATCTATCAACGAAAATGTGATTGATTTTGTTGCTATGAACCCTCTCTTTAAAGCGTCGTCTAATGGAATGTGCTTACCAGTCTTTTTATCTATTATTTTTCCTGTTTCCGGATTAATTAATTTCGTGTCAAGTGCCTCTGAAAGCGGAACATACTTTTCTAGAGCAGTATCTTTAATTTCTGAAATTGTAGGATGTAGGATGTTTCTTTCAACAGCATCATTTAACGCTACCAGTTGTTCAGTAATATTATCTTTTATTTTCCCGGAAGTCGGTTCATACATATTTTTATTAATAACAGCTTCAATTGAAATAGGCCGTCGCGTAATCGTAATAATACCCTGTTGAATAGCAATAGATATTTCAATGGTTTCTTGTGTTTCAATAATTGTAATAGTACCATTGCGCATTTCTAAAATACCCTGTTCAATAGCATCCGATAATGAAATAATTTCGTTTGAATGCGGTAATTTTATGAGTAAAGATTCATTATCAATTATACCCTTTTGAATAGCTTCGCTTATAGGAACAAGATCACCGGTATTAACATCTTTTAATTGTTTAGTTTTAGGATTGTATAACCCTTTTTCTAATGCTGACTCTACCGTAGTTTGCTTTGTTATAAATGTGTCCTCTGGTTTTTCAACTACCCATCCTATTTGAACACACTCCAAAAATGATACTCGTTTTCCGGTTTTAGGATTGACCATGTGTCCAGTTACCTTATCAATAATAGGCCTGGAAATAGCTTCGTCAAATGGAACGTAATTATCTGAAGCACTACTTAAATCTTTGACTAATATCGATGACGGATCAAATACGTTCAAGCTATAAACTAGTTCTTCGAATGAAATTTTAGCGCCTGTCCTTGGATTCAAAAATATTTGTTTTTCTATATCATACACTCCCATTTCTGAGAGCTCCTCAGGGCTAAGTTTTTGAGAAACTGAAAGACTATATTTTGGCTGTGTTTCCCTGACAATAACACAATTTTTACTAATCACATCTACTGGTGTAAACCTACTAATCTGTTCTTGTTCTAAAGAGTCTTGTACCGTCAAAGCCAATTCTTCTCCGTTCATTATGATTCGACAAACTTTAGGTTCTATTTTGCCTTCCGCGATGGCGTCAATCAGAGGAATATTTTCATAAAGTACCTTCTCTGGCTCACTTCTAGCCTTCAGCGTATTTTGTTCTGTTATTTCATCAATAGCCCGCAACGGCTGTTTTTCTGCATCAATCAAAAGTTTTGACATTGTTTTATCATCTGCATTCACAATGGGTTGTTTATTTTCTTGATGAATATCTGATATAATTGGTTGGCGCTGGGTTGTTTCAATTATAGCCAAATCTTCAGGCTGACGTGAAGATGAATTTGATGTTGTGGTTGGTTTAGATGACTTATCTGAATTTGTCTTATCCGTGGCATTATTATCAGCTGTAAATGCTTTTTTCACACCTTCTACAGCTTTTGATGCTGCCAAAATTGGAGCACCTACAATTGCTACTAGTCCGAACTTAGCAGCATCCGCAAAGCTTATTTTCTTGCCATCTTTATTCTCAATTTCTAATGTATTAACATTTATAATACCTTTATCTACAGCTTCTTTCATAGTTATTTGTCGACCCGATTTGTAATCTGTAACTAATATTGCGTCTTGTGCGATGGCTCCTTCGTTGATGGCAGACAAAATATCTTTATATTGCTCAACATCACCTACTATATCAGCATTAGAAATAGAAGGACTTGAAGTTGCAGGAGCAGCGTCGCTTTTAGATTTTCCTTCTTTTATAGATTTTTCTGTACTTTCATTTGATTTTGGAGATACGCTTGAGGTTATGTCTGTAGCAAATAGTTGGGTTTCTGGTTGATTGTCTTTTATAACTTTATCAACTTGATCTTGATGAATGTCAATTTTATTTTTCTTTTGATTTAGCTGATCATTCATGTCTGGTGTACTGTGTGTTGTAATGTCTGTTGTACTGTGTGTTGTTGTTGATGAACTTTGTGTTACTTCAATTGTCGTAATTTTAGAAACCTTTTCAGATACAAACGTTGTCTCCTCAGATGTAGACACAGTTGGGTCTGATTTAGAAATAGTCGTTTTAACTATAGTAGTCACTTGCTGACCATCTGGAGTGATTTGATGGAATTCTTGTATATTTTCTTGGTCCTGTTTTGTATTCCTGTCTTTAACATTTGTAACTGTAACAGATTTTTCAGACGTTAAATTTTCTCGTGTTTTTATCATGTTCGGTTTGTTTCCTATGATTTCCTCTTTGATGCTGTCTTTTTGTAATGCAGTTTGAGTTGGGTCTTCGGCGCTTTTCTCTTCATTCTTCTTTACTTTTAATTGTTTCTCTTCCTTTTCTTTATAGTGAGCAGTTAACTCCGAAGTTGTTGGAGTAACATTTTCATATTCATGCTCTTTCAAGGGTTCTTCTTTTTGAGTTTCAGTTGACACATCAGAGTCACGTTTTATAACATCACTCTTTTGTAGTTCAGTTTTCTTACTCTCACTTATATCTTTGTCTGATCGTTTTTCATTAAAAGGCTTCTTGATAACTTCTTTCTGTGACACACTTGGTTCTTTACAGTCAATGACTGATTTAGTAACATCTGATGGTTTTTCGACCATTCCTTTCGATTGCGGTACTTGATGTTCCACTGAACTATTATTTTTTCGTTCTACTTCTATAAATTTAAGATTGGGATCATCTTTATCTTTTCTTAGAGCAGACTCCTGTTTATCGTTTTGTTGTAGTTGTGTTATTTTAGACTTGATACTTTTGACACCCTCAGCTACAGCCATACCGGCTAAAACTGGACCTGCTATTACAGCAACTAGACCCATCTTAGCTGCATTTTTAATATCAACAGATTTACCTGTTTCAGGTTCTCTGAATTTTCCGGACTTCTTATCCAATAAGCCTGTATTTAAGGCTTCTTGTAATGTAACAGGTTTACCGGCTGTTATATCATATATTACAGATTCGGGATCTATGATCTTCTTTTCCAAAGCCTCTTTGAAAGTTATTTTGCTGTCAGGGGATTTCGGATCATAAAATTTCTGAGTCTTTTCATCAAATAATAACTCGAATGCTTCTTTCAAATCCAGCAACTCAACCTTATTGTCCTTGGGTTGTGTTTTTTCAGATTGTTTAGATGGACTTTCTGTATTCAATACACCACTATTAATGGCTTCTGTGATAGAAATTACCTCCCCGGTAGTAGGGTTTGTAAATGTACCTTTATCTATATTGATATATCCAAGATTGAGAGCATCTTCGAAAGTCATGCTCGTGTCACTAGTTAAAAATTCTTCTTTACTTGTTTGTTCATCTCTGATTATACCTTTCGACCGCGCTGCATCAATAGTCATAATTTCTCCTGTTATCGTATTTTGAACCTCATTAGCGTTAATTAAAACATAGTCAGCTAAAAGTTCCACCATTTTGGTAGTTATAGTGTGTTGCGATGTGAACGTTTCCGTGACTGTTGTAACTATACCTTCTGTATTGCTACGAGAAGAGTCTATTTTAAGTGCCAACAATCCCTGTTCCATAGCTTTTTCAACAGGCATTTTTTCTTTAGTTTTTATGTCAGTAAAAGTACCGTCCTTCAGATCGACTACCTTATTTTTGATGGCCTCTTCTAATGTCATTGTGGAAGAAGACTGTGGATAAGGTATGTCCATGAGAAAACCTCTCTTAATGGCTTCATCTATATTGATTTTTTCCCCTGTTAGAGGATGTTTCACTTTCCCAGTTTTAGGATCGATTACATTATTTTTAATAGCCACGGATAACGTCATTCCAGCAGGAGGAATATTTTTACATTCGTCTAGATTGTCATTAAATATGTTTGCATTAACCGCAGACAGTAAGTCAAGAGGTTGTTTGTCCGTTTTAATAATATTTTTCTCACTATCTATGATGTTATTAGAAATAGCTTCAGCAAGTTGTACGCTTTTACCCGGTGCAATGTTGATGACTGACATAGGGTCTACTATGTCGCAAATTATAGCCTCCCTGAGCGTCAAGAGTGAACCAGTTTCAGGATGTATAATTTTTCCAGTGTTAACATCTAACAAACCTTGTTCCAGTACCTCTGGAATGGACAATTTTTTTGCTATAGGAATAAGAATTTCATTCAACCCTTCACTATCAAGTATACCTCTTACAATAGCTTCTTTAATTGAAACAAAATCTCCATGTTGTGGATCCATTATTTTGCCTTTGTTTTCATCGATAAGGCCAATTTCTATAGCCTTTCCTAGAGTCAACTGATCACCATTTTCATCTTTGTAAGATGTGATTTTATTTAAAAGATCGGCGGTATCTCTATCTAGTAAACCCATACTTACTCCTTCTGATGGCATAACAACCTGTTTTCGAAGCTTTTGTAAAATGAGAGGTTTACTTTCACTTGAAGGTGTTTTCTTTTCTATTTGTAATTTATTAATATTATATTTGGGCTTGTCGGGTATTTGACTTTCATTAAGTACAACAGTATTAACAGGACTACTTGCTTTTTGAAGAAAAACAGTGTCCATTGTTTTCTTATTGTCTGCGGATAGACTATTTTGTATGGATTCCACGGTGATGAACCCTTCGGAAACAGCTGCTTCTATCGAAGACGTCTTAGAAGGTATTTTCGTTGAAGTTATTTTACTTGGACCAGGTTTGCCTTGATCTATAACTGTGCGAGTAACAACATTTTGTTCCGAATCTATAAGACCTCTACTTTTTGCTTCTTCTATCGTGATTTTATCTCCATTTGTTGGATCTACGATCATCGTAGAACGTTGTGTTTTGGAAGCCGTTATAGTACTAGTAGGTTTATGGTTTTCTGATTCTGGAGTTTTTGATCTAATAGAATCTTCATAATTTTTATAAGTTATTTCGTCAACTAAACCTCTTTCGTATGCTACTTCCATTGGTAACTCTTCTCCTGTAGTGGGGTCAATGACCATTGTGTTTTTAATTACTTGGATTATTTTGGACGCAGCTACTAAAGGAGACCCTACAACAGCTATCAGACCTACCTTTGCTGCATCAGCGAGACTTATTCTTTTCCCGGAAGATTCTTTGTAATTACCAGTTTGTTTATCTACAATACCCCTTTCCAATGCAATTTTTAAATTAATTTGTTGTCCAGTAATTGGATCTACAACGTTAACTCTGTCACTAGGAATAGCTCCAACGTCAACAGCCTCGATAATATTTTGGGAAATTCCTGATGTGGTTGAAATCACCAAAGCTGTGGCAGGATCATATATAATGCCAGGAACTACTTGTACAGGTTCTAATACTGACTGATCATCAGAAGTCAAAACAGGTGAATGTGCTTTTTCAACATCAGTAATTTCCATTTTATCGGGCATGCCTGATATTGAAGTTATTGTTATGACTTTTTGTGACGCTGTGCTTTCAGAAAGTGTGATAAAGATAACAATGTTGCGCTCTATAGCTTCTTTCATACTTAAAAATATATCATTGTGTTTGTAATGACCCGTATTGTCTAATACACGAAACTCTAAGGCTTTATTTAAAGGTATTTCTTTTTTCGTTTTAGAATCAATTACATGCGCTGAATTTGGATTAATAATTTTAAGGCTCACCGCTTCTTGAAGATCCAGAATTCTATCAGTGCCGGGAATAGTAAACATACCGGTGGTTGGGTCGAATAAATTCTGTTGAATAGCTTCTTTCAACGTCCACCCACCCTGTGGTAGTTCGATTGTATTTTTCTTTATAGTCATAGCTGTAACTAAAGGATCAGTTACGGATTTTGTTGTCACCGTTTTTATTTGACGAGTTATTTCTTCGTTGGTTTTAACTACATCAGGACTTTTTACAGTCTCAGGCCTATTTTCAAATTGTAATTTACTTTCAGGGCTAGGCGGCAAATCTTTGATGAATGATTTTTTCGTTATTTTTAATTCTACGACTTGCCCGGGAACTAAATCTTTTTTGCTAACGCGATCCGAAATACGAGCAACTCTACTTTCGTTTGGATCGATACCTAACAATCCTTCGTCTAACGCCTGTTGTATTGGAAAAACTGTACCCGTTGTAGGATCCGTAAATGTTTGGGTTGTTTCATCTATCAGGCCACGACGAATGGCTTCAGCAAAAGTAATAATTGTCTCTGATCGATGAGTTGTATTTGTATTAGTTACCGTTACGTATCTTTTAACAGTTTTTGTTACAGTTTGTAAGGTCAATGTGATGTTAAGAAGAGAATTGAGAAGTGCCGCGCCTTCTGGAGTTATCATACCGATTTCTACAGCTTTATTGAAAGGTATGGGTTTTTTAGTGGCTGAATCTAGTAAGTACCCGGATTTAGGATCGAGAACATTCTTAAAAACGGCATCTAAAACATTTAATTCTTTTCCCTTTTCAACAACACCGATTTTACGCATAAACATTTCTAAAACTTCGGGACGGACAATCGAAACTTTCGGGCAATCTTCTAAAAAGACGAAATCGCCACTTTCAGATTTCAAGAAAGTCTCCCCATTAACGTATTTAAGATTACCTCGACCGAGTGCTATATTAAAGGAAACGAATTCACCGGTTTTGGGATCTCTAAACCCGTCGATATCAAATATAGACCTTTGAGATACGGACGTAATAAGACCTCGGTCTACCGCTTCTGGAATAGTACATATTTCCCCTGTTAGATTGTCACGGAATTTATTATCGGTAAGAATTATACGACTGCCTAGAGCTTCAGATAGCGTGATCAATTGACCTGTAGTAGTGTCAGTAACGCATTTAATGTTATCACTGTCGAGTATCCCTACAGATATTGCTTCTAAAATATTCAATGGAGCTTTGTTTATAGGAGTTAAAATTTTACCATCATTTGTCATTAAACTATGGTCACATACATCTTTCAGAGTCATTGGCTTACTGATATAACGTTTGCTAGCAGCATCTTTAAATGAAAACTTTTCTTTTGTAATAGGATGCACATATTTAGAATGTTTAGTATTAATTATATTTTTCTCTATAGCTTCAGCAAGCGTTATTTTTGTATCGTTTTTAGGGTCCACAATTTCCCTGACATTAGGATTAATTAATTCATTTTTAATGGCTACCTCTAATTGGAACCTATCACCCGAATTCCTGTCCAATATCCAACCGCTGTTATCTATTAATTCTTGACTTATCGCGTCCGACAAAGACAAAGCGCTTGATTTTATTTTAATAATCTCTGTATATATCAAAAATCCCCTTTGATATGCCTCCGCAATAGTTATGAAGCTACCATTGGGCAACCTGTATAGACCTTTTTGCAAATCAACTTGACCGCGATTTAGCGCGTCAGAAATACTCATTCCTTGGTCGGGTGTTTGACCCTCGACAGTCACCTTGATTCTCTTTTCCGCTGGGTCCGCCAATCCCTGCTCGGCGTCATACAGCTCTCTCTGTATAGCTTCAAGTAGTGTAACTTCGTTTCCGTCTTCCGTCATGCCACAAGGGCCGGTGAGTCTTGCAGCCAGTTTGGGATCTATCAAGCCCTCTTTGGCCGCCTGCTCTATTGTCATGGTTTGCTTCGTCGTCGATGATGACAAGAGCCTTCCAGTTCTTACATCCAGTATCCTCATACTAATCGCTTGACCTACAGTCAGCACTTCCTTCGTCTCTGGATGAATGATACCTCTGGATTCTATGATGTTAGGACCTTCATACATTTTGTGGACTCGTTTAAGATTTCTTATATCTGGTCTATCATCAATGATAGTTTTGGTACTGTACTTCGGTGAGTTCAGTTTACCGTTAGTCATCGATTTTATCGGTGTTCCGTCAATTTCCGATGAATGCGAGGTCCTTACGTATCTGTATGTCAATAAATGTATGTAATAACACTATATAAATGATATGTTCTAGGTTCCTATGTACTATGACTTACTTCTCTGTTGTGTAGTGCGTGGTGTATGTATGTTCGGTCGTCGCCAAGTCCTGCATGTTGAACTCTTGGCGGAAGGTGCGAGCTGAACGCGGCGCCATGGCCTCCACGAGGCGCTGGAATACAAAAATTAATTATATATTAATAGTGTCATTACGACCTCATAGTTAATTGAGTCCTTAATGGAGGGATCTTTGAATTAAGTGTTTAACAAAATAATATTAAATAAAGATATAAATATTTCTATGCAAGATATAAATATTTCTGTGGTTATATTAAAATTAATATTGGTCACATTCGAACAAACATTAATCAATGAAAATTAAGATTAATAGTGGTTCCGTTAATCCCTTGACATACATTTCATAAAAATATTCATTCAATGGCAAATCAGGAAAAAAACATTTCAAAATTAGTGATAGTCATTTATTAAAATAAGTTATTCGATAACTCTGTAACAAGATTTGTTTTGTTTTACTTTTCTTTTTTAATAAAATTGATATTTTTATTTTATATATTTTTAAAGAAAGTTGTAATATATTAACATATTAAATTCCTATTTAAAGTATATCTACTTGTGAATAAATCTGTCAATGGCTGTGAAAATTGTTTTCATTAACTATTTTGTGTAAGCGCGTAGTGCGCAAGTGCAAATTGCTGTTGACAGTTATTTATTATAATCATAGGTTATTATAAACATATTAAACAGGTTATAAAAAGCAACAAATTATACGAACCCTGCATTCGTACGCGAAGTCATATTCGTAATCTTCCATTTTAACACAAATGTTCAAACATTACACTCTAACCAGTACATATTTAATATCAATCAACATTATTCACAATTTATAACACAACACTTCTATATAAGCATCACAATATATAAACTAAATCAAATGTATATAATATTTAAATATAATATATAAACACGAGCAAACGTGGTACGTTCTCGTTTGAAACTGAATGAAAGCAAGAAAAATCGTAACGCCGGCAAAATAGAAAAAAAACAAATAATAATAACGCGGATTCTAAATTTAAATGATTTCGTAATGGCTTCCGACGCGTCTAGCCGAGGCCGGCAATTGTTGGGTTAAATCCTTTCAGTGTTATTTCTTCACACGTTTACAACAGCTGTTCGGTAATACTGTTTTAGGTTATGAAAATGACTGTGCTCGATACTAGGGATGCGCGCGCATCCCCACGCTACGGTGCGGCCGAATATTAACAGATTATAAACTATGTCGAACTAAATTAAACTTTATTTGAAAGCAAAGAAAGTCTATATTGTACTTTTATTTAGTTTACTATTTTTGACCCTATGACCTTACAATGGCGTCGTTTACTGCAACTAGGACGGCGAGGTCAGGTTTTTGTTAATTAATGTTTTAGTGTAAACTAATTCTGTTAAAAACAATGTGTAATTTTCTTACAATATCTTAGATCCGTTTAGTCTAAGTCGTTTTCTCCGAACATGAATCATAAGTTCAGTTGATTATTATTACTCGATCGTGATGTTGTATATACAATATAGTCTTTAAATTTCGAAACGCAATTAATCCGTCAGAGAGCCGCATCCATAAAAGTTAGTATGTTGAAACCATTATTAAACTCTCATCGGTTATTTAAGGCAAACAAATATTGACACTTCCTCATACACGCTAAGGTAATAACTACATAAATATAAACCATGACTCAAAAACATAATAGTTATAAAGTTTAACGTTTTTTCTGTAACGCAAAACGAAGCGGAGATTACATGGTGCAGTTTTTGTTTAGAATTAGTTTTGGATTTCATATGTATGGAGATTAAATTCATTTATATGGTGTAAATATTACGTTATTCGCACAACCAGTTTACTTACTCGTAGAAGAATTTTTTAATCAGTCTCATTTCCATAACTTTGTTCGACTAGATAGTAGATAAGATTTATGAATATCTAACAGTTTTTCATTCATGAATTATCGCAGTGTTAACGTAGATTGTTGAAAGAGAAACGGGAAACGCATTGTATGCAGTGACGATATAAACTTATCGTAAACAATGTCATTATATAGAAACGACGCATAGTAATCATGAAATTATTAATAATTAAGAAATATAGTAATTCTGCTCGAAGATAATCGCTAAATTTATCTCTTAAAATCTTAGGATCTTTTTTACGTCAGTATGACGAATAAACTGAGTACTGAGTCATATTACGAATAAAAAAAGAGTAGTGCAACTAACAAGAGCTAGCAAAAACTGTGAAGTGTTGCGCCCGAGGTCAATGACCGAATTAAGACGAGAAACTGGGTTTACAACTGAATATATTTATATGTATACGTTTTAATGAAAAATACTTACAGGTATTTCATAATATCTCATGTATGATTTAATAAAACTAACATAATATTTTATTACATTTATTTCAATTTTCATAGATATCCAAGAAAACAAATTGTCTTTTAATATAAAATACAATAACTTCAATGGCATAACCAATGGTTAAAGGTTTTAATGTTATCGGTAACACCAGTAAGTAAAACGTAAATATTTTGTATAAAATCGATAAAGAGACGGTCGAACGCAGACTACTGTAGTTGAGATGTAACGCTCTAATAAATAAGAAAATCCAATTATATTCGATTCAATAATTAGGTAAAATTAAATAAATTTCTACATTTTTCTACTATAATAAATGAATTTTTCCGAAATTTTTACTCGTTCTATTAATAGTCGACCTTGGTCACCCGCATTAATTCGTGTTACTAACTCGACCTTGAGAATAATTCGTCCTTACGTATTACCGAAACGCCATATGAGTAGCATCCTTAATATAAGTTTCGGTTTAACTTAAAACTGACAGTTAAAACGTTTTCTACTTGAAAATACTTATAAGTAATTAGTCAACGAAAAGAAAACATGTTTTTAAAATCAAATATTTTAAATAGGCGTCGGTTTACAATATACAGCCGATATTGAACCTTATTTTTGTTTTAAGAATCAATACTTATAATATATTTATAAAACAATCTATACTGTTTCATACTAAATGTCACGTGTGTTTGTGAAGTAGATCTGGCACTTCTGGCAGATACGAGCGTCGCGTCGTGAAGACAATGGCTGCCAAATATAATAAGAACATGTATGGGGAATTTCGATACTTAATTTTATATTTAATTATTGTATAGAGAAACTTTAAAAGTACGATATATTTGTTTGTGTAAGGGATTTGTTTTATTCATTATAATCAGACTTCTTTAGTTATTTTACCCGGTTATTAACGTCATATTAATATATTATATAATATGCATATATATATTAAACTGACATTCATATCATACAAAGTGTTACCAATTCCTCTGGATGCTGTGATATCAATTGAATTAATGGAGATGACACTAACCACTAGGCACTACATAAGCCATCCCGTCGTATATATGTTATACATACAACAGACAATATTCCATACATATAATATTAAATTATTAGCTAATAATAATAAAGATTATTATTATTATGATGTCATTCATTTAATCCTACATTAAATTCAAGGGCAGACTTCAATGAGAATACAATAATTATTAACAAACATAAACAAGTATTAAACAGTGACAGTAAATTACTAGAACGTGTTCTTAACAGTAATCCAGTTACGACATAATCACTACAGTATTAACGATAATATAATTTAGAGAAATCAGTTGAAGCGTTCAAAGATAGAGGGGAACGACCAATGATATAAAAAAACAACGAATATACTAAAAAACTTTGACCATGGATGACAATAGAAATTTTAATTTCATGAAAAAAGAATTAGATGAAACTTCTTAGCATCCAATGGATTCACCGTGCCGGTACCGGGTCCATCGTAGTGAGAGGAGCTTCAACAGTGACTGAGACTTGCAACCCAGGTGTGGGTAATATTTAAATATGTTTGTAAGAAAAGTCTGAAGTGACTTTTCACTGAACAATGCAGTGTATTTTAGTGTCGTATAACGACTATCGATCTTTTAATCTGTATAATAAATGAAACGATAAAAGTATCGATAACACTTTCATATCGGTGCAACACTAGTAACAACATTAGATAAAGTGTTACGGTCTTGGTGTTTAAAGAGAATTTATTAAGAGATTTATAAAATTTATTTTATACTTCTTTTTATTATGAACTCTTCTGTATACACTTTCGTAACTGGACACCAAGCTAACTGGATAATATGAATAAGTCACGAAAGAGAGTCAGAGCGAAACATACAGGAGTTTCTGGTTCTCATAACATAACATATACATATATATGTTATACCAACTATTTAAAAAATAATAGCCATATAAAAAACAAGGTCGCAGATTCACTGATAATAATGAAAATATTTATACATAATCACTGTACACCAATCAACACGATACCACTCAACATTCACTTGTTATTCGGTTCGTTTTTAGCGCGACATGCGCTGCCGTTCGACGTTCGAGAGGTACTGAGCCGGTCGGAAAAAATATATATTGTCTATTATTATATGCAACGATAAAGATGATATAAAAACTTTTTTTATTTTTGATAGAGTGAAAAATTGATTTACATTCTGAAAATATGTGTTTTGGGAATTTAGAATGTAATAAATTTGAGTATAAATAAATATAAAATATACTATAACAAAGATTTTTCTGAATAACAATTATAACATCGGTATTTACACCTTATTATTCTCAATAGTTTTAATTACTGTAACCATTGTCGTAATTATAAGACCGTTTTTTATTACATTAATTTAAATTCCATGATTCAAACAGTTATAACTATATTACATCACTCACTTACTTATTTGTATGACTATTTATCCTGTACGTATTAACATGAAATACACATAATATTTTATGTCGACGACACACAAGTCAGTAAACAGGTTACAATTACGTCATTTTCAATTTTAAATTGACCGTTTCGAAATCGCGACCGTTGAAAAAAAAACTTTCGTCGTTTAAAATTTGAACATAACGATTATTTTTTATTATTTTAATCTAATAATGTGTTTATTCATTTTATATATGTAATTTATGAATAAATCATTTATTTAAAATTAGGTTATTGTGATAATCAAAATTATTACTGGCAGTTTAATTTCAATCATACTTATTCATAATGTTTTCAAGTGGAAGTACTCTCTTCACTTACACTTATAATATTAATGAATCTCTAAAGATGTATCAAAATAACTGCCTTCGGTAAGGAGAGTGAGTTCTCATATAGCAATTATTGAATTTGTATTATTCTACCATATTTTATTGTTTTTAAATTAATTTATATTCATATTCATATACGAAAAGAAACTAAATGAAATACGCTTTTTGTATAATAAATTGAGTTAAAAATTCTTAGTAAAGCGGATTTTACTACGATAAAAATCAAGTATTAGGTAATGTTTAACTTATTTGGTAAACTAACTTATAGTTTGAACTTTAAATTCACCATAACCACAATTACGATACATTAATATCGACCCACGCTGTCAGAATAAAGTGGAGCGTGGGTGATTACCTTATACAGAGACTCAACCAGACCATTCATATATCAAAACAAATAAATAATTATTATATGGAAACCTATACAGTCTAAGTACTAGATAAATTTAATGTCTTTTTTGTGTATTTTAATTGCAACATCAAAGCTTTCTAATCGCAGCAAAACGATATCATTATTTTACTTATAAAACCACTAGCTTTCCGCCCGCAGCTTCGTCCGCGTGGAGTTCGGTTATATCGCGTTTCCAAGAGAACTTTTCAAAAGTCTGGGATAAAAACTATCCTAAGTTCTTTCTCAAGGTCAACTCAAGGCTATCATAGTACCAAATTTCATTCAAATCAGTTCAGTCATCAGTGGTTTAGGCGTGAAAGAGTAACAGACAGACAGAGTTACTTTCGCATTTATAATATTAGTAGGGATTACGGCCTCATTCTATAACCACATATAAAACAGAAAATCAAGATTTAACTTATATGGAAACAGGATTTTCTACTTGTAATTACATGTTTAGAAATCGTGGCGGAATACATCAAACAAAGAAGGATATATATATGTCATTTTATATGAGATTGTAGTTTTATTTTTATTGCGACACTTAAAATATATAATCAAATTAAATATGTATATACTATGTTCTAGAACTGTATGAGTTATGACGTTATCAAATTTGTTATATGTATTGTAAAATTTCAATGTAAAACTCCTTTGGTATTCTAAACCGGCGCCCGAGCTGAACGGCCTCAAACGAAGTCCAAATAAATGACACAATCGTGACATCATTTGCCGTGAATTAAGTGAAACGTTCGTGCCAACTTAATGGGTTTTAACATTGATTGAAAAATAAACTCGTACCGAGCTGGTTTGAGTTATAAATTGATTTATTATAGGAATGTGGAATATTTATGAATGGTATCATAATTTAGAATTGACAGATTTTACGTATAAAAATACGCGACTAATTTTATGGAATGAAAATTTTCGTTGTACCTGATGCTGTGTTTATAATAATAATAATACCATGTGATTCAAAATCATTGATCAGATTGTTATGACAATTTCTAAAAATATTCTGCAGACTTTCGCGCCGTTTTTAGGAATATTAGGATATGTCTTTAGTGGATATTACTTCAATGACAGATTTGGTTTCATTTTGAGTGTATTATTAATTTGAATTTGTTACTAATATTAACGAGAAACAGGAACCTTAAAAATAATGTGATCTTACGAGATATTTTAAGTTATCAACAGCAAAATGTCACTATTAGTAAGGACAAATTAGACGAAAAAATATATGTGGTATTAATTATTTAGACATTTTTTATAGATAATTATCTCATCTACAATTTTTCATTAAGGTAATTTTATGATAGAACTTATGTGTCATTTTGACCCTGAGTATATTATTTTTTTTCACGTGTCGTATAGATGAGTACTTTTTTTCATTTCCTTTATAATAGTTTAATGAAAATTTCAACCAAAATTCAGCCAAAATGGACTTTTTGTAACCTTGAATGTCTAAACTGACTAGACTATATTGTAAGAAACTATTAGACATAGTAGCAAAACATACACGAACTATAAACGATGACAACTTGACTTGACTCCGCGAGAAAAACTCACAAATTATGAATAAAAATATCGTTACTTTGATGTATGACGTCATGATCAATATAAAACTCACCAATGTAACAATATCTCCAGGGTTGGCGGCCGCGATACGTCTCAGCCTCTCATACAAGGAGTCCAATAGTCGTTGGTGCTTTGCGTTCAGTTCGTCTAGTTCTCTAGCCACGGTCTCAGCGCCGCTAGGGATCATCTCCGCTGGTGGTACGTCTGCGCCGCGGCTTCTGAGGCGTTCAGCGAGTTCCATGTCCGCCTGCCGCTTGAGCTGCCTCGCGTCCAACGAAGGATGAACCTCCTCGCATAGCCAGTCCACATAACGCTGGCATCTCGACGAGTTGATCTAGTTTTGGTTAGGTGAAGCGCGTAAGTTACTTGTTAGTGGACCGACTCTCCTTAATCGATGTATCAATTGCACTTATAATAAGTATATGGAATATTTTTTTTGTAAGAGTCGTCATAAAGAGAATCGGTCGGTTAAAATGAAGCGAATTAGGTTTTTATAATTTTCCTCACGCACTCGTTCCTCTCATTAGTAATACGATCTTTTTCAACTACTGTTTTATCATGTGAAATTGGCTGGTTCCTTTTATGGCGGACATTCATTCTTCGTACATTCGTAACACAATCAGTCCTTCTATGGCATACAATGGATTTTCCGTCTGGTACCAGGTCTGCTATATGCGTGCGACCGTGCGACTATTACACCCAACGTGCACTGCAGAAGGAAACTAGAAGCTCTTCCATAGTTTGTGATATGACCGAAACATATTGGGGAACAAACATGCATGCAAAGCAAGGACGTTGACCCCGCAAACGTCTTTATGATTTCGCTTCATATAAGCGTTACACTCAACGCCTCCGCTATTTTGGAGTATCAACAGTTTATTATTGTGATAGCAGTCATATATTGCTGTTGGTATGAAGTAAACAAACTCACAAACATCGCACATTCAAATTGTGTTATTAGTTATAGAAGCATGTGAAGCTCTCAGTAATATTGTGTTGTGAGGCAGAAGCGTTAGTTAAGTGATAGCGAAGCTGCATGCGTTTATTGCAAAAAACACCTCGAGGACGAAACAAGACCACAAAAACCCAAAAATACAGTGATATGGTGAAGGAAAGACGCTGGACCTACAACCTAGCCAACCTTTCAAAACCTCTCAAATATTCAAAGGCTTTCCGATATAAATACAACACAGACTATATAAATCCTATGAACATTTATTGCTCCACTGATAATTACCTTCGCCTCTCGTATGAACCTTCCTCCGTCTACGTTAACCTTTTCGATCTTCGGCGTCCTTTCCACCACACTCGTGAAAAGATTCTGCGAAATCACCACAAGACACCCGCCCATTAATATACAGTTTAGTAAAGTGCACCAAATAATGAAGTGAGGATGGTAATTAAATATAAAATCAATTAATATTTTCATGAACATTATCGAGATAGTATTTTAAATAATAGTTTGTTACATTTTAAAAATATGAATTAAAAAAACGGTTACGTAATACCTCATGTATGTACATATATTATAATAATTTTCATTTACTTATCTAACTGTGAATTTATTTGTATATCGTGCAAAATTAATAAAGGAGCACATTCGTTCCCTCTTAGTTAACCTCAAGTTACTCCTAGTAATCTTATACTACATGCAATGTTAATAACATGTCATTCCCCCCCTCCCCATCTCTACTGGTAACTGACCCTGGTCGGCTCCAGGTGTTCCCTGGCGCGCGCCTCATTCACAGGCGTGGCCTGCATCTGAGCGGTCGCGTGGTCGACCCAGTCCGTCTCCTTCACCAGACCAGCGTTGTATGTACGTAGAAGTTGGTATGCCGCCTCGCAGCTACGTAGACTGTGAGAATGGGAAATATATCATGAAACTATATGAACTGACTGACTTTATAATAATTATAAACTATTATTTGAGTATTAAATATACATATCCTACTAATATTATAATAGCGAAAGTTTGTGAGTGAGTGTGTATGTTTGTTACTTCTTCACGCTCAAACGGCTGAAGCGATCTTGATAAAATTTTGTATACAGGAAGCTGACGTCCAGGAATAAGACATAGACTACTTTACATTCCGGAAATCCCGTAACACCGCGGGGCGCAGCTAGTATGTACATATATATTTATACACTAACCGTTCAGCTAATTGTGTACACACGCTGCTCCACCTCTGGTTCAGCTGGGTGACCTCTTTGTCCAATCGCTCCAGGTCTGCGTGTCTTCCAGCTCTTGGTAGCGAGTGTCCCAGCCCGGCCCTGGAGGTCTCCACCAGTCGGCGACAGTTCTCAGCGTCATCATTCATCTGATCCACTTGCACCTGTTGCTTAGAGACAGCTACCTGCATACGCAGCAGGTCTTCGTGAATCTGTAGGAGAAAACACGGTCAGATATATTGAAAATATATTCACAGTGATATATCTAGGCGTTTAATAATATTTGTATCTAAATTAAGACGTAAAGGTGTTTTAGTTAATTAATTTCCAATGAACCCATTTCGTTTTCAGCAGTATTATATTCCCAGATCTAATGTTAATAACAAATATCTGTATTAATTACGTCTTTAAGCAGTTCAACATCGTTGGGCAGGTCGCTGAACTGCGCCAGTTTTATTTCGAATTCTGATATCGTCTGATTGTTCTCTTCCATGCTGTTCACGACTATCTCGACGAACTTAAGTCTGTAACAAAAACAATCGATCAATAATGTACGTTATGAATATAGTTGAAAAGTTCACATTGGTTCGTTAAAAATATTCATTATACCTTTCCACGAACAGCTGGCTCTTGGATTGTAGTTCGTTCCATTTGCCCATGACTTTGTCGAGATTCTTTTTCATGGCTGGAGTCTTGAGAGCTATACCTAGAAGCAGATAATCATCAGTATATACTAAGTTATAAACTTTGTAAGGTAGAGAGGGGAGCTTAGATAGTGGAGGTGAGCGTTTAACGCGCGTTAGATAAAGGTCCTCTAGCCTACACCTGGGTCTTAAGTCCCAGTCACTGTTGAAGCTCCTCTCCCTACAACGATGGACCCGGCATCCGGACGGTATAATATGTAATACATTGAATGCTAAGAAGTTTCTTGTCTAATTATTGTATTTGACTTTGTTTAAAGAAAATCTTAATGTTGCATTATCGTTCAGTTATTCTTCTTACATCTCACAAAACAAAAGCAATGGCTCAGTGTTTTTTAATATATCATGTACATCGATGAATTATCTCCTAAGTATTATTTTTACCTCTGAAGGTGCTTTGAACGGTATCCACGTCTCCATCTAGCGCTCTCAATGATGTCTCCCAGTCTCTATGTTGCAGCACGAGGTGTTCCAACGCATCCAAGTCTCTCGGTACGGGTGCTGCTATACGCTCGTGTAATGTACGCTCCAGCGTTTCCAACCGCTCCAACAGCTGCGAAGACTGCTCGGTGAAGATTCGAGCTGCATTCTTTGAATCCTCTGCGAATAAGGAGCAGCAATTTTAGAATAGCAACAATATAGCTATAAACATGGCCAATTTAGGATTACACAAAACAGTTCCACAGTTACACTCGAGCATACAATTAAGGATAAAAAGAAAAGGGAAAAAATATTATTATAATGCATTTTAAACGAATTTCGCAATTCCATCACAGAGTTAATAGCGAAATCATTCATCGGTGACTTCCAACGGTAAAATTTAACCGACAAAAAAACAACCAGTCACCTGATAATCGATAACCGCACCAGATCCTCTCCACTGAATGCTCGGAGTACACAACGATAGTGTTACGTAACATTTAAACCCGGTTTAAATTTACTAACTTTTAATCGGACATCACTTGACGCTTCGGACTATGAAATGAAAAGCAGCTATGGATGTGAAGTACAGAGTAAAAACGACGGCTTGACTAATACAAAGAAACAATCGTGCAACGGAGATAAATTTAACCTTCGTTTAACACTCACTTGCCGTTTTATAAATATATTACCGAAAATAGTCATAAAATATATTTATACAGCACTAACAAGGCATATCAAATTAGAAATATAGCAATCGAAATTTAACTTTTCATTTTATTTCTAGAAATTTCTTTGGAATATGTACATTCATTACTTTTTTGGTGAGCCTATATAATTTTCTTACTATTTTTGTTATTTTTTACCATATTTAGTTCATATAAAACGTGTAAATTCGCGGGTTAAACTAACTGTACATATGGAAGCGATGTTCATCTCCCTACATTACTCTGTATACCCACCACCTACACTTCTAACGTTTAATATAAATTGCAGCTATAACTCTAATAGTAAGATCATACAAGGCCAATAAAATTGACTTTAAGGAAACCATGACATCACTTTGTCCAAAACAGCCTATAATTTAATTTAACAAATCAAACTATAGGTGGCATGGGTTCAGATGAATGAAGATTTCAAAATCTGCTTCTATTACTACAATTAGACTAATAATTTGTTTAGTCAGATTTATTTCAAACACAAATTTCTATGGAATTAATGATAAAATAATTCACTTTCAATATATCTGATTTTATCAGTGAGATGTTCTTTTACGTGTTTGTTATTTTCTTTGAAACATATATCATAAGCCAGAAAAACAACGATCAAAGAAGTACGTTCAAAAAGTAGTTCAGAAATCAAGATAAGAACAATCATCGTACATTAAGATTGCATGTCACAAAGACAGATGAATTATAAATTAGTAGATTGTAGACTTGTATAGAGAGAATAAGTGATCTCATAGAGTCATCGCTCAATAGCAAGGTCGAGTGTAGATATTGACCCGCGGAGACGTGTGATAACACGAGATGTTTGTCTGAACTGTTTATAAATAAGCAGTAATGACAGTATATTTATAATCATATAAATAATATAATAGGTATATATACTCCACTATGTATATGAAACGTCAATATATACGAGTACATATGGTTTGAGAATTAACCCATAGGTTTTATTATAATTATAATAAACAGTAGGAAACATTTAATGTATGAGTCAAAGTTTCCACATACAAATTAAACCTTACTTCTTCTTAAATAGACACTTTTCTAGATATTGTTTTAATTTTATTATGTAGACATTATTTCGAGAATTATAAACATTTATTATTATTACATACTTAATAATAATAATTATTGTATTTTTAACATTTATTAGCCAAATTCAGCCTTTAGTTCTAAAAAATTAATAACGCAAAACGGACCACAAATATTAAATATTAAGAGGTCAATTTTAAAGCGACGGCAAAAAGAGCTTTATGAAAAACATAAGACGAATAAAACCTATTAAAATATAACGAGCATTAAACGAGATCAAGTGAATGACGCCAACGAAGTCACGGTAAATGTTTATAGTAAACAAAAGCATTGTCATACAAATACTAACTCTTAATGTTTAATACAAACAGAGAAGAACTTAATTATAATATATATTGTGTTTTAATGTATTTAAATATATCATTAAAAAATGTACCACACGAAGTAAATACGTGGAATTTAAATAAAACCTATTTAAATGATATATTATGATCGAAATGGAAATAGTTATAAGTAATAATTATTATTTTTAACTATTATTAAACGTGAAAAATTTAATTTTTGTATAGAATATTTTTCTCATATAAATTTTTATTTATACACGAACTAATTTAAGAAACTCACCTCCCTTTCCGAATGAGAATATACGTTTTATTTTCTTCATAATAAATTCTCATAATATTCTCAAAATTCACAATACAATATCACTATTTGAAAACTCACAGTTTATTAAGATAAATATGAAAATATAGAGAAGTTTCGTTTATTCAAGTCCCAAACACCATAACTCCCATAGTAAAATTATAGACCAAATGATCTTTACTAATAGCAGTACTGTAGTCTAAGACATAGTAATTGAGACTGACACACAGAATGACGAGCGGTCATTATTATTAATAAATAGCTTTTACGGCATTACTACAATTACTCCAAAGTAAACATGCATTTGGAATTATATATTACGATAAAAACTGTATTTTGAGATTAAGCACGCAAATTATTTTAATTGAAGTATAATATGTAAATTAATACAAGAATTTTGTCACACACACATACATACACACGCGCACACATACACATAATATTATTAGTATTTATGACAATATACAGGGTGTTATTTAAATTTGCAAAATCCCTACCAATCTTGGACATCATAATTTTAATACTGCATTTGTTGTGATATAATTTATAAATAAATACCAATATACAGATAATAGGATGATAAAATTAATATTAATAATAATGAGTCAACGGCGCTATCAGGACTGACCCTACGTGACATGAAGAGCTCCCGACACTTCATTATAGCAATTATACTAAATGAGTTTATTATTAACAATGATGTGCACTTTAGTTTTAAGACCATGGAAGTATTATGTTATTGAGCAAAATAGAGCGAACCCAGTTAAGTCGATTAACAATTTCCCAATTTGACCAAATTAAGAGACGTTTGGAGAACAATTACTACTTGTCTTATTGAATTATCGGAAACAGCTTATCATTGTATGGTAATATGAATATAATTAAAATATTTAAATAGCTCCAATCGTATGAAAAAGAATGGACGTGATGCCTAAAACTGTCTTTAAAATAACAACGATCTATATCTATTAACTATAATAATACGTGAAGCGAGAAATCGTCATCTTTTGTCGATATACATATATTAATGAAATAATAAACGTTGCATTTAACTCAGTTAACTTTAACATGGACATGAAGATTATTAAGTATTTTTTTAAGCGTAAAATGTATTAGAAAAACTTAATTTAAAGCATCGCACACACAACTATATCTTACACACACATGCAAGATCAATCTGAAGATGTTAATGTCCAACATTATAACATTTCTATAATAACATTGATTTTACATAATACATAACTAAAAATTGTATTTCGTTCCTAAGTTAATCCCGAATCGTATATCCATTCTATACGACGCTGGCAGAATATATCGTCCATTTCTTTGCATCATGAAGGCCATATTTAAAAACAACCAACCAATCATCATAACCAATACATTATATCTAACCATTAGCCTTCATTCCACAAGACACTGGCAAAACATATTATGCATTTATTTGCACGGATGAAGGCCACATTTCATAAAATATATTATAATCTAATCACATGTACATACCTTCAGCCCTGGCTCTCCTCTCGAACTCGTCAAACAGTCTGTTGACGTCATCAATCTCTCTCCGTAACCTCCTCAGCTGAGGGTCGGCTCTATCTCCTTCTGCCAGTAACTTCTCGGCGTCTTCATTCAGAGCTCGTCGAATGGCTTGACGCTGTTCAGCACCCATTGCCACGAACTAGATAGAGTTATCAGTTAGAAATTGTATAGTCCCATATAGGAATAATTGGCAAATCGTAGAAGACTTGTATATACGAAATATCTGGGCAATTTGAATTAAGGGTATAAAGATATCGCAAACAAAAAAAAACACTAACTTGGATTATAAATCAATACACAAAGACATGTATGTCACATAAAATCAACATAAAAATGTACATTCCTCTAGTAATTGCAAATATTTTGAGGTCACTATAAGAAACCTTATCATGATACGATATAATACAATGTAATGTTAATATTCAAAAAGAGGGTTGATGTCAGGCAGGCGGCCGGTCGTAAAAACAATTAGCCAAAATTATTCACAACATGTAAGGCAGACCCTGGCTAAAGCTGGGAAATTGCCAGGTAGAAGAAGACAATGTAATGTTAATAGTAAACTCACCTGCGGGAAGTCCCAACCCTTGACGACCTTGATGGTAGCGAAGATCATGTTCTGCCTCATCCTCAGCTGCTTCCTCTGCCATAGCTGGATGACCTTCAACAACAACAGCCAACACGTCAACAACAACACACACAGCTCCCTCCACACACTAACACACATGACGAACAAAACCAGACTGATGTTATGCAACACGTAGTAATTACATCGGAACTTAATCTATGTTTGTATATAAACATCGAACTATGATTAATTTAAACTGATTAAGTAGTAAGACTGTATCGAATATTAAATATTATTATAAAATATCGATAGAGTAATTGTTAAACATTCTGTATGAAAAATTAGTTTTGAAGTTTCAAAGTAAATTTCTTACTACTTGTTTATTTAAGAACTACATTTACTAATCGTTAGTATTTAAGTTTCATTGAATTAGTCGCTCTGTTTGTTCCATATATTTGTATATGTCGCGGTCATAAAGTCGATCTATTCCAGCGTTTGTATGGATTCAGATTATTTCTGATGAGTGATTTAAATATCACGGCGTTCACAGAGACGACGCACGAAGTTTCATATATGCAATAAATATTATTGATAAAAACAATATTTTGGTAATATTAGTAGAAGTAGTGAGAATATTAAATTTCCTATGACACTTCAAAAATCATGCCAGTCTACTTATTGTTCTTTTCAAATTTGTTTAGATAGAGAGAGGAGCTTGGACAGTGGAGGTGAGTTTTTAAGGCCCCTTAAACCTACACCTGGGTCGCAAGTCCCAGTCACTGTTGAAGCTCCTCTCCCTACGCTAAGAGGTTTCGTCTCTCTTCACTAGTCTTAGTTCTTATAATTCCTCAAGGACAGTCATCCACTCCACTCTCCTCAACATTCTACCCGTATATAAGCCCTCACCCGGTCGTAAGCGCTCCTCAGTCCGGCGGCGGCGTCCAATGCCTCCTGACAGGGCGGGGGTAGCGCCAGCACGGCTCCGGGCAGCGTCACCTCAGTGCCAGCTCCTCCGAGACGAACACGCCAACGACTACGACCCGAGTTGTCTACTACTGTCACCGCTGACCCCTTCTCTATCGCCACCTGCTTATAATAGAGGAGTTTAAAAATGTTGCTAAATACAAAGATTAGGGAGCTTTTTCAATGTCATTGGACATAAGTATGGTGGTTGGGATATTATGTAAACCTATTGTAGACGTTTAAAGGGAAGATTATCATCATAATAACAAGTAACCAAAAATATATAAAAAACATTGCAATTTTGAAAGCAACATTTTATTTTATACAAATAAATAAAATGAGTGTCTTCATATATCAAAATAAACGACGCTTACTAAACCCAAAGCGACATTTAAATTCATTTTGATCCGTCGATTTGTTGTGACTAATCTCTGTAACAGCTGTAATAAGTAACTTAGACTATCTTTTTTTATTGAAATTATTAACTGTAGCTGCGCCCGCAATGTTACCCGCGGATTTCGGATTGTAAAGTAGCCTATATGTTATTCCTGGATATCATCTTCCTGTATACAAAATTTTATCAAAATCGGTTCAGCCGTTTGAGCGTGAAGAAGTAACAAACATACATACACACTCACAAACTTTCGCAATTATAATATAAGTAGGATAACGACTCACGTTAGCGTGTTTGTATGCACACACGGTCTCAGCCCTGATCGGTCGTGTGACGGGCGCCCTCCTCTGTTTGAGAGGACGCACCTCTTGCGCCTCTTCTACCAGACGGGAGACTACAGCTCCTTGACTATTCAGTTCCTCTCTCACATCCTGCATACCCTTCAACAGACGCTCGCCCTGGTCTAACGTGAACTCCGACTGGGAGAATGTCGTATTTAGAGCTTCTTCTCGTCTGGAAAGAAATACAAATGATGAATATTTGGTATTATTTTATTATATGTGGGAAATGTAAATAGTAAGGGGTTGAAAAATAATAGAATGGAATAGCTAAGGCGAGATCTTCTGTAATGAAAATGCAAAGGATTACTAAACTTTATTTTATTATTTTTAAACCTACATACTCCCTACGTTAAATTAATACTAGCGAATTTTAAATCTCACTTATGCAATGGTAGGTTAATATAGGTATAAAAAACATGAGGGTTTCATATTTTCCATATATTTTAACTTACTTCTGTATCCATTTCTCCGCTTCCTTGATTTGCTCGAAGAAGCCGTGGTAGTGGGTCGTATGTTTTAAATGTGTTTCCAGACAGAGAGTTAATTGCAACACCCACGCCCATTGAGATTGCATCACCTAAATCAGACAATAATATTAATATGAAACTTAAATACTTCCCACGGAGTATCCAGGTCACTTTTACCAACCTGTAAATGTGATTCGATTGTTTTCGTGGCAGGGTGATGTTGTGCTATAAGCGCCTCCCCGCGGTCAATCACGTTACTAAACTGTAGCTCCCTCTTTTCCAAAGACGACATCAGTTGCTATACAAAAATGAATAACATTAATTGAGCCCTAGAGAGTATTAAATATAATAACAAGCGGATAACAAAACGCAACAGAAACAGTAGAAGTCAAAATAATAAAGTGTAAAACAAACCTCTCTATCGTCTCCAAATGAATGCTTGCACAAAAAAATAAATATAAACGAAATGGTACAACGACATCTATGAATTGTGGTTGGATGAACTGATTCAAGTATTGATAGGAAAGAGAAATTGCTATTTACAAGGCTCTTTATGTAGGACAATCTTGAATTAGTCTTTTATTGATTGAGGGGTATATTGAATCCAAACGACATATGACTGTAATGTTATGAGTTTTACTAAGCAGTCGATAAAAACAGAACAGATATAAATTAATATGAGAAGAACTCATTAAAAGGTGTACTGAAGGTTTATAGTGAAGCAAATATAAACTGTGTAATGAGAAAATGTAATAGATATATGACATATGTACATGGTAGGTGTGAGTGAGATAGATATATGTTGATAGTATAAGAGCAAGAGAGATATAAATACCTCGTAGTAATGCTGTACAGCTGGTAGGTTGATGTGAGGGTCGGCCCAGTCCCTGGCCAGTTCCACCTGTTCCTTCTCTGACAGCCAGTTCAGTTCCGCGGTCGCTGATTGGAGGAACTCTTGGAGCGCGTCCAACTCGGACAAACTGAGAGAGAGACAAAGATATATTGACACTTAATAAAGGTATTTCATATTGGAAATTTTGTATCGTTTTAGAATTCACGAGTTGTCATAAAGGAGCATAAAAAATCCGTATGAAAATGCTTTTATAGATTTTATACTGCAGATAAGATTGAGCATTATGGTCACAAAAATTTACGAGGACGTGATTCATGTATACACTTGTTTTACGAGACTTATTTGTATTTTTGAGTCCATATGTAGTTGATGCTATGCTTCTATTTTAATATTTATTCAAAGCTCACCGTTTAGTGCTAGTTGAGAGCAGCTCAGCGTATAGTTTTTGTAGTTGGTTTAGATGTTGGTTGTACAAGTTCAACTCTTCGCCAGAGAAGTTGTTCCTGTTGTACACATACTGCTCGACCTTGGAGTGGAACTGATCTATCTGTTTGTGTTCTCGTTGATGTTTATCAAGTTCGTGTTGCACAGACGGCAGGTCTGAACCGTAGTCGGATTCGTGTAATTTTTTCTGAAAAAATAATAGTTTAATGAGATTTGCCGATAGTCCTAGAAGTCATTAGTGAACATTATAATGCTATTAATTTCAAGCCTAACATACCAATTTTTCCTTGCACCACCTAGTGGCGTCGTTTAACTGCTGGAACTTGGGATCGGCGTCATGGACCCTGGTTTCTAGGACCGTGCGTGTTTCACGGCGGACAGTGGTCTGCTGGACCGGCATACGAACAGACGACAGACGGGGGACTAGACGACCCGTGAAGGATTGACGGGCGTTCACCCACCTCTCATGTAACTGTTGGACACTGTGAAAGAGATAAGATTGGTGAGCAATTTCATATATACCTTTATACGTATGTACAATCATAGCGATTTTTTAAGAACATTAATTTTAGAGTTTATAGTATTGCTTCTATTGTTTTGCAAAAATTAATGGTTAAATGTCTAGAATTTTTTGTTTTTGAGAACATCAGCCTTGTTAGTGAACAAATAAGATAAAGTTGAGAATGAATTTAAAATTACGGTAGATTAATTCTTATAGCTAGGACTCAAATGTTATCTTATTTTTTTACTAACAACGCTTATCTCTTCAATATCATAATAAATTCTAGATATTCAACCAAAAACGAAATCAAGTATTGCAATTATCTTACCGTCTGTGTAGATCGTTAGCTTGCGGATACCGTCCCTCCCTCAAGGCCTGTGAGTCCACGAACATCTCCTGTATGTCTTGCTCCATAGTCCTCAGTTCTTGTTCTATCTGTTCCGCGGCCTGTTTCGCTTCAGCCGGGTGTACTCCTCTCTCCACTCGTCGTATCTCACTCTCTATGTGGCGCTCCACGTTGTCCAGACCGCCTTCCGTCTGTTTGATGTCCCTGGAAGTATGTAATAGTGATGTTTAGTGTTCGTAATATACCTAAATTACTTCTTTACTGGTCAAGATAACTACTAATATTATAAATGCGAAAGTAACTCTGTCTGTCTGTTACGCTTTTATACTAAACCACTGAACTGATTTTAATGAAATTTGGTAGAGATAGAGTTGACTTTGAAAAAGAACATAGGATAGTTTTTATCACAGACTTTTGAAAGGTTCTCTTGGAAACGCGATATAAGCGAAATCCACGCGGGCGAAGCTGCGGACGGAAAGCTAGCATATAATAATACCTACCAAATAGCTTTTTACTTGTCAAGACAATTATAGACAATCTATTCTGAAAAATAGTATCCTTTTTTGGGACGAACAAAGAAGATAATGTCTTCCTAATCTAATAAGTTTTTATACACAGCTACTAACCTGTGTAGTTTTTCTGCCAAGCGTTGTAATCGCTCGAGGCGTCGTATTTCATCTGATAGGTCGCGCTCCCGTTCTTGGGCCGCCATCAAGAGCCTCGCCCAGGACTGCTCCAATGCTTCAGGGCGCAACGTCGGTTCAATTTCTATCTCACCCACTGATTCGAAGTATTTCTATGCATTTACATAACAAAATGATTATAGTGATAGATAATTTATATAATCTAAGACATTTCATTATAATTATGCTAACATTTTTGATTAATTAATTGTATAAAATAGGGATAGTAGTATAGTTTGTATACCTGCTTCAACATAAAACAAAGCCTAGTTTGTGAATGGCCTGCTGCTATTACAGTTACATGCTAATTAAGGTACAGGTAGCGGAATAAACAAAAAGAGAATTATCCTATTATATAATTGATTTAGACTAGGAAAAAGTTTATTTACAATTATTTTCTCTTCTCATTGGCCACACCTTGGTTCAATACAAAGTATAACATATGTTGTTTGTAAGAGTATAACATATGTTTCAATATTAAGTATAACACAATATTTTCTCATCAACCCTACCTCAAGTTCCCTGTACTGGTGGAACAGCTTCTGTTTCTCTCTCTGTCTGAGAGGAACCTCCTCGTTTCTGAAGCGGGTGCTCTCGCTAAGCAACTTTTTCATTTCAATCAAAGTTGACGGGAAAGCACGATCCTGTTTTCATAGTTATGATATAAATTTAAGTATTATGGACTTTTTTGTTGTTTTGGTAACAATTCAAATAACTAAATAACATGTGAATAAAAGAGAATTAAATATGAAACATATGTATACGAGTTCTATGAGGGTAGTAACAAATTCAACAGTACCATGTATTAGCAATATCTTAGTTTAACCGACCTGCATCAAGGAGCATTTCTCATGAAGCCAGGCGCGGTGCTGGGCTGCCAGCTCGGTATAAGCAGCGGCCCGTCGCTGGGACTCCGCATCAAATAGGGGATGTACTGCCGGGGGCTCCGGGAATGTCTCGTACAAGGACGAGATGTAAGTTATGAGAGACTTCTCATCAGGCTCGTGAGTATCCACGTCTGGGAAGTAGAATAATATGTAATATATTGAATACAATTCCATTTTTAAATTTGTATATTATAAATTCTTCGTAATGTTATAGTCCAGGCGCTAGAGGTAGTTGAGTATGCAAAATCCGAGTGACGGCAACTGTGACCGGATTCTTATACCTGAGACCCTAAATAATGACAAAACACATCTTGCCGCCAGATGTTATGGTCCCTTCTTGCTCCCTTCACATCCCCTATCCGCCCATACAGTAAGCATAGCGCGCTCACTTGTTTAGTGTGTTTCTACATCTATTGATGTACAGACGTTGCATTTTTAAGTCGTTTTTTTATATACATCATCATATAAAAAAACGACTTAAAAATGCAACGTATCATATAAAATAATAGTATTTTCGTAAATTCTTAGTGTTTGTTCAAAGTGTACTGTATTGAAAAACGTTGAAAATGTCGTTAGAAGTGGTTAATTTGAAAAGAAAAAACCTAACGAACAATTTTGCTTATTCTGCGATAATTCAAGTGATTTAGTGAAGAACCCAAGGCCAAGTACGTTGCTTCATATCAAAGAAGCAGCAAATAGGAGAAATGACAGCATTAGTGAGAAGTTTTCAAAACTATATGATCCAGACTCCACAAAACAAGAATTTTCATGGCATCAAGACTGTTTAGCCACTTATATAATGGAGGAGAAAATAAGGCGTCGAGAAATTGCGTTGCATAAAAAAGAAGAAGAAGGAGTGTCTGCTTCAACTTCCAAAGCAAACGTGGAGGAGCTGACTCCAAAATCTCGTTCGTCATCAAGGGAACCGGCAGCGTTGAAAAAATCGTTGAAGTGCATATTTTGTAAGAAGGTAACAAGAAACCAAGATAAGCAGCTACATTTATGTTCGGAAATTTCAGCAGCGGAAAAAATTTTTAGTACTGCACGTAGGAAAGAAGATCATGTTTTCACTGAACTGAGTACTTGTCAACGACCTGAAGATTTATTTGCTATCGGAGTGAGATATCACAAACATTGTTACCTTGATTATTTAAGATTACCGAGAAGTTCTGAATTGCCAGCTGGTCGACCTTCAAATCAAATCCCTAAAGAAATACTTATCGATGCATTTGACAAACTAATAGATGAAATTAAAGACCGGTTACCAACACATTCTTTTGAAGTGCGTTTCTTAGCTGAACGACTCGCTGAACTTACAAATATTGAGGGTGCAGTGATTGAAAATCGTGTAGTGAAATCACTACTTATAGATAAATTTGGTGAAAACATATTATTTTCTTACCCGCTGATCGATCAAAATCATCATTAGCGTTTATGGGAAATATACCATTGCCGGAAATAATAGAACATATTCGGAACATCAATTCAAAAAAAACGCCATCATTGAGACTGCAAAAGCATTGCGTGAAGAATTATTAAAAACCGAATTAATACCTAGTGGATACTTACGTGATGAAAATTTGATTCAAAGATTATTAGAAAATGAAAAATAAAAAAAATTATTACTGTAATTGTTGTTTTTTTTTTTATTATTTAAGAATCGATCTTCACTTATAACACGAGACAATACTATAAATTATTACGAAAATAATCATTAAAGCGATTTTATATCATGTACTAAATACATTCCCTTTATTAATAAGAGAAGAGGGGGTAAAAAAAATGGACCAAAAAATTGACCGGCAAGATCCACATTATTATTCTTTGACCTTTTCCTCACTTAAATCCGTTGGCGAAATTTGGTACTCACATTTTGCATACTCACCTACCTCTAGCGCCCGGTCTATTAGGTCGTAAGAAATATTTACGATCGGGATTCAAATTTATGACTTCAAGAATATGTAGTGAAGGTAGCTATAACATTTGAGCTATCATGTCTCACTCTATTGGGTTCAAATGAATTAAAGATAACTTTGTAATATCGTCTTTCAATTGTATAGTTGTATGCAATAGTAAAAAAATAATATTTAAGTTACGATTTTTATAACATCCTTAATATTCTGAGTTTTATATGAAATGTTAAAGATTCAGAGTTAATTAATGCTAAAATAATCTTAAAATATTAACATTGACCGCATTCAAAATTTTGGATAAAAAAAATCTCCTTCAACATTGATTGAGGAAGTAACAAAAAAATAATAATTATGAAGAATTACTAAGTTTCCGTTTTAATAAAAAACTAGACGGGTATTTTTGGAATGTTTATAAATATATGAAAAATAAAAACGAATGAGGTCAAAACGTATTGTTCTTCGACCTCACATGTGAATTGCAAATGGGATCAAAATTGCATTGCAATTATTTTAATGCCATGAATGCTTATCTCACATCGTGTTCTTTGCTAGAGCGATTATTCACGCCAGTACCAACACTGAACAATGTACTCAAAGAAATTTATTACACTTAACTAACGTAAATGTTTTACTTATAAAAAAACATTTTAACTGTTAAGTATTACTTGTATGTTTTTTTAATTAATAAAACTAATTTAAGCCTTCTACTAATTGTATCATTGAAATCATAATCCGATAATTCAAGTTGAATTAAACAATTAATAATCCAAACGGTTGTTTAATTTTAATCGTTCGTTAACTACACGGTACTTTTGGGCCAATGTCATCAATATAAAGAATTTTTGATGTTCATTGATGACATATCAAAATAACAATGGCTCGTAAAGTATCGCGACCTGTTACAATTGAATAGTCAAGTGTGATTGTTCTAAACTAAATTATCCTTAGCGATCTCACCATTCAAATGTCACTGTTGCTAATGAATAGAACGTATTAAGATATATACAAACAAACACATTATATTAATAATTGAAAGTAAATTTCTTTATATTTTAAGCTAAACATAACCGTTATCTTGTTTTTCCTACAGAAGCAAAGAAATAGTCTCCCAATTCTTCGATTTATATATTTAAATCCATTTAGTATTTAACTATATGGAATACTTTGTGTATTCGTACCTCACAGTACAAGATGAGCCACGCTTACTCGTCACGGTCATAAAATCTATTATAACATACGTATGATAGTAAATTCAAAGCCAAATTAATGTGCCATCACGCTGTATGTAAGTAAAAAACTTAGATTTAATAAAAAATAAGGAACATAGAATAATTTAGAGAATAATTGTATTTGAATATTATGTTTCATATTATTTACCTTCAGGGTCCAAAAGTCTGGTGACTCCGTACTCCTTCTCCACCACATGGAAGGCCGTCTCCAAACGCTCTCGAACCTGTCTTGATCTGTGATAAAGAAATAATAAATTACATCTTTATTTCTATGTATAATTCATCAGGTAATGTGTCTATTAGTTCTAGTTTTATTTAAAGAGACTTTTATAAGATTACACAGCAGCATGAAGAAATTTGGTTAATTTTACTTCACCAATAATGCCAAGTAAACTTTTGGTAAAATTAGGGTCTAAAGAAAGCAATAAACAAATGTTGACAGACGAATATGATAATACGAAGGTGGAGCGGTTTGTTTGGTCCAATAACATGAACAGTTTCTTATATGCTGTTGATTCAAGGTCACCTGATATTACGCCAGTCTATCAGATCAGGACGGTTCCTGTGTATGAGAGCGTTGAAGGCCAGTCCATCTCTCCAGGAAGACGTGAAGTCAGCGACCCTTACTCCAGGGTACTTGGCCGTGGAGCGCCTCGCCCAACTGAGCAGCGCCTCACGAGCCGTCATATTAGGCTCTTGACCGACTACTATGTCGGATATCTGAAAACAATACAATAATATTGATCTCTATAACATATTTATAAAGTTTTTTAACATGAAAGCAACGTCGAGCAAGTAATGAAATTCAATTAAATAATATAGAATGAAAAATTCATCGACGTAAACAGGAATCGACGTGCAACCTCTAGATTTAAATTTAAATACATATAAGGTTTGTTATTAATTTCAGGCAAATAAAATTGATACTTATAAAAAAATACAACTGAACAAAGTTATCGAATTAATATGCACCATAACCAGGTTTATACTTGAGATTATTCAAATGATTATATCTAAGATAATTATATTTTCAGATAAACTATACATATACATTTTTAAACTATATACTCATGAAGTTTCGGTTCATTTGTAGTAACCGTGACCACAGTTAAAACGCGATGAAAATGTCGCAGACATTTTGTAGTTTGAAAACAATAAAATCTCGTAATAATAGAAGAAAATCTTAGTTTTATTTCAATGAGATAATTCACCCAAATTAAATAAATTAGAAACAAAAAGTCCATAAAAAGAGTATCGAACTATAATTTACATACAATAAAGATATCTTTAGAATCATCTATGAAATAAGATAACATCTGTGTGTGAGGGAAAAATACCAATTAAAATGTTTTGTTAGGACGGACTATGTGCTAGTTATCGGTGCAGGAAATTGTATAACGTTATTTAAATATATAAACCAGAGATTCTGCATACAAAATTATATAAAATTCGGTGAAAATCTGGTATAAATGCGTACTATATGTATACTGTTAAGAACAATGTAAATACATAGTATTCGTTTAAATGAAACTTATATTTGCGAATTACTTCGTTTATTTTATTATTTTAAACTATGTAAATACTTCCGACGTTTCGGTCACTTTGCAGTCACTTTGCAGTAACCGTGAACAGAACAGATGAGATGAACGAAAGGAGTACGTAATATTTCTTTCATTTAATGAAATATTAGTTTCATTTGAATGAATACTCGCGCAAGTCTTAGATCGCAGTATTCATATAGTTTTCAGTAAATTAGAACCAGGTATTTAAGGTAAACTATTGAGACAAAGCAATTTAAATTAAAACAGCATCGCCTAATCGCAGTAACACACATACTGACCCAATTATTATCAGAGTAGGAGATCGGAAAATATTGCGATAATTACAAATAACAACCTAAAAATTTTATTACATCGATTATGATCATAATGAAATATAGTACATAGAGTACATAGTATAGGAATATGTGTTAATAATTTTGATAAACATGTTCTGAAGAAATTAAACATTAAAGCATAAAAAAACTAAAGCGATATTAATTTATAGCAACAGAAAGTGTTCATGTATGAATCACCGCTAGTTGAAAGGCATTCACGCTATTATAATCAAATAGCATTGATCGCATCTCATTGTACGGTACAGACCATAGGTTGACCTTTCACCTATATCCTAAAAGGCGCCTGGCGCGAGTCCATGACGACATCAACGTCTAGCTATGAGGAAATGAACTCGATTTGTACTCAGAGATATGCAAACAAATGCATCAACTACACATACGATTTTTTGCATAAAAAGATCACTTTAAATACTTGAAACTCATTTTTTCCCTTTAAGTTTAACTTTCATTCACTAGGTGAGAAAGAATTCTTTTAATAAACCTTCATCATTTTCTCCCAGATTCATATTTAATAAAGCATCTTTAGACAAAAATTGCAATTGATTTACTGACTGACAATTCATTTGTAGGCGCTAACCCAAGATGGCCGTCACAGACAAGGCTGGAAAACATATTATTACAAAACGAGGGTATTACGTTTGTCACAGTTGACAGTACATAACGAAAGCAACCATTAGTGGCACGCCACATGCCGGCCACAATAGATGGGATTGTGTGACATTAGACATATTGTTGTGTTAAGAAAGAACGACTGAATAGACTAGCATGGATTTGTATTGAAATAAACACAGCGAGCTGTTTAATTATATGTTTTAATTGAATCGCTAATATCTAATAAATATTTGTGTCTTGAATAAAGTATGCAAATAACGACATAATATTAAATACAAATCATTTTATACTCTATTATTTTAAGTATAAGGTTGCATTTGGTTAGTATGAATGCAGACGTGGGCGAGTAACGCCAAGTTAGGTTGTGATGTCATCGGTCCGCTTAAACTTAGCCGTTTTCCTTTGTGTGGCCGATGTAAGGAATGTTTCTTAGCCATTATATCCAGCTGTATTCATGTACAGTCACTCATCTTAAATAATATATAACATGATTCAAATAAGCATTTCAACAGTCATGATTCCCAGCGAGCTTAAATTACTTAGAGAATAACAACAAAAAAATATATACAACACGAGATACAAAATCTCGGGTTTTACTTGAGCCGTGTTACAAAAAGAGCAAGTGAGTCATGCTCGAGGTACTCTGTAGTGAATTTTTCAAATGTCGTGAAAAAAGGTCAAAATCCTACAAATTGATGATTTAATATAAAATTTACAGAATTGCGGTCACGATAGATCAACTCACTCGTGAATTATGAATAGGAATTTTTTAACGCAAAGTTATTATGCTTTAGTAATTTAGAAACTAATAAGTACATATAAAATTGAAAGTATGACAGACGTGAGAATAGTATTAAACTTGAAAACAAACAACTATCATAATAACGAATATTAGTCATGCTAAAGCTATGAATTCCAAAAAAAGTCAATATCGGTGAAAATTAAACTTCCGATAAGTACAACTAATTAGAAGATTTTTTAACATTAAACAGAGTTACTATGACTCTCATAATAGCTTGCGTTATCTGAATCAGTATTAATAAATTTCGCTAATACGGTTAAAAAATATATTGATCTTGATTCTTTTCTCTTACAATATTAAGCACGTTATTATTGACAGAAAATAAATAATTTATTAGATCAAGTGGTTTTGTGGTTTCAGTACGACTGACGAAAAAGGCTAACTGTATTTTATGATGGTCTTAAAATATAAAATTAAATAGCACAACACCGTAAGAAGAATTCATCAACATTTATTTTATATCTTAAGGCTTGTAATTTCTTTTTCCATTATGAAGTCAAGAATGCTTTATAACGGAATCCGTTGCTTTCTTTAAAAGGCTATGGCGAACCAGATTAATGACATTGTAGGCTGGGATAAAAACAAGTAGACTTTATTGGGGACAGCTATTAAGTTAAGTATTAATACGTTATTGGAAACTTTAATGAAGAATACCGATACATAAAAAAAACAGGGAACAGTAATAAAGGCTCATATTACGAGAAAATTTTGATAAGAGAAATATATTCCGTTTCACCTAAAATAGTTGAAAATATAACTTATAGTGGCGAGGTTCATATATTACGTCATCGATTGATGTATAGAGCGACCTCTGTTTCATAAATTTCACATTCCACTTAGCAGTATCTGCTGAGACGAACATAAATTGCATACGTGTAATTCACACCAAGCTTACAAACTGATAATCTTTATATTTAATGAGAATTCTCGTACGAACTTACTGTACACTGACATCAAAATTAAAAACATGAAAATATCAATAAATTAAGGTATTTTATGAGCGAAAGTAAAGTAGATATTTCAAGAAAACTTGTTTTGTGCAAAATTTATATTATGACTCATATTATTTTTATAATTCGGAAATTTATTGAATATTCGTATAGATTTGACGTGACCTCAAAAGTAAGATAGTTACAGAGAATCTATTTTCTAAATGTCAAGCAAAATGTACTTTGGGTTAACAAATCGCTGTGGCCGAGTTGTTTATTTAAAGGGCGTGAAGCTTGTTCTCGTTGGATCACAAGATTTATCAGATCACGATGGAAACTCACGAGGGGAAGACACGATCGCAGTAATTGTATGTATTTCGTGAAATGAATTGACGTGAAAGTTTCCTTATTGACGTATAAGTACCGAGAACATCTGATTAAATTACGACAGGCTTCAGTTTTAATGTTATTTGAGACGAAATCTCTCAGCATTCTATGTATTCACCGTGCGGATGCCGGGTCCATCGTTGTAGAGAGGAACTTCAACAGTGTCTGGGACTTGCGACCCAGGTGTAGGTTTAAGGGGCTCCTATCTAGTAGTACAACTTGTAATTTTTTACCTTAAAACTAAAGTATACGTAACTGTTAACTCTAGTAAGGTAACTTAACTGTAATACGAAAGAATATTTACGATTCCTAACGCAGTTAGTTCTCTTCTATGCTATCGGTTACTGGCGCCGTTTATTTTGACTCACAAAAACAGATACACCTTTATTTAACGACCTCGATGATCAAATACGATGATGTCAATCTTATATGTGATCTCATCTCAATTGACTTATCATTAAAGTTTATGTTCATAAATATATTTGAAATCTATTCAGTCTTCTAAGTGACATAAAACTAGGTTTAAGTATTTTACTTGTATTTAATGCTAAGACTCTAAAACAAAGTTCCTTGCATAAATATTTCATATTCTACCAAGAACAATATAGGTTTTGAATTAACAAATTCAACTTCATAAAACTTGTCATTATAATATTTGTATTTTAATAGTTACGGTAATTAATATTATAAATTGCTCCTACAAGGTTTTTGAACCTATGTACATAATTATTATAGTCATTCGCATTAAAACAATGAATACTTTGCTTGCAATGAAAACTTTAAAATACAAAACGATTCTTCAAAGTTTAACTTAAATTTTTAAAGTAATATAATATTGACAAGTGACAAATATTACATATTTGATGTATGTAGGCAGCAGTCTAATGATTTATGTCAAATATTACATACTATTAATAAAAATAAACTAGTTAGGACGTGTTTTAAACAGAGCTTGTTTAATATTACAAACATATATTTACCAAACTTTATTTCTACATAAATAAATGAAATACTTATGAGTTTAAAGAAAATTGTTTAATTGGTAAATGTTTATACGAAAATTATTATAGGTCTGTGAATATGTTGACGATGA